AAATTACAAACGGAATCAGCTGTTATTTACTAACCAAATTCAATCAATTAGAGAACAATACGTATACATTGATAACGTTGTATTTGCGCTTGAGTAAGGATTAATGTAATTGAGAGAGTAAAAGTTTTCATTTTGGTAAGACGATAGACTATTTTTCACCAGTATTCCTTCCCAACCTGAATCTACCTTTCAAACGTTACTCATGTGTTTAATGTGACTATGGAAATAATTAATAACCTTTCTATTGTTTCTTGATCGTGACTACTGAGATTAAATTCACCGATCTGGTCCTTCTATGCCATACATTATCAATCCACTACCGCAAATAGTAAGGCCTTGGTGTCAACATCTGCCCTTCATTAACTACTCTCACACTCAGCGAGAGCCTGTGAACAACGCTAGAATTGATGTCATCACAATGCCCAATCGCTCAGCCAATTCACAAAGTTATTCATCGTCAATTCTATTCTACATGACTAATCTTTGTCTTCAGTTACTTTTTGAACGTAATTTTTAACAAATAGATCATACCAAATGGATTTAAGCAGATGGGTTCAGCATGATTATATAACCAGAATTCCATTCTTAACAGAGATTGCGTAAGAAATTACCAATTAGGCTGCGCATGCGATGAAGATTTTGTTTATCTACATCAGTTAAAGCGGACTGTCATTTTCTCCTGCCCTTATTAACGTCATTGATATTTGCTATTATTGCCATTGTTATTATTGTTTAAGAGAATGCCAATATTGTAGATAAGATAGTATTAAACAAGATAAGATAGTAAGATAAGCGTTTTTTTATAGCCGTATAAGACAATAATATGAAAATACATATCAACTGTACCCGATTCAATAAATATGTTTATTTCACCGCTGAGGAAATCGCTGCTTCATATAGCTGTTAAAAGATATAGAAAAATAGGTTCAAATATCGTCCATCGTTTCAGATAAATAATAACTAAAGGAGCTAAATGTTATATCTTTAGGAAGCCGATAGAAAGCAGAACTGAATAAAAACAGTGAAGATTTCCTAAAATGTCATTTTTAGTTGCTATCATCTTTTTAAAAAGTGTTTTACTTTAGTACGAGTTCATTAAAATATTGTCCTTAATATTTGAAACGTCAATGAGAAATGTCAACGTCGTTCACATTAGAATCGAATTAAAAACTAATAGAATGTGATTTGATATATTTAATTTGTAGATATTGGAAGGATTACATAAATTGGATTAATTAGGTGATTGTAAGCGCTATCGAATATCGTATGACTCATTGAAAAATAATAGAGAAATTAAATATGTATTTGTTATTTCGAGGATAAATTGAGATAATCTAAAATTATCCCCATTAAAGTACCAAACCTTTATCTTCAACAATATACTTTACTAATTGATTTAGCATAGTGGCAACCTTCGATAAAAAAACTCGCTCATGTTGTTCATATCCATGATGACATCAATGACTACGCCAAATAAAAATAAGTCACCACTGCTAAAATAAGGTGTACTGACGGCTAGATTAATACACAACATAGAATGACATTAATCTAAATTAGTATTATATCAGAAGTAATTGCAAATAATTGGATAATAGAAATAGGATTTGTGTCATCAATTACATCATTCAACTTATCGTTTGAATTGAATATTCAAGTCCTAAATTAACAGTTAATTTATTTTGGGAGATGCTATAGAATTCTAAAGAATTGCTCCTATTACGGTATTTTCTATCCATTCTCATTTGTTATGTAAACCAAGCATATTTTAGAAGGACAAATGTGAGAATTTATGGTTGTCAACAATAACGGCAACAGACCAGATACTGATTCAGACTAAAAGGATTAATGTATGAAGCCTATTTGCAATAAAGGAATATATTCTATATCATTTTTATTTGAATTTTCTTACATTAAATTAGACAACAGCAATGGTTTATAACTGAGTCATCTTTTATATTATCATTTGGCTATATATCACTGCAAAAATTTCTTCTAGCTTAAATTGATAGCATTTCAAATTTACAGATTAGAGGAGGAAAGAGCTTGGCATAACCACTCAATATCAAGAAAATTGAGAAAAAATAAAAATTGCTTCATAACTAATATCTTCCATCCGCATTTTTAAGTCTATTATTGATTATCATTAGTTTTATGTTTTTGATATATTCACTCCTAATTAATCTAGCTGATTCTAAATTATTTATTATTTTGACTCAATTATCGACATGTTTCCATTCACCATTATCTTAATTTAACCCAATTCAATATATAGACATATTGGTTGTGATTGATATCGAAGATGCAACTCGGAATTACTTTGGTAGTGAGAAAAAAATAACAAGTACCGGTATGGACGATAAATTGTAGCATATCGCAATCATTAATTATCATCCAATATAGGTGAGAATAATATAATAATGCATTGATCTTTTATGATATCCAATAATTGCTTATATTCTAATTATAATTTTCAGACTATAGTTTCATAACTAATTACATTCGATCTAATTCCATTGATTGAATATTTAATTTTTTCAATTATTCTTAATTAGGTGGTCGTATGTGATAGCAGCAGGGGTCACTTAGATGTGTATTTGCTTATAAGGTAAATTAGAATTTTAATTGTTTATACATAGCTATATAAGCACCGTTGTAGACAATATTCAACCTTAATTGGATACTAAGGCTGTTGATTATTATACTGTTGTTATTTAAAGCATTTAGAGAAAGAAATTTTTATCCATTCTTGTTGATTATTATTTTCATACTATTCATCTTTTGATGCAATCGTACAAATTGTAATAAAAACAAATTGACTCTACTTTATAATCGCTACTTCTACTAAATTAATTTCAGTTCCAGGTAGTTGTTAGTCCTATCGTACGCCTCGAGTACAAAATTTACCTGACTACAATTTTTTCCGTTAGAGCATCATTCCTTTGGTTGTATTAATACTTCTTGCTACTTTATCATCGAATACGAATCTTAAATTGAAATGGATGACGATAGTTCATTGCAACATCAACGCTTAGTTTTTCCGATTGTTCATTGTCCACAACCTAATTCATATTATCCCAACACTGTACCCCCTCCCGTCTTTCCATCGCAATACTATCCATCATATCCATCGTCGCCATTCTATTATTATTATTATCGACCACATTTGCCTATTTCGACGCCTTCAACTAATACGCCGGCTAATTTAATGCTAAATCATAACGAATTAAGCCAACTGCAGCCACAACCACCGCAATCATGCTATCAGCAAATTGACAATCAATTCAATCTGCAAGAAGATACTGTATCTCAATCAGCAAATTAATATTTCGACTAGTTAGTAGTGCATTCCTAATGACGCTAAAATCAATTGCATTTAATCAAATAACAGATGAAATAATTGAAGGGAATGCTTATTTTTATTTGTTGAGAATTTGGGAGCTTAACAGCTTCTAGAATCACTGGAATCCGAAAAAATATTTCATTTTAAAATAGAGACGGTTTCAAATCAATGCTAGATTACGAACAGTGCTTATAACTTTCACCAAAAATTTAAATTACTGGGTTTTTGAAAAGATGATAGTGAATCTTTGATTGGTAAGAGACATAATTTACAAATGAGAAGTAATAATGGTGCTCTTAAAATTGGTACTGCGATAACAACTATAGATAATTAATTGATAAAATTAGTTCACTGCTTTGCTTTGTAATAAAGTATCGTAGTTTAAGGTAATTAGGTAGTTTATTCTGAACAAAACAGTATGAAGGAATCATGCTGCCTGTTCAGTATATCCTAATTATGACATGACAATTAATGTATTAAATTGGGAAGATTCAATGATGGGTAATTTTATTTAGTGACTATTCGTGATGTTACTATTAATTGCTGCTGACTTGGCAATGATAGTTTTAATTGTCAAGTTAGTAGAATTTAATATTATCGGGCAATATCAATATAATTGATGAAATTGACTGTTACTAACTTTAAAACTATAGAGTTTTAGTTTCCCAGCATTTTGATGCTATTTACGTTTCTTTTTATGACCATGCTATTTGATACAGCAATGATATAGAAATTAGCTGTACTACCCTAAATTAAGACCTTGGTCATTTTCAAATCACATCCTAGCATGTTTTTAGTTCATTTTGCAAAAATTTTTCTCCCTTTGATAATCCGAAAAATCTAATTTCTACTCTTCTACTCTTCCTTCTGTTAGTAGTGGAGGCAAGTTGGGTTGACTAAATCATTGTATGTGTCAAAGAAAAATAATCCAGAGAAAAAGTCATTTTAAGCTTAAACAACTTGCCATTAATTTTTATTTTATCCGAAAGTTGAAAATTGACTATATTTGTATTAGTATAAATCTGTGCCATAGATAGCATTGGATATACATCCATTTTGAAATAATAAACTATAATATATCAAAATATTGAATTATCCAGAAGTATTAATGGATAAAAAAATTCATCTATTTGGATTGAACAATCATCAACTATAAATATAAGGTAGAATCCATTAGTGTGAGAGCGATGCTGACGTGTTACTAAAGCCTATTCTGATAAGCATATATAAATAGATAGAGCTACCTTAATTAGGGATACGGTATTACCAAGCTCTAGGACATTTCTAAATTTGAAATCTAAGACAAGTTTGCACAGAGTGATAGTTGGTAGAATATTAGTAATTTTAAATTATCTCTTATTGACAGCCGTCTATTGAATTTTACTGACCAATCTTATTAATAAATATACACTCTTTAAAAGTCGAAAATATTTATAAGGACATAAATATTGGTATAATTCAGCTATCCAATTATATTGGCATAAGGTTGTTTACTCAATATTTCACTATGTATTGATTGAAAAGTTTTGATTTACGAATATGATATAATCATTAAATAACAGAGAAACAGGAAAGATCCGTTTTAATACCCTATTAAATTGGCTGTTTATGGAGTACCTTAAAGAGTACTTTAATGTGCTTATTTACTCCGATGGGTAACATGGGTCTGATGAATGCAATAAGACGATTATTTCCTGTAGAGTACAAAATGTCTTAATCAACATTACGCTTAGCGATGTATTCGCAAGCATACTTTTCGTTCGTATCGCTGAAAATTCTGTCCATCAAGATTACCTTCTACTTATTAAAAACGATATCAAACCCACATTTTATCATGATTTTATCTTTGGTTGAGTTAAATTTTCGCCTTTATTTTTTCACTAACGAAAAAAATAATTTAGATCATTGGTATTTACATCAAAACATTGACGGATTACTGCAATAAAATAGATCAGATATATTCCAACAACTTCCATAACAATTTCACCAATTACGTCTTGTAATGTACTACTATAGGCTGTAGGGATACGTCAGCAATTTTTGATATATTTCCATTAGAGTCGATTGAAGTTAACATTATTGCCTGTAAATTAACTTGAATTTCTTCCTAGTAAGTGGTATTACTTTAGGCTAAATATAGATATTGTTTTGTTAAATAGGATGCAAACAGTACAGTTACAATATAATTCGATATGGATAGTAGAATGGATTGTAGAAATATCTGATGGTAGACGTTTACAGATGTTATTATCATGCAATTATTTCAAATGACAAAATTGAACTATTGCAAATATATTGATTAGGCATTGCCAAATTATTGAAAGATTGCTCGTCTACGTATATAGTATGAAGATCTTTTTAGTCATTGAGATTGACACGTTTAGTATGGTAAAAAGTTAGAGAGCGCTCTGATTTGACTTGAAAAATGTCTGACGTATGCAAATTAGATTTATCCTGAACTGTTAATACTAATTTACCGAATTCATACTAAAGTTTTACAAATTTGGTTCAATGCACTGGCATTTTACGAGATAAAAGCCTTATGAATATAGATTTGGGGCCTTGATATATGAACAGACAAACAGTTCAGGTTCATTATCTAACTCCATTATTTCCCGTTAACCATTATTAAGTTTTATCGAATGCTTAAATTTTTTCCCTTACTGAGTGAAACACCTTTCTAGTTTGAATTGCAAAACGCTAGTAGTTTACTCTTATTTTTTGTTAAATTGTATGCGTTATCGCTGCATAGTTACATGTATGCAGTTTGATTAAATTGATTACAATGATCATTAGTTTTCAAAATCTCAGAATAATGCAATTAAAGTGTTTTAAGTTCAGTATTATAAATGACAAGGAAAAGACTTGAAGTATTATCGATGAAGATTTGACACACTTTTAAAATTTGTTTAGCTGATTGATCTTGACCTCCAACCAATCTTTATTCAGTTAATACAAACTAGAATTTTCTCCGGCAGTTGAGTTACTAGTAAGGGCGATTTTGATAAAGAACGTTCTTAATTCTTCAGTGTGCAATGTGTTTTACATTTTTTCTTGAAAGATCTACATTGCGTTGATTTCTAGCCTTGGCTCTAGACATTGCAACATTTACTAAGAAAGAAGACAATATTAATATTAGGCATTATTTTACATCATTCTCATGTAGGAAAAAGAAGGTCAGGTCGGCGCCGTTATGGCTCCAAGCTGCGTCGGATTAGTTTTACGCCTGATCAACTGAATGCTTTAGGCCATGAATTCACGCTCAATCCATATTGTCCTGGCAAAAGGGGTATCGCTATTGCTAGTAAAATTAATGTATCTAGCAAACAAGTTAGCACATGGTTTCAAAATAAACGTGAGTAAAATTACCGGTTGACATATTCAACCACATATTAATGATAATAGCAATCTATACTGACTTATAAGAATAGCTAATCAAAATTTTTGATAGTGATCCATTTGTTAGCAGTCCGTAAGTTATCAGAGCATTGTAGTTTGTTACATTGGCAGCATAAAGCGTCTTGTCATGCCTTAAATGGTTAAGTAATAAGGGCTACAAAGTAGTAAAGTACTTTTTATCTAGACTAGATATACAATAGATCATCGTTTCGAGCTATTTAAGAGATAATTATTTGCATTACTTAGATATTAGTCTATATGATAAGCAGTTAGATTGAAAGAACTTTACTAACGATGACATACAGTTTAATACAAATAAATCATTATCTTTATCACTTTAAAGTTTCTTTTATTTAAGCAATCACAGCTTCTTAGTGTTGTATGTCTGTTGAAGAATACTATTAATCCTGACGGTTGAGAACGGTTTACTACTTTAGAATAGAGATTAACAATCGATTTTTATGAAAGACGTACTGAATAATCAGACATTTTGTCTATCTCACATATACAACCGATTTATCATTCTATTTAGGAGCCAAAGAGAAAAGGGTAACTTTAAATAATTTGAACGGCAGTAGTGCTCTCGGCGACTATGATTCGTCCACGTCGTCATCTTCAAATAATCCCAATATAACTGTTAGCGAAGAAGAAGGCAGCAATGCTACTTTTAATACGCAAACTAGCCAAGCTCCATTCTCGTCAGTAACCAAGATTTGAATAGAGCAGTATCTTATTCGATTTATCTAACTGTATGTGACAAATGTATCATTTAAATTTATAACCGAGTAGTCAATGATTTAAGAATTTTCCGTGGTTTGTGTATAGTATACTACGAACAGAATTATTATCGTTTCCAGATGAATATATTCATATTGCAAATGCGGATAGAATATTATTAAATTATACAAAGTAATCTTATATCTAAAATGTGATTTCGTTGTAAAAAGTAATGGTTATAAATTCCACGAGATACAGTAGAATAAATGGAAGCAACGAATATATATTGAAGCATTCTATAATTTACGTTTCTGCCGATAGACTCGTTTTTGTTTAAAATTCTGTTATAAGTTAGGATTATATCTTATCGAATAGCTTTTATGAACGTTAAATTTATTGTTATTATAAATAGAAAACGACATTTCTATGAATTTATCTACGGAATAAAATGGATCGTTAACTATGCTAGAGTGATGCTTGCTAAAATCCTATAATTCTAGGATGAAGTAATACCGTAACATACTTGTTCTTAGGATAAATTTAGTAAATGTTGAGGCTAAAAGTTGAAATTGTCAAACATGTAACATAATATTAACAACGATGTGGATTTGAAAGAAATCGCTGTGAAATTAAACTTCACTGTTAAGATTATGTCTAAATTATTATCGTGGATCGTTTATTAAACTTAAATCTTACCATAAGTTATGTTATCCACACAAACTTTATAAGCACGCAGTTATCAAGAATTAAAATGATAATATTGAAGTTATAGATTGTATTACTCGGAAACCAACTTCGTGTGTTTTTGAAATAGTCATTCCGTAACCAGCCTACTTGATCCTAATATCAAACCCAGGATGCTTAATACCTAGTAATGGCACGATTTGCCGTAGGATTTATTCGTCGCTAGTACATTAATGTAATTTTCCTATACAATAAGGTAATATTAAATGATACTATATAGCTGTTTACTTTCTTTGCCTCTAATTCTTAATATTCTCACTTCGTTATCTAAGAAGACTGAGCAATTTCCCATGAAATATTCAAAATTTAGCTAGAATAAGTTAATAAATTGGAATTTGATTCTACGCGCTTTCGATTAATTCATTGTATATCGTTTCGACTGACTTCCTTATTTATAGTGCTAACGCTGGTGATTTTGGAAAATTATTGCATAAATTGTGGATAAAATATGGAAAATTAGCTCGTATTTAAATAATTTTTGTTTTTATAGAAATTATGTATAAAATTAATTGTAAAATTTGTACAGTTGGTGCCATAGCTAGCGTTCGATGAAGGATATAAAGTACAAATTAAAAGTAGCTTGTATCTTCATAGGTAAGAATCAAACAGTGATAGGAATTGAATCTAGTCATTTTAATTAGGAAAGAGAATGTTTGCATTGATTAACCTTGCCCAGAATTACTTTAAGTAAATGTTTACCTTGGTAGTTATCCATACGACTACGTTATGCGTATGCTTGGGAGTATTATAATGTTATTATTTCTTTGCAGTTTATCTTGGATTAGTACTTGCAGGGATTTTACAATTGTAAGGGAATATCATATACATCGACTGGGAATTTTGTTGAATTTCCAATAATACTATTAGCTTGTTAAGAATTCTATGGACATGCACCGAATGATAAGGGATAACAATCGACCAAATTCCTTAAGCTATATCACTCAATCAAAACATAACAAGCAATATGGAGTTATTAGTACTCTTGTTACAGTGTTAAATACTGTATTACAGTAGAAATAACTATGTTAGGATAATTCTGTTAGACTATCCTTATTTAGTTAACTTCTAATTTGGATATACTGTATTTTAATATAGCACTGACTTTTTATGACAGTGACACTTATACACATACTGAAATTATAATAGTTAGGGAATGCAAATCATCTGCTTACAGTTCGAATCATTGTGATTGTAATTTACTTTCATTACATGTCTATGTTCGTAAATACTGTTGTCTGCATTAAGGGAGCAGTAGCTAAAATTAATATCTAATTCAGTAAATGATTCTAATGTTAATTGTATTAACTATGACTCGTGAACTATTGAGGAATAGTATATAAATGCAGTATATCGTGAAATAAAGAAGAATTGTCTAACTTAGTGTTTAACGTAAAATACGAGGCGTTTAAGTCTTTGTGTAGTCTGCTAGTAGAGCAAAAGTGTTTGTGATAGTGCAGATATCGTTCCTTGATACGTGGTTCAAGGAATTGACTTATTGATCGTATATTGCGTTATCTTGTTGCAAAACTGTTTTGTGACAACTCTATACTTTGAAAATATTTTTATCAGTTTATTATAATATTGTTATAACTACGCCTTAAGAATTGATTTCGTTTAAACATTTATATTAAGTTTTATCACAAGTTTACTTCCTCACATAATAAAGCATTTAATAACCGCAGGAATACTAGTAGCCTAACGAATTGAATAATCGTAACACTTACGATCTTATATTTTGTCACTAGTAAATTACAGTTAATACTAAACTAATTAATAAAGAATATTTCTTATGCTAATTAAATTAAATTTGTGAATACAATTAAAGAAAATGAAAATTTCACCAAATCTGTTATTACGTTACATTTTACTATGAGAAATAAAGATTATAATTAGCAGCTGTAGCCCACATTATGATAAATTTTCATCATATAGCACAAGCGTAGATATATATTAGACTGAAATTTACTACGACTACCGCATTGTTACCGATAGAAAATAACATTGTTACGGTAAAATCCGGTTAATTACGGCAATGCTTCCCTTTAGTGCGCTTGTAACACATCTGATGACACGTTAAAGTTTTCTTTCCCAAAAACGATTGCTATAGAACTGATAATTATAAATGGTATAATATATAAATAAATGTTTTTCAAGGTTCATATTTCGTGCTGTGAAACTTTAAGCAGGTCTTTTACAGTATCAGAATATAAAAATATAATTCGGACTTTGTATACCAGTACGTTATGCAATATATCTAAATATATATTGAAAATTGATTCGACTGTCAACGATACATAGATGAGATAGATCTCTTTCATGGCCGTAATGATTCACTTTTACGAAATTTTACGCCTCTAATATATGTTTTTGTCGAGATTTTAGTACATAATAGATAAAAATTAGTATATGTCTTAAAATATTCAGTCATGTTGGAGTTCTGGTAGACAGAATAGTCTCTGTATCGTAAAAATGATTTCTAATCGATTTACTTAGAATTTTCTTACCAGTTTACGATGTTTTCAACGGACTTGTGGAAACATTAATATTCTAACTTATATCAATATTCTAAGCAAGCAAGCTACTGCATCTCACAAGCTAAGAGTAAGGAGCCCAGAAATTGCAGTAAATGACTTTATACCTTAAATATTCAAGAGCAGCTAACGTTAAATTGTTAATGGGAATTTTGCTTGCAGAGCTTTTTTCTCGAAACTTATAGTATTTTCAGGTATAGTACATCATTATCATTATGTAAGTGTATTCTACTATACCCATTTCAATATGGCAATAAATAATAATGGAATGGTTAACCTTTTCGATTCTTTATATTCCAATAAAGTACATAATGATTGACAGACGGTCATATTTGTGATTCTTTAAACGAAATTTTCCGGTAGTTAATTCTATTAACTTTCATGTAGTCAAAATTAAGAGACAGGATAATCTTCGTGTAACACTTTCAAACCTATGAAACCTCATAAGTGTACTTATGCGTTTTTTCATATCTTTTATTAAATTTAAATTCAGGTTGCAACTCAATCTGTAACCGATATTCTCAATTAATATGCATTCTGTATTTAATATCATAATTTAGATATTTGTGAGCAGAATGTTTGTAAGATAGTTTTGTTATTACCTAAATTATAGTGATAATATAAGATTCATATGACAGAATTAATACAATTTTTCCTTTGAAATAGTGTTAATTTGGAGATGAAATTATTTTTTGCATGACTATTAAAATATTTAATCGGTCCTATCTTTAATTCAAGCAAGTTTAAGTTATTCTTTTCAGGTAGCAGGTAGACTACATTTTTACACTAAATCTTTTTTGCAGATAAATAAAAAGCTACTTTAGATGAAATCATAACTTAAGATTTAGCAGTATTAAAATTTGAATAACTAGCCTAAAAAAATTATCGCCAGTGTCAGCTACTTTATCAAAATAAGCCAATATTTTTGTTAATTTAAACTTTTCGCGTATTTTGATGTCTGTTGTAATTTGCAATATCTACTAAGATTACAATGATCTGATATCGGCTTTTGAAAATAATTGATAAGTATTCTAACAACTACTTATATTCAGTGCACCAATAAAAATGTTTACGAGCCACTTTAAAATGTCGTATACATTAACTATTCTAATGAAGTCCTTCAAGAAATAGATTATTAAACGATTGAAATTAATTGACATTGCGCAATAAAGCCATTTTACAATAAACTTAATTGTCCTAGTTGTTTATTCTATTTAATTTAAAGTGGGGAAATGTATTATAATAGACGGCTGGTGAGCATTAAGATTCGTTCAAATGGTTCCATTAGTTGGCTTTCAACAATATAATAATACATATTCCGCCAGTTTGGCTTGTGGTAGTCGATCTTGTAATTATTATAAATTAAGACAGGATTAAACGGATGCATTAATTTTAAAATTAACATTATTAAATATTCTATTCAGCAGTAACTGAGAAAATTTACGTACTTATCAAGGATTTTATGATGTAAAGTTAAATTATAGAATGAAACTTAATTTAAAAAAATGGGTTGTAATTACATTAATTCAATAGCAGGAGCATCATGATCTGCCATGATATACCGAACGTATGATGGTCATCTAAGTTGAAAAAACCGCTTAAAAGGATACTAGGAATGTATTTTCATTAGTACTGAAGATCTCTGATCATAGATTAGCTTAAAGCGCTTATGTTATGCTATGATATATCAAATTTTGAAAATAATGCTAGCATAAAGCATAATGAGATTACAACATGTAACAATCGAATTATTCTTCACTCTAGATGTTTCATAGGTCAGGAATTAATTACTAGAATTGTAGCAGCATTTAGTTTTTGTGTGCCGTTACCAAATTTAAATTATCCTATGGAAAATTATGCCTTAATCAATCGGTAGAGAATATTGCTTTCTAAACAGAGTATACAGATTGCCATAAGGTGGCCAGAATGGATAAACATGATGAAGTAATTGGCAAGATTTAGCTTTTAAACTTATTTCTAGTGTGTTCGCAAATTGTAGACCGAAACTAACGGTCATTGCGTGCGAAATTAACGCTTGATTTTCTACCTCTTACTATATCAACTTATAAGCTCCCAAAGCCCTTCTTTTAGATTAGAATTCTAGATTAATGGTGTGAACTGATAAGGTTTACGGCATTATATGGCTATCGATTTTCAGAATTTGGTACGGTAATATAAGTGATTTATGGTTTAGAATTTAGGATTTTCTTTGCAATTAAAGTATAAACGTATTATGCTTAAAATGATTCATCTTTTATTTCTTGTAGCGAGTAATGAAAAAAAGTCATTCAATTTGCCTATTCTTATATTATCGCAATTAAACAAATTAAAACAGTTGGTACGATAATGGCTGTAGATGTATTTGGTGTTATATTATAATTGCTATTGATTACAGAGAATTGCTGAATCTCCTTAAGATGAGATACTGTGAGCGGTTGTCTTCAGCAAATGAATTGTAATACCAATAATATAATTATTGGAATGACTTCAATTGCCCCACCTGTACTGTGTACACGAATTTGACAGCATCAGAGATAACAATATTAAATAGATATCATCATCTATTATTAATAATTTCGAGTAATTGCATATAATACCTAACAGTAACACCGCTATTTTAATTTTATATATTTTTTAGCATTTTTGATATTTAAGAATACCAAAGGCTTTCGATAGCTTATCAGTCAGCGACTAAAAATTTTACTACTGAAGATATTATAATACGTGGCAATTGAACAATGCTGAAGAAATAGGAATATTTTCATAATTTGTATTCTATTGGGAAGATTCCCAGTTACAGTAGTTCAACGAAATCTATTTCTAACAGTTGCATATATGCCAATATATATAATATACCATATAGACATAGTTTGTCATGCATCTTTAAATAAGTTATATCTCAATCTAATCTTTTCTGGAAGATATTTAGGGGACCGTGTTGACTTAGTCGTTAATTACTACCGTGTTGAATTTCTTATTGTTTCTTACGGTTGAAAATAACTAATAGAGATACAATCGAAGAGAAAAATCTATCTAAAATTAAGTGTTTTCTCAACTTTGTTAATCAAATGATTGCCAGTAATTAGACTCTTCAGTACTGCAAAGGCGAAAAAGGTCTATAAGCGGCTGCTAAGATATTATTTACTACTTTAGTCTACTGCATCACATCAGGGTAGTGCAACATTAGATCCATTATATTCATTTATAAAATGTACATGGGAGTTATGAGAACACATAACAATTGATAAACTATTCATTAAACTAATAGTATATAATAGAATGATATATTTATTGATGATCATGAATATAACAATAAGCATAAATTAAAGTAAAATGATTCATTTTTTTCTATTAATACTACCCGATAATAACTTGACTTGTGAATGAAGGCTGTCATGATCTAAATTTTAATCAACTGGCTTTAGTTGTCTTTAAGAATGTTTATTATTAAAAAAAACAAACTAGCGTATACATTTAAACTTAGAGAAATACTACTTGATCAAATGTATCCAATTATCCATAATGATATTTTGATAACAAATACTTATTTCACATTGTACAGTACTGGGCTAAAATCATTCATCATTGGTACCGTTTGCCCTAATGGCTATGTAAACCTAATCCCTAAATTTGCCTACTTGTCGTTTTCACCCATGATATGATATAATATTATTGAATTCTAACTGATAAATTACTTGTCGACATCAATCATGACATTATCAGTCTTCTAATGTAGCTTATCTCGAATCTAATGATCATGATGTCAACATTAGCGTACTCTAGTTCTCGTTATAACTAATTCAGGCGTACAATTGTTTTGCAATTGGAAACCTAAGAGCAGTTTCCTCCTCTTTGATTTCAGACTTTTAGCTATTGTACTATTTCCATTATTTTCTCTTCTTCTTAATTTAGCACTGGTTGTAGTTGTTGCGTAATGATAATGATGATGATTATCATTTTGATATTGATCCATTATCTTATGGATTATGTTGATCTTATCCATAAATTACTAATATTACATAATAGTTCAAATTGTATGTTGTAAATTGCATTATTTCTCTCTATGTGTAAACTAATGAAGCAAAAGTTGAACAAATGATTGTCTCCTCCTCTTAGTCCAATGTTGCCGGGAAAAAGTGTTCAAATATTTATCAACGTAAACTCGATTATTGAATTATTAATCCAAAATTGACAATCAAAAGGGACTCATATCATTAGGTATTCAGGAAATGATGAATTTATTGATTAAGTCATCGTTTTCCTTTCAATCTTCTATAAATGCTCTTAACATAATCGTACTATTACAGTAATAAGTTAACGTTTTGGCCCTGGCGACGTTATAAATAGTCATCTTCTCGAACTTTTCAGAACGATTTTGATAACATTGGCAGTGAGAAAGCCAACGGCGCAAAGTTAACTTGTGGTATCATCTATTTCGTATTTTTCTTTGTTTAGAAGGGTTTTTCCGAAGCTTTACCGTTTCACTATTAAAAAAATGCTTACTACTCCATCATCTTATTCGCGTTATAATAATAATTTAATTATGGCAGCTGCATCCAATTCCATCGTTCCATACTCATACAGCAATGATGTCAGTAATCATTTCTTAATCCCACCCTATGACTTAGCTCTACCATCATCGCATTTTACCCGATATGATAAATCTTTCTTGAATCAGAACATAAATACTACTTGTACTAGTAGCAACAGTGGTAGTAAATCGAACAGCTGCAATAATAACTACTTATATAATAGTAACTCTAATCTGTGTCATCACTATGATCGCGATGAAATTTCTCCTAATTCTATCGATTCCAACTGTGATCCAGTGGCATTAAACGATATCTACACGACAAGTAAACATCGAAATGTTAATTACTGGCTGCCATCTCAACAGTCTACTTTAGGTAGGTAGACATTTTTTTGAATATTTTGTTAATTCAATCAGCTAATTTTTGTTCCATTGAATGAAATATCAGATAGAATAGTAAACCTAGAAAATGACTTTCAAAACTGCACCGTCATTTTTCTTGTTTTGTTTGATGCCATTATTCCATTTTGGAAACTATAATGAAGGTGAAATATAGCACCAATTACAGAGTAAAATTGGTTGGCTACGAAGCCATCTTCTATGATCGAAAAACTTAACTTAAAAAATTAATTAAGGTCTTGAGAAGTGATAAGCTGATCTACGGTCTCGTGCATAAATCAAGAATCATGATTGAAAGTATTCAGTTGATACTACCAGAATAGTAGTACGTATACCTGAAATTCGTTAAGCTGTAATAAATAAGAAATCATTTTTCTTTCGCTTCAATAAATTGATAGCTTTTATTTCTAATACAATAATTAATGGATAAATCCATAGATCATCCGATCATGACGCCTTTATAAAAATAGTTTCTATGTCCTCTGGTAACTATACGAAATCGATTCGCACCCTATTGGTACAACTTTATTTTCATTAAACATATTAAAAAATTGACAATTCAATTAAGTGAATCAACTTTAGTTTGACGTTCGATCAAAGCCTAATAGAAGGTAGTTGCTTTAGCAACAGTAAAATTTCCTGGTTATTCTCAGATTGAAATTGAACCCATATAAACTAGTAGATACCTTACCTACATACAATATGGTAGGAATATTGGGTGTATCTATTGATGTTGTTGACCTAAATTAGAAGTAAAACGATAAGATATAAATTTCGAACCTAGTGTCATGGTCAAGTTATCCACAACTGCTATATGAACTTGCTTAAGCTATTAGTATCTTGATTAACTAAAAAGAGAGTATCCTTAGTCCCTATTACGCGAAATTTGTTATAAAAAATTAGGATTGTTGCCTGTAATAGATTTACTAGTATAAAGACCTACATTAAAATACTGATGGGCACTTTTATGGTCAGTAATTAGATAGAATAGTTTTAGTAGCGGTAGCCACACAAACATCGTATTGAAAGCTTAGAATTGGTCGCCTTAAGGATTCAAACTTTTATGGTACTCAGTCATTCAGTACATAATGAAACATATTCGTATTTCTACGGTCGGTCAAGTAAACCATAAACCAGTAAAGAAGTGTCTGCGATAAAAATCGTCCCCATGCCGGCAGGTGCGCCACAGACATACATCAACTTTCCCAACATTTTAAGAAAATGATGTCTTTTTTACCGTGCCTCGCTATAATATCGGTCGGTATCATTGGTCATTTTATGCCATGATTAGCAGTATCGAGAGGCCATCAACGGCATAACATGATTGATTAAGACAGGTCACTTAAAAATTATATGCACTTAGCTAAAAATAGACAATGCAAACGGTGATGAATCAGTCATAATCCATTTGGAGTATACGATAATGAATAATTCTACAGTTCTTCTCTTTTACGCGTAATGTGAAGGTTCTTGGCTTGCTGAGTATACTAATATAATATTGCATTTTTAGTAGGTACCGGAAATGAAATACGTAGCAACTCCTCTCCTGATTCGTCAGATAAACATTCCCGACCTACATTTTCGGGTAGGCAAATACTGGCCTTGGAAAACGTTTTTCAAAAAACTAGGTACGTGGTGGGACCAGAACGATCACGCTTAGCTTTCGTGCTGGGGATGACTGAAAATCAAGTTAAGGTTTGGTTCCAGAACCGACGTACAAAATGGCGAAAAAGTCAACCACATCATTAAGAATTACTGATATTGCGAACGGGTACTTTACATCATAGGATTCATATAGGAAGGCTATAAGATGCGGCCTACGGTATCTTTAAACGTTCAACTACAGGATTGATGGGCTAGTGTAGAATCAAGCATCGATAAACATTTTGACTACTGTCCGGTCCGCTGTATCACGGCTAGTCTTCCTGGTTGCCATAAAATATTATTTTACAAACAGTATTCAATTATCTAATACGTATGCGAAAGCGTAGCCTGTACTAAGTTATCCTTGCTGTTGTATTGCATTCATTTCTTATATTTTTACCATTTTAATCCTTATATATTAACACTTAAGGTGGTTACTCAGTCACTTGTGGCTAGTACAGCCCATGTTTCTACAGGAATTGAATTTATTCTTCCTACATTTTTCTTCTTATACTGTGTATTGTTCATCAAGTGTGAGATATAGCGAGTTCTCTATGTTGGTCGATTTAAAGTTACTCGTCCTGCAGTCATTATTTGATAATTGCGACAGAGGAATGAAATACCGTAATCTATTCTAATAATCTGTGGCTAATTTAAGATTTGATTGTAGTCTATCAATCTGTCTTTCTGCAAACTTTGTTAATACGCTTCGCTTCGGGCGACGTTAAATTTGATGCTATAACTTAGCGTTCGAGTATGCAATGTTATACTGTAATACCAAGACTGAGCATGTAAGCATCAGTATTATTTCTTTGCTTGTCTAATCTAAGAGACGAATAAATTTAAAAATGATGCATTGGTCTCATTAATAGTAATTAACGGATTTGTTTTTTCCTATGTTAAATAACAGCCATTGCATAAGCCATATTATCAGACAAGGACAATTATCATGAGGTTTATAAGCAGCAGAAATAGACTATAGTTCATCGTTTACACTTTGGCCAGATCAAAATTTAACAAAGGTTTTAAGCCAAACTATCCGTCTAAAACTTTTAATTAATCCAACAAGGTCGAATAAATAAATACAAACATCGTCATGGTGGCAGGGAATTTTTCAATAATTCGTGAATAATTAACATTGATTTTCACAAACCAAACTGTGGGTGGTGTGCAATTACCAACTTCAAATTGATAAACTATAAAACATTTCATTGTTGCATACTTTACAGTAATATTATGAATTGCCTAGAACTGGAATAGATTACCTCAGAATAGTTAGAAAAGGTTATAACTGTTAGCAAGCAAAAATTAAAGTAGAGACCGATTCATAGAAGATGTCTATAGAGACAGAAAGTATCAAAATGATCATTCCAATGATATTATTGATTGTAGTGTGAAACATCATGGTGCATATCTTAGCAAGCATACTCGTCATGAGGCCTATTCGATCGCGGCTATCAACGCAGTCCCATACGGACACTTTAATCGTATAATTGAGAGTCAATAGAATATGAATTAATGATGACATTCAAATAGTTCCATTATGAATTTGAAGTCGATGCCAGCTGCAAATCAATCATCTATAGAAGATGAACATAAAGCCACCAACAGTTGACATTGACTACTGCTGGAATTAGTAGAAATGCTATCTTCGTCGCCAATGATCTTATCCCTAGGAAATTGCTTGATTACTATAGCCATAGCGAAATTTGTAAGAAGAGGAGATTGGTTGTCTTTTATTTACAGTTTGAGCTATTTCTACCGCTGGCATCGGTCGATATGTGTCACCATCAGAAGCGATGTTCGTTTACTACTGCAAAGTTGATTGCTAAGATGATGAAGGATAAGCCGATAAGAATACAACTATCTTTCTGTTACAATTATTATTTTTTTATATTACTCATTGCTAACATGAGACATGATTAAATAATTTATGCGCAAGCAATTTTGAATCATACAACGATTAGGCAAGATCAACTTGCAACTGACAATTACATCGGCACATATCATGATCACCTTAAATTTCTGCGTTTCGCGTCTCAACTCTTGGATAACAAAAGCTAACGCTTCAGGATTGATGCCAGCTTCGCACAATTGCACACATATCGATAATGTCTTACGGTCTAATCCAGTATTAAGTAGATCGGATATTTCTTGAACAACTAGAATAATAAAAGATGAACATTATCACGAATGAATCAGTAACATGACGGCTGCAGCATTAAGGCGTGAAAACATCCAGCTGATTAAGAGCTAACAATGGCAGAAATACCACAGTGATCAAAAGCCTTATGAAGAAAATGCCCAACTTTAATAGCGTCAACAATCCATTAGAATAATTTAAAGAGTTTCCAATAAGACATCATTACAAATTAATCAACTTCCTGAAGTTGATCAAGTGTCGTATCTCCTCTACTTGATCGTGATATGGACGGTCACTTACTGTATTGCAACTATTGTAATCCCCTTTCATCAGCAAAAGTAAATTGATTACCAACAGCCACGAGCATTACTCGTGCTCTGATTGACGATAAGTAACGCCATTGGTGTATTTTAGTTTTGTTGATGCTGATCAGCAAGAACTCTTTGCACGTCGATGACGTAATGACAATGATCAGCTTTGACGATCATTGCTCGTCCGCTAATCCAAATGGTCGCTAATAGAAAATGTGGAAAATACTCTGACCGTCCATCAAAGCGAACTCTACGTCTTTTGACTCACTGTCTTGCCTGATAGTAAGATTATGATTCAAAATTGACTCAAGCTGGCTATGTACCAGGCAAATTGTAATTTTGTTATGCCATCACTGGACTGGAGATTGAAAATGGCTATCTACTGTATATATATATACTGTATCGACAAAGGGATGGATGATTATGTGGCGCAATATGATCCGGGTTTATTCTTCAGGGTGCTAGATAGAGAGATAATCTGGTACAGTAGAAAAAGTGGCACTTGATATGACTATGAAATTTCAACTTACTATCTAATGTCTCTACTGCTGCATTGACATTGACATTGCTGGTTGTTTGACGGGGGAAACCGCCATCGCTTGCAAGACTTTTTTCCGCCATTTTGGACTTTTTTGGATTCCAGTAGTTGGCTAAGTACTGTACACTAACGTACTGCACCGTACAGTACTTGATTGACGGTCGGTATCAAAGTCAACGTCCATACGCTACAGTACAGTACAGTGCTGTACAGTACACAGCACAGTTCTGTACTGTAGTGGATTGTACTGTACTGTATACTGTACTGTACACTACAGTACTGTACTGTACTGTATTGTGTCTAGGCTGCGTACAGTACATACTGTATCATAGGAATGAACTTCATTGTAAAGGAGTTAATAGGCTTTAGTATGACAAACAAAATGCTTGAATTTGCCATTTTACCCACCGCGGGTGTTTGAACTATTTTCAGCGGTCGTTTGTTGGCTTTTTCAGCTAGTGTGTCTGTAGACTACACTACAGTACATTGTGCAATACTGTACACTGAACAGTGTACAATCTGATTATTTTCCATGTCTCCCCTTCGTTCCAAAATCAATCAAAGTTGCATTCCGTTGAAATTGCTGTACAGTACTGTATAGTATAGTACAGTACATATATACCCATAGAAGAATATCTCCGAAGAGAGATGATCATGATGTATAGTCCGTCAGTCTGAAACCCTACAGTACGGTGTACAATTTTGAACTGACCGTACTGTACACTGTACTGTACAGTATCGCGCACGAAATCACTATAGTACTGTACAGTACAGTACAGAACATTGTGCAGTACTGTACTGTACACTGTACTGTACTGTACAGTACTGTACAGTATCGCGCACGAAATCACTACAGTACATTGTGCAGTACTGTACTGTACGTCCGTCTGAAACCCTACAGTACTGTACTGTGTACAATTTTGAACTGACCGTACTGTACAGTGTACAGTGTACAGTACAGTACACTGTACAGTATCGCGCTCGAAATCTCGGATACTGTTTACAGTGGACAATCACGGCACTGGACTGACAGAATCTGCCAACCCATTTGAGCATGAGTAAAGGAGCCTGATCATGCAATGCCACAAAAGGCGCACTTTAAAATTTGGCGCCAACAAATCTTGTTACGGGTACCCACTTACGCCTCGTTTATATTAAGCTTAACGTTTAGCGTTGCTTTATTCAACCTTCAAACGCTCCACTGCTTCAACGTGGTGGATCCAAATCCTTTGCAGTTCACCAGCATCAAGCATTTCAACGTTTCACCTAAGCTATATTGAATAGCGTTGCATTCACTCTTGGTTGCATTTGAAGCGAGCGATTGAAGTGGATTCTCCTTGAAGTGATTCGTCGTTGTCGTTGCAGGTTGAAGCACGAAAAATTGACTTGCACTACAAGATTGGTTATGTCCACCATAGGGATTAACAAGGTCAACGATCAACTAGGGGTCGGCATCAGGTAGGCAGTGCAATGACTTCATCTTCGATTTGTTGTAATGGTGTAATCAGACTCTTTTTCCCTCATCAAAGAAGAGAAAAAAATGGGGAGATGATTTCCCATGGGTGCCTACTGTCTGATGTTCATGCAGGCAGAATTGTTCAATTCATACTTTATTTGGAAAGTTGCTCTTAGCGTAAGAAATGAGCTTATTCCTTGATCCTTTCTTGACTAGCTCAATGCACGACTATACAAGGGTCTATCCATCGAGTTGGTGCTCAAGCGAGCCAAGGTTTCCCAATCTACTTTTGATAGCATACTACCGTATAAGGCTGTAACCGACTTGTTACGAATTGGATGCCTAGCTGTGGTAGATTAAACTTGGATTAGACCTCGTCTAGTAGTAGGAAATGCTAATCCATGGAGCTGATACGGTCGGTCAGTTTGGTAGCCAATCGCTCCAGAAAGTGAGTGTTTGTGATTGACTAGCTATAAAGAAAAAAGCAGAAAAGACCAAACGATATCGGTGCTTGCTTTTACCTCAATGCACTTTGTCATGATTAGCCCTAGTACCACAGCGGCACAGTTGCGTATACATAATATTGAAATGGATAAAAGGCATCATCAACCATTTAGCGATAGAGCTGTATCCGATCAGCTACGTCTAAATCATCTTGCATCGTCATAGCCTACAGCACGATGACATGATGATCCATTTTGATAGTATCCGACTAAATCCATGCCAATAGTTGCAAATCTCTCCCCCCCATCATTTTTCATTCTTGATACTTAACCGCCAAATTATAGTCTTGTCCATTTCAATTCACTTCTTGCAACATGCTGTACGCAAACAATAACTTATTTTGTAGGATATAACTGGAACATTTTATTGACAGTGCCCCACTAATGTACACAATACTGAAACAAAAACAGCATTGTCAAAATGGCGCTTTGCGCCATCCATAGACGGTACTGTAGACTGGCGTAATATCAATATTAATATGCAACGGTAACGATACAGTACAGGTAGTAGAGTCCAATCGATTACATAACTGTGTACAATATTGCCACAACTCCAGCGCTAAGACTAGTGGTCAGTAATCATTGATTCACCATGATGCTGACATTGACTAAGTTGATTCTAATTTCTACTGCAAAAACTACTAATAGCAAGAGAGAGGATTAGCAAAACTGGTTGGACGTTCTCTCTTTTCTTGCAGTAGTCCTAGCGGTAGGTAAGCGATGACGATCCAATGTTCACTTAGGCTGCTACGTCTGCTGCTGCTATGGAGACGGCCGTGCAATAAAAAAAAATCGTCCAAGAGAGGCTAAAATTGATTCCGCGCTTTTGACACCGTTTTGCTAGACTATACTTGTAACCAACAAGAGATTCTACTAGGAACAGATGCAACATACTGTATACGTAACTTATCATCTACTTAATTCGCCGTATTGAACGTAATACTGCATGTTTCGATCAATGTCATTGCAAGAGATGGAATACACCTTTTAGACTACTTTCATGTTCAATGCCGCGATTAGAAGCTTGCGTAGAGTACGATTATACAGTATGTCTAGTAGTAACCAATCTCATCCACGCCATCGACGTGATTAGACTATTGAAATTGTGCACAATGAAACATTTACTTGCTACTGTAGATCTAAATGCAATCGACAAGTATTCAAAACAGCTCAAATTAATGTTACAATTGCCCTTTGGAAATGGACAATATCAACTTGCATGAGTATCCTGCTTGAATAGTATCTATTTCGTGGAAAATGTTGAAACTTGCTGAAAGATACCCTAAAATGAAGTAGGAATAGAACCATTCTCGACACTGACTCTTAGTTGAGAGGAACGCTTTCAAAGTACTTTTTCCCATCGATAGCGCGATATGGAAGAACATTAATGAAAACGTACAGTCTTTCAAATTATACTCTTAAACTGCTTTTTAGCTTTCTTTCAAGATGAGATACTAGCACAATGCGTTTTTGTTGCAATACTATACGAACGCTCGACGTAGTCGGTAGATACATATGCCATTGGATTAACTACGATTTGGAAAGATTAAGCTCTTTTCTTATTCGACTTTGTGCAGTAGACCTTATGTGCATCACTTTTTGTACTTTGCTGTGGCATTGACTATTCTCGTATATCGATCGGTATGGTAATGGAGTCACGATAGGTGATCCTAAATTGAGTATTCACCAATTTGTAGTGTATGATTATGCCTTCATTTATCAGATTGTACAATATCAATTCTGATGCTTTATGTCATCAGGAGTTAAATTGGCCTGTTATTTAAATTTCATATATATTTCCATTTCCTAGTTGTACCGAATATGCTACCTCTCAGAATTCAAACAATCTAGAAAATTATACCACACCCAAACATCAAGACGAAGATGATTCACCAAAAGAAGATCACCAACGAAAGAAATTCGCTCGGAAACACTATCATACAAAACATGCCGACTATGCTCCTGTCAAGAGTAGTCCATTAAGTAGCAGTACACCATGTAAACCGAAAAGGAGTTGCCAACGAAAGCGTCAGCTTTACTTTCAGCCGACAAACAGGATGATGTCTAGCAATAACGCTAATGGAGACGAACAATGTGATCCTGATGATATCGTTATGGCTACCAGCCCTCTTGAACAGCCACTTTTCAATGAAGAGGACTTTCCGACACTTGATGATAGTACATCTTCATTGGACTTTTCGTGGTAAGAGAAATTTATAAAGTTTGAAGTATGGATAAAGGAATGAAAAGTGACCTGTTATGCAGGGTGCACTCTTTGTTTGACATCACTTTGAATTCAAATTTTACCTTACTGTTAGTTAAGATCATTTACGTATATGGGAACAGTTGTTAAAAGTATTTCGCAGTACGCAAAAATTGTTCATGACAGTTTCTTCACTACTTGCAGGAATAATAAAACCGCTGAAGTAAGCAAAAGCTGGGCAGATCTTATGGACGAGGAGGATCTACATAAGAAGTATGTCATATTCTATTCTATTTCAGTGTCTAGCTTTATTTGGTAGCTTGTGTTGTTACCTCCGTTGAAAGAAACTTGTATTTCTTGCATAACTGATTGGTGCAATTAAAACTACTCTTTGACATACGGTAGATGACTAGTACTGCATCGACCATATAATTTTAATGTTTTCAATTCTATGTAAGATTAGTTAATCGTTGCAAGGAATACTGTTATTGCACAATTCCTTTTTATGGCTGTAACGTTAACTTTGTCACCTGTATAATCACCATGTATCTTAGGGCTACTCCGGAAGGACGTGAAAGTTTGTTAGCGCGAAAAATCGCTAATAAAAAGAGCAAATTGAATGGGTTCGTTGTTTGATTATAAAAATTAAAAATTATGCATATTTTCAATTTATTGAAATTATATTAGCAGACACTGTACATTTACATTCCGCACTCATGCATTTTTCTATTTCTTAGTCTGTATGTAACTTATTGGAGCACTTTTAGTTTGATTTTGATCGACAATTTTACGCAAAGGTAGTTCATAAATTGATCAATATTGATTTTAGAACACGACGCCGTTTACATTTATCGGAATTCGGATCATTTGAAGATGATTCAAAAGCCAGTGTTTCTCCTCCTCCAAAAGGGTTGAAGAGGTTCAATTCTCCTAAGAATACTTCCAGTAATTCATATTGTTATCAATAATATTATAACAACTTTATTAAACTGTAGAAGTTTTAGTGGTACGCCCAGAGAGCGTGAATATGACGACAAAATTTTGTCAAGGAGGCAGAAACAAATAGATTACGGGAAGAATACCTTGGGATATGATCGATATTGCAAGACTGTTGCAAAGTAGGGGCTTTAACCAACTTCGTTGAAAGCTTTTAGTGTATTTCTAAAATCATTTACCTTATGTTTAATTGTTGCATGTACTGCAACTTGTATAAGTATAATCATATATTATAGTGCCATTATTAAGTGAAAACTTTATCCTAATGTTGCGCTGTACTTACCTGTACAATCTCTGTAATTAATAGACAGGAGAGGACGAAGGATCATCCTAGGACACCAGATAAAAATATTAAAGTTAGCAGACGCTCCTTTGACATGCAAATTAAACTCTGGAGGAAGAAATTACATGAATTTGATCCACCAGAAATCAAGCAAGTTTGGGAAACGCAACGAAGTAATGAAGAGTTTTTAAGTTTGCCACTGGACTGTAATGGCGATATAATGATGAGTGATGCTAACGAAACTGATAGGCAAGTTTGATATAGCCAAATAAAAGCATAAGGGAGCAACTGTAATTTATTAATATAACTCTTGTGTCTATCAATCTCTAGTAATCACGATGGTAGTACTGGAGAAAAAGTTGAAGCTTCTGCTGAAATTGGCGACCCGGATGATCTGTTTAGCGATTTGCCGTAGGCATAAAAGAACGCCACCTTAGTCCATGAAATATCTAATATTGTTTGTAATCTGATAGTTTTGCTTTATTAATATTATTATACTATGTACATTATCGGAGGATTCAGAGGGTTTGTCAGCAAAATGCAATGATTGAAAAATGAGAGCGAAGTATTGCATCACTGATTATTTTATAGTTTGACATAAATTAGCCATAGATATATTGGTACTGTAGATTACATGGTTTCATTAGGAGATAGCAGTATAGTATGGTTATACTTCTGTTTACGTTAAAATGGATTGTTTCTTATGTATATAGTTATATATCATTCGGTATATGCAGTCTACCCTCTTTATTGATGCACAGCTTTCGTCTTGAAGGACCATGGTTTTATTTGAGTTTTATCTCTGGAAAGTGAGCGTTTTATTAAAGATAGTTTAAGAACAGTCATGGTTAAAGCTCTTATTCTGATAGAATATAATAATAACATACGTAAGATATAATTTTAAACCATTTTAAATCATGCTGGATAAATTCCATGCATCGTCTTTAGAATTTATTGAATTACGATTATTGATAGCGTCACAAGAGATTGGGCTGTAAATGTCTTGACTAAAAATTAATAAATACAGGGATACCCTCGGTATTGAACATTTTACGAAAATTACTATTATAACAACAACAGTCCTTGCGGCTAAGCTAAGCTTGATATTCATGGACATAGTTTTGCGTTCACAAGGTTTCAGTTAGTAGATAATAATAGTCTGCTGCAGCACAGTGTACGGAACAGTAGCATTTAGCAGAGACTGTTAGTATTCGTTTACAGTTTGGAATAATTAGAGCTGTACCGCGGTATTAACGCACAATTTTAACTAAGTAAAACTATGATTAATCGTTTATGTTGTGCTACCTAAAAATACTTAGAAAATTACTAATTTTTACAAGAAGCCTCAACGAAATATTTGCAATGAAGTATTGCAATAAACGACTGTAGAATGCGCTATAGTATTGATCGAATATTTACGTCGATTCCAAGATAAAATCGATCGTCGTTGATTTTGTACTAACTGCAGTGATCAAAATAACCAAGTACTACGTATTTTTTATTAATATTCGTAAAAATAAAGTGTCTACTAATACAGAACTTCTATTGCCAAAAATACCCTAACCAGCGTTTAAAATGTAAAAGAGTTACCAAGGCAGCTGGGATCCATTATAACTTAGGAACTTTCCAGTTTTATTTAATTGAAGGTTACATATTACATTCAGAATTTGCAGGGAAGCATCACCAGGATTCATACGACCGCCTTCGTTAGATTTAGTCTTGACGCTACCTGGATGTATTGGAATTACCACAATTTCCTCCCGTTTTAGTTCTAGGCTCATACATCTTGTAATCATATTTAAAGCTACCTATAATTATTTATTAAACGGTTTATTTTGAACACATTAGTCAAGTCAGCTTTTACGTATACTATACTATTTATAATGTCATGATGGTATTGTTGGAATCAAATAGAATTACTGTAATTGTAATCTGCTTTTACCTTGCTACAACCGTAAGAAAAGTAGTTAGTCCTAGGTGAAGATAAAGATGCAACTTGAGAAGATACATTAACTACTGCTGCCTTGAAAGATCTACCCTTGGTATAGTTAGTTTCCTTTCCAATTTTCAATAGCGGCAAGAATGTCTACATTATGAAAGGACAAATTTATTTTATATTACCGTGCTGTGTAGGGGCATTAAACAAGCGATGATTAGTAATTGCAGCATCTTAAATACAAGACATTAGGCTATACAATCTGATAAGTTTGTAATATTCTAGGGTTGTATTATTAACCTGTAATGAATTATAAGACTATGGATAATTATTTTGTACCTTAGGCACACTATTCCATGCAGCAAGTACTGTAGATCATAAAGCGTAAATTATTATCCTGTAATGAATTGTAACACTATGTATAATTTGTACCTTAGGCAAACTATTCCATGCAGCAAGTACTGCAGATATGAAAAGTAGGTTATTATCCTGTAACGAATTAGAACACTATGTATAATTTGTACCTTAGGCACACTATTGCATGCAGCAAGTACTGCAGATCATAAAGCGTAGATTGTTATCCTGTAACGAACTATAACACTATGTATAATTTGTACTTTAGGCACACTATGGCATGCAGCAAGTACTGTAGATCATAAAGTGTAGATTATTATCGCTTCAGTGTTACGGACATGCAAAATGAAATTATGGAATAGACGTGTATGGTAGTAACTAGAAACTCATTTATTATAATCTTACAACTAGACGCTGTAAAACTTTACATTAAAGGCCATTAGCACCACATACTTCTATGCTGTATCTTCTAATAGTTATAGGTACGCAGATGTTTCGATTATCCAGTGATCAATAGCAATTCATACCTGAGCAACCAGCATAGGTCCGATAGCATTGGTTTTATAAAATAGTTCCATGGATTTAGTTGTTGCGGTTAGAAACGTGTCATGATCTCCAATGCCAGCATTATTGATGAGTAAATGTAATCCAAGATTACTAAGACATGCTTGAACAGTTTCGAAGGCTCTCTTTATGGAATTTTCGCATGTAATATCTGTATTGAACAAGTCGTCATCATTTCTACCCGTACTAGAATAGATTATTATAATTCATTGATGGCCTACGTATTTCATGGATACTATACGGCTATTCTTTTCTGCCAGATACATGTATTATTACTACTTACCCATTTCTACTAAAGTTAATCGTGTATGAGTTTTGGATAGGTCTAAGAGGCGCTAATATATAACAGATGGATAATTACAATGCGTCAGTAAAATAGTCCTTGATGCCAAACGACAGTGTTCACGATTGGATGGTATGCAGTACAGTACTTGAGAATTAAGCTATGGCACTAAATGAAGATTTATTTACAAGTTTGAAGTTTGATTATAACTCCAAATCCAGGTGAATCCGAACTAAAGTTGCAGGTAAAAGACACGCTGAAAGCTTGTTACTAACAACGTAGAGCAGCTAGTAATGCAAGATTAGCTAGTTCAAATCCTATCTGCATCATAGAGATGCTGTTACCTTGCCGGATTCAGAATCCAAAGATCGATAGCTTGCAAAGATGTGTTCTATCGTACTTGGCATCACTAGCATCTCTTGCACTAATGCGAAACCAATACCGCTTGCAGCTCCAGTAATGAAGACCGAGCGGGCGCGTAATATTGCCTCATCGTGACTGCTGCTTTTTATGCTTGCCATTGATTTGGGCACAATTTTTAAAACCTGGCCGACCGAAAATGACGATGCCTCTTTTACAACTTACCAACCATCATATCAACATCCTATATACTCCTAAAATGGAGATATTAGACAAGACCGCAAAGTAATTCTCTTACACAGACAACGCGTACAGTATACACTGTACTAAGATACCGTTCTTAATTATGTATTGGTTCCTAATACTCGAAAAAGTAGTTTCGAGTACTGTTTACCAGCAGGCCATTTTCTTTTGCTTATAGTACTTTAACTCGGCTATGCAAATACAATTATATTATTCTGTATTATTGCAGTTGATATTCTATATGCATTATACTGTACATAGCGATTCAACTAGAGTTTTACCATTGTAAAAAGTAAAAAGTAAAAAGTGCCATTAATTAATTAATTGATTTGCTAATAAAAAAATGCAGACGGACAGATTTTATCTTGTATAATTAATTCATTAATGCAATTTCCTGTTGGTAGTTGGAACTATGGAACTACTGCTCTGTGATCAACCGTATGTTATTATTCGTATGTATTATATCGTCTAATATTTACAATTGGTCATTAGGCTCATTTCCTGAATTATTTTCCGACCTTGTTTTCGTTGCTTCTGTTGGGACACGAAGAGAAAATTTTACAATTGAACATATTCACAATCAGTAGTGACTGTTTACTCTACAGTCTATATCTAATCTTTGATGGCGCGGTTATTTCACATCAATTCGGTATTAGTGACTGGAGCTAATCGTGGCTTAGGGTTAAAGCTGGTTGAGACCTTACTGTCGACGAAGAATCCTCCAAAACATGTCTTCGCTTCCTACCGAGATGTTGCCAAGACGATGGTACTGTTTCATCGCGTTCAAACTATTACGTATCGATTTTAATTAATTTTTATCGATCTTGAGGCATGGCTTCTATCCTTGCCAGATGTATTGATAACCCCTAGCTTGAATTCATCATACGGTCTACAGTAATAATGAATTCGCAGTGCCTATAGTTCTCAAGGGCCTATCATCTATGCTGGGATAATAAAATTGATATTATTTTAGTAGTACAGTACAGTATACTGTTTATAGAACAAAATACGCAGTTTACTTGTTTGAAGCATACTCGAACTGCATTTTGTTGTATAAAACTCGTACATGAGTACGACATAGTGTAGTAGTGGCAAAAAGAAGAACGTTGTTTGTCGACTGCAATGATCAATCAATTTCAGGTACTGCAGCTACGACTAGATTGTCAATCTATGGAGTATAAAACCGAAGCATAGATGGACAGTACAGCATTACGTGTAGAAAGTCTTTTCCTTTACCTCTATACAGTAAGAAGTGATTTAGTGCTACAAGTTTCATTCTATCGAGCTCTTACACGACGAATTGATTCTGAACATTAGGTATAGTACATTAGGACGACAAACTGTAAGCATTCCAGTTCGATAACCGAATATTTTAACGTTGTGTGATTAATATTATTGAAAACAAGGCTACATCTCATTTTATTTCTTTACTTCATCGCTGCATCTACAGTTGAGAAAGCTTATCCATGATATGTGCTGCCAAACGAATACAGTATCATCAATGTGTTACTGATAAAAAGGAATTAGTAATTGTAGTTATCTAATAAGCTGAAATGAGTACAATAATTTTAGAACACCAATAGTAATATTAGATGAAATCATTGCTACCCTAAATACAGCATTATATTTTGTAACCTGTAACACTACTTTTAATTGCTTATGACTTATTACTGCATAATATACGCGTATATTTTTGACGATATTGGTTCTATTGCTTGACACCTACTTAGAATTTACAAAGATTGGCATCTGAGCATTCTAATTTGAAGCTGATTGAGCTGGGTAAGTAATACTAAGCATCAAAGCTAAATGCTAAGGATAATGACTTTACAGCTTTTACATTCATGTCTTACGTACTTGAAAATAAATAAAGTTTTATCGACTTTTGATGATATTTATCTTCACAATATCTATCCGTGCAGATACTACAAGCGACGTAGGAATTCAGAAGGCCTTTAACGCTGTAGAATCGAATATATCAAATGATGGACTAGATGTTTTGATCAACAATGCTGCAATGTTTGATAAATCAAATCTGTATGAAGTTACATTTGAAAAGATGGAATATTCCTATCGAGTAAATGCAGTAGCCCCATTGATGATGGTGAAGGTAACAGTAAAGAACTCATTAGGTTTTTTTTCATTTCGCTTTTTTTAGCGTGGATTGTCGAACTGATACCTACATCTAGGCATCAAGAGCTTGTTTGCAAATATAGGATAAAAGACTTGTAGATACTGCATCCTACATACTACTATCTTGAACTCTGCTTTAATAAATAGTGCTGTATTATGATTATTTCTTTCCCATCTTTGGTCGTGAACTTCAAGCTATCGATGCAGTTTTATGATATAAACTCATAATATCATCCTTTATAAATCTACAGCGTCATGTTGGTTATAACTTGTTAACTGGTCTATTATGGTTGTGCCCATAATTACATTGTATTGCAATGTGTTTCTTATGTTATAGGCTTTTCTTCCACTACTAGAAAAGCCCAAAGCCAATCCTATCAATGCTGCTATTTTGAACATTAGCAGTATAAACGGATCTTTATCTAATTCGTCACCGTTGCCTGATAGATATCCGTGTAAATGCAGCAAAGTTCGTATGATTATACCCTGTAAACTATAAGATAGGGTAGATACTATTCTTTGTACAATGAATACTCATCTTTTCTAGATATTATTGTTGCAGAGTTTGAAGTTACTTCCACATGTGATGTTCTTGCTCTATTTACAGATTGCACTAAATATGATTACAAAAACTTTAAGTATTGACTTAAAAAGTAAAAACATTGCCACCATGGCTGTGAATCCTGGTTGGATGGCAACCGATATGGGTGGATCAGATGCTCCAGGCCTTCCAGAAGAATCAGCTAGAGCTATTATTGACTTAGTAAAGCAGTTAACAATAGATAAAAGTGGAGGATTTTACGAAATCAATGGTGATATAATACCATGGTAGTTTTTAATCTTGGCTTACAAAATGGTATGTGGATGAATTAGCAATCTACTGACTTGATGCTGTTCATGCTTGATTGGCAGCCTGTTTACTACTCATATTAATTTTAACAAACATATTCTAAACATTCCTATCGTATTTATATTAGGGTTGAGGTCTTGAGAATATTGATAGGTAACGATAGCAATGGATGTGGTCCATTAACCAAGTACATTTGGGTTCATTCTTTTATCCTCTCATAAAGTTGTTGGTATTTCTAAAATGTATGTAATCATTATTTCGTATCCGATATCTTTCGCTACTGGTTACTTCTTCTTTGCCTCATCATATTGTATGACTAAAGCTATGTCGAGAAATGTGCATACGCAATAGATTTGGTTTTGTCGCAATGACTCAGTCATGCAATCAGCTTGATGTAGAAATTTTGATTAATACTCAAGCATTGGCAGGAACTACTCAAAAAATAGATATTTTTGAGTAGTTGCTAGTATTGGCAATTTCGATACAGTGATTGTATTTTCTCGTAAATGTTACATTATACTCTAAATAGATAGTCATAAAAAATTCATGTTCGCACGTTATTGAAGTGCAGTGTTCTGTAGCTTATTTAATGTTACCAAAATTGGGCAACTTAATCTGTATGTTTTACTCTTTTTAATAGCAGAGAATATTACAGCAAGTACATAGTAGAGGCTGTTAGAGACTAAATATAGTAACTATTGCGAAATATTTTTATTATTGTACCAGTATATTTAGTAACATCCAATTTGAATTAACATTCATGTCCCTTATTTTGGAATGAAAAGTGGATGGCTGAATGATATACTTGAGTAATAAACTATTAATTTATTGCACCTTAATTGGTTGATAACTTGCTGACGCATGTTTGTAGTATCACTGGATAATTTGAACATAATCATTTATGTATGGCATCAAATTGACGTAATTTTCGTTACAACGGATCTTTTGAAAGGAGCCCATGGAAGTACTTTAACCATTGTTAAGTTAAGTATTATTCAATTCGTTGTGGGAATCTATGCATTCTGTTGATAGGTTGGAATTTTTTGCTTGCTTGATTGCAAATAATATACCATAAAATAAATGAAGCTTTTGTATATACCAGCTGTAGAATCAAAGTAGAAAGGAAATAACAACGAACAAACTACTTTTATGTGTGTAACTGTAAATGTGGAAGTTCAGTGTAAATAGTACACTTGTTTTTATCGATAACAAATGGAAATTATTATCGAGGAAAAGTTAAACAACTACAGAAAACCACAGCACCACGCGCCTACTGTCAGCTTTGTTCTCCCTAGCACCTACCTACTGAACGACTCTAAATACTGACAATCTCCTATCGTCAGGAGGAGCAGTACCCGCAACACTAGATCCAAACTTTATTGAGAAGCCAGTCAATTTATAGTAAATGCACATCAACATTAATTCATTATACATCGGTAATGTATAAGTCTGCATTTTGCAGAGGTCTGATCGGTTTCGAGATAAGTTTACACAGTAATGTTTATCGGTTGATGATCATTTCATACATTACGTGATAGCAGAGACAAAAATAAAAAATGATAATATACTTGTCTATAAGAAAGAGCGGCAATATGCTCGAATTGGAAATAAAACTTTGATGCCAGGTCAGTATTAACTTCTACAGTTATGTCACTGAGAGCATCATAGTTGCAAGCACCGGCTGCTGATTAACAGCATACATGGTATGGTGAGCAGTTTGGATGGAAGCTGGTTTAATAAATACACTGCACTATCTATTACTGGCCAGAATTGAAAGTGAATTAAAACTGGTTCACAACTTATCAACTTTGCTGTTCAATTTTGAGTGGCAGCATTACAAATTGTAAATGAAATAATTGCATTGCCTAAGAAGAGGTCAAATTTGACTTGCTATGATATCGTTTTATGATTACTTCGGTAAGGAGAAATAAAAGAGAGAGAACAAGCCATTTATTTGGAACATTTTCATAGTATTCTATTCTATTCATATTGCTCGGTATATAGAATAGACCAACAGCTAACCATTGGATACTTTACTGCATCTGTTACTATCCGTATATTGCACATTACAGTGTGGAAGAGCTATATGGAATTTTCAAATAGAAAATATCAGGCCAATATTTCAATAGCCAAGTAGAGAAGTTATGATCAATTTTCTTTAATTCTAACCAGTATAGTGTATCAAGTACTTATTTACAGCATAAATCATTGTACTGTCTATTTCGTATGCTACACTACCAACTTCCATGATAACTGCTCACCATATCATAAGGACAGTGCTGTTCGGACAGCAGCTGGAATTATAACGCTCTCAGCTTAGCAGAATTTTTTTGTGAATGCCTAATTGCAACAAATATGGGAGGACCAAATGCTTTACGCAATCCAGACAAATCAGCTAGAGCTATTATTGACCTGGTAAAGCGTTTAACAATGGATAGAAATGGAGGTTATTTAGATATCGATGGTGAAGTCATACCGTGGTAGTCGGCTTACAGGATGGGATACAACGAATTTAGGGGTACTATCAATATGATTAATAAAGTTGAGCTTTAATTAGTCCTACTATCTTTAGTATTAAGATCTTTATAGACCTTAATTAAAATTACGTGGTGTATCATAATTTATCCAGCACATTTTATTTGCTCTATTTAATGCCAGAAAATAATGCATTCTTGCAGTAAACATCATTGGAGAATTGTTATGCATAACCATTCAGGTTATAAAATTGACGAAATTTTCGTTATACTGATATATTAAAGGAGGCTATTGGCGTGCATTAGCCATTGCTAAGTAATTTGTTTATTTAGCAGTACCTGTCTATCAATTCTATTGATATGTTGAAGTTCTTTGCTCGCTTGATTGCTAATACTTCAACATAGTAAGCAAAGTCTCTGATCCGCTATATTTAAATTCACGTATTATATACTCGGTCTGTTCGGTATGCTGTTTATATTGCAGGTGTAAGTAGGTTATTTATTAAAATGGTTGACTGCGTCATCAATACTGACTATTCTATTTTATTTTGTTGCTATTCTTTCGAGCTCTAGTCGGAGATTCAATCGCTCAGTCAAATATTTTATAATATTTCATTCGGATTAACAAAATATTAATAGACCAGAAATATACTTACAGGTAATGAAGCAATTTGTTATTATCTCATATCATTCCGATCAATATATTCTTGTGTAGTTAAATATGATTATTCAATAGAACTACGAAATATGTATACAAGTGCTTTGGGGGGGGGGGGGCGGGGGCGGGTGGGGGAGTTCAAAAACTCCTACAATCTTGGTAACTACTGTAGTTATTATAACTGTTCTTGCATCTTTATACAGCCTTAGCTTTAATTTACTATCTTTAAAACTCGATAATGATGATACAGCAATCAATAATATCAAGACTATGATCTACAGCAAACTGTTTTTCAGGAATGATAGGACATACTGTATTAAGGGTAGGTATCTTTGATACAGTAATATTAATCAGTTATTGCTGCATAATACATTGTAATCTTGTGAGTTAGTCATTAATAACATTACTAACGGAAATAGCCGGAGTTTAGCTGTACTCTCTATACTGTAATTTAAGCATATGAAGTTAATCTCGATGAATAGTTGTGATAAAGTGATCTTCTTATTAATAAAACAAACTTAGGTTTCCAGTAAATTCACTCTATTACATAGATTAGGTTCGTCTTACAATTACCAAGAACTATCTCTGGACTATCTTTACAGTAAAAGCTCGCGGTTTGTTTACCCTTTGTTACATAATAAATTTTACACATTACGATCATATTGTGCTTATTCAGTCGCAAGATAAGAGTTTATCATCGCGCGAGCTATTCATTATTCACGCGTTTATTATAAGCGTCTTAACAATATAATGGTTACACTATTGACGTACTTAGCGCAATCTATTTATATCATGAAATCTTAACATAAGCTTTTAAAAAATAATAATTATAATCCAAGCTGTATTTTGGGCTGCACTAAAATAGTGCTACTACCAATTTTATAATCCCTCCTCCCTCCTATTAATGCATTTGAAATGTTTAACGCATGCAGGTGTTAGGACTTTTACGACGGCATGGACATGTTAATCTACATCCACAATATATATAGTATTTTAAGAGTCTTAGGTTGTGTACTAGTAAACCTATAATGGCAGAATGCCATAAAAATTGTAATAATGAGTTATTTCTAGGTATAAGTTAAATTAAATTAAAGGAACAGTGTTTAATTTAACCTTTAATATGAAGAATGAATCTATCGTTCAGTTAGTTCGATTTGGACCCAAAATGATGTACTGTTTGAAATCTGACAAATAGCGCACAACTACAGTATATGACATTGAGCACAGTAACTGTATAACATTTAGCATACTGTTGGTATAATGAATTAAACCGCTATTAAAGAGTTCGGATTATCTTCGCCGTAGTACTTTTGTTAATGTCTACCGTTTTATTCTCTACTAGATACAAGCGTTACTGCCTTAGATATAAGATATGTAGCTATAATGGATTATCTAAAATGACTACGGGTACAATAGCCGCGGGCAGCGTCTCTGGGGATTCCTTTTGGAATAATACTGACGATTACTGTCTGTCGATTTGTTGTTTACTTGGATCTAACGACTACAAGGTAACTAAGTTACTGCTATATTTTCTGCAAGGTCTTACTGGGCTGCCAAAAACAATTGCGAATGCTATAGTCGAAGGTAGGCAATGCAGCAGTAATTGTACTCAATCTGAACTCTTGTAGAATAATCTTCGCCATATTACTAACCGTCTACAATTTTGCTCTATACGATGACCAAAGGTAGACATATAGCAACAGTCAGGGGATTCTAGAAGGAAAAACGTTCTCTACTATTTTTTGCAATTCCCTGGAGATCCCTGACTTTTCAGGAATAGCCTTTGTTATATCGGCTATAGTATTGATCATCCAAAAGAACAAAATATACTGGATACATACGTCTATATGCCAGATACTCGTACGCGACTTTATTCGATCATACATCAATCGATTTCTAATAGCCCAAAGTTCCATATCTTTGCTTATGCTCTGTCAGTAGCCGCTTACAGCTTTGGCTATATCAGGATAACTTATCGTTTATCTCATGGCTGAATCATTTCAAATCAATTCGATATTAGTAACTGGAACAAACCGTGGCTTAGGATTGAAGTTGGTTGAAGTGTTACTGACAGCGGCTAAGCCTCCACGATACATTTTCGCCTGCTACAGAGATGCCAATAAGATTACGGTGTCTATATTTTAACGATAATAAATTTAACTTTATTTTATGGACTTTCTATCAACTTAAGGAATGGTTAATCACTCACAGATTAACAGTTACAGATTTTACATTTAGTTAATAGTACCAAGGCCGATAATATTAATAACTATTACTCATTATTTTTTCTTATGAACACATGCAGAATCTACGAAAATTAGCTTTAGAGCATCAGAACTTGAAGTTGATCAAGATGGGTAAGTATCATTGCCAATAGTTAAGGATAATGATATTATAATTTTATACAGTATATTCATTAGGTTTGGACTTAAAAATGATTAAATTAACATGGATCTTTAAATATTACTGTGAAACCATATCGTACAGATGTTACAAGTGACGTGGATATAATAAATGCATTTAGTTTGGTGCAATCGATAATGCTAGATGATTGTAATGGACTAGACGTCCTAATAAACAATGCCGCAATTTTCGAAAAATCAAATCTAAGCGATGTTACTTCTAAAATGATGGAAGATTTATTTCGAGTAAATGCAGTAGCTCCGTTAATGATAGTGAAGGTAATGTAAAAGTATTTTGTTAAGTTTACCACAATACTTTTATTGCGATAAGAAATTAACTAATATTTTAGTCTAGGATTAAATTAAAGACCTTAAAAGACGCCTTTTTTATTATAGTCATTTCTTCCTCTGCTGAAAAAATCTTCAGTTAATTCTATCAATGGAGTTATTGTGAATGTTAGCAGTGGCAATGGATCTTTAACAAACCCACCGACGTTACCAGATAAATATCCGTATAAATGTAGCAAAGTTTGTATGATTTCTTATCATGATCTTATGCTTCTCGTTTTCTAGGTGTAATTGCTATTGAAAAAAATTATTTAAATATGCGGCATTGTTACTCTATCTACAGGTTGCATTAAATATGGTAACGAAAAATTTAAGTATTGACTTAGAAAGATACAAAGTTGCTACCATGGCAATAAATCCTGGTTGGATGGCAACGGATATGGGTAGGCCGAATGCCCCACGCACCCCAGATGAATCAGCCAGAGCTATTACTGACCTGATAAAGAGTCTAACAATAGATAGAAACGGAGGGTTTTTTGATATCCATGGCAAGACCATACCGTGGTAGATTTATATCGGCTTCCAGAGATGCGATGCAATCGAAATTTAGGAATGCTACTAATATAAGGAAGTTGGATTTGATTCGTTACGTCAATTTTAGAAATAGAATTCTTATAAAAATTTAACTCAAGTTACGAGTTACTTATCCTACATATTTTATCTATTCTATTTAATGCAAGAAGGTAGCTTATTCTTGCAGTTGTTCTCACTGGCCAATTTTAAACGTAATCATTTATGTATGGCATAATATTGGCGCAATGTTCGTTACTCTGAATTTTTAAAGGAGTCTATTAGAGTGCCTTGGCCATTGGCTTAGTATTTTTTATTTAGCGGTGCCGGTCTATCTATTCTGTTGATTTGTTAATATTCCTACCCCGTGCTTGCTTGATTACTAATACCTCAATATACTGTAGTAAAGAAGGTCTCTGGTTCGCTTTATTTGAACTCGTACGTTATTGTAAAGTAACTTAATATTGTGATTGTAGACTATTAGTCATGTTTAGTATGATGTACGGTAGTGTCTCTTCTATATTTATCTTATGATATACAGTATTTAGTAGCCCATAATTATAGACAGTAAGGATAGACTCTACAGTATGCTAGAGTACAGATGACTATATACAGTAAGATGTTGAGCTACTAGTAATGAAGGTTAATTTTTAGAATTTTCCTTCAAGTTCTTGCATTGAAATTATTCAAGCTTAGTTTTTTTTATCGTGATAAAAATGTTAGCTTTAAAAGTATGACTCATTTGGTTGATTATAATAGTAGATTTTACTAAGTATCTTAGTATATTGTAAACCCGACTGTTTTATTGGGGTTAGATGTTACGATAATCCGTAGCATAATTTTTTTAAGAATTAGATATTATGATTTTGTAACTTAAGCGATATATTTAGTTAATAGAATATATGTGTGCTAATTGTGATCATTAATTACAGTAGAAATTAATGCTACTTTGTAATTTCATGCAGTATGAACCTAAATATTTGATGTGGGATTGTTATTTTGTCTTCGTGTATATTGCAAAAAGGTACAGGTTCAAGCTCATCTATACCTAGTATTAGTAATTTTGGGGAGTCTAGGGTATAATTTATCTTGTCATGTGTCTTTGATTGCTAGTTTAATTTGGAGTAGTTTAGAACGATAGTTGGATAGTCTAATGCCATCAACTGCTCGACGTAGTATATGAAATGTGGAGTAATTCGGTAATTTAGTGCAGTTAAAGTTAGAGAAGACAAGAAAAATCTAGGATAATCGTACGTTATCTCACTAATTGATAGTTTGGTTGGTTGGGCTGTCGTTCTTCCCGTACTTTGCTATTTATTTAAAATGTGTTGCTAAGATTGTTGTTAAAGTTATAATAAAGTGGTGTTTTTTCCCTAATTTATTGATTTGGACTTCAATTGTTGGTAGTTTAATTTAATTTAGTTAAATGTTATTTTTTTAGAACCACCAATACTACTTCTGGTTCGCCTTATTTAACCTCGTACGTTATTGTAAAGTAACTTAGTATTTTGATTGTAGACTATCAGCCATATTTAGTATGATGTACGGTAGTATCTTTCGATATTTATCCTATGCTATATTTAGTAGGCCATAATTATAGACTGTATCCTAGTAGTGAACATCCGTGGATAATTTTTAACATAACCATTTATGAATGTATGTCATACAATTAGTGCAATTTTGGCTACATTGACTTATTTAGAGGCAATTATCGAAGTTATAACTGGCCGAATAACTAGCCATTAACTCGGTCAATCCCTATGCATGACCGAACAATCGGTAGGCTGGTCAGATAGGAATGAAGAAGAATACATCCATCGTTCTGTCTGTCCAACCGGGCAACCAATTGGGATATCGAGCTGATACTGAAAGCAGGGTACTGTTTGAAATGGGAATCAACGTTCTGGTCTAGTTGATACTGAGTCTGCAGGTAGCATCAGGGACTGCTCAGGGCTTACCGAGAGCGTAGTCGCTGATTGCATACTGAATCAGTTTGTGGGTTGAAGGTCTCTAGGGTATGGTAGAAACTCGCCAGGTTCCAGTGAATGGCGTTGACGACTTTGATCGTTGCTGTTGACAAATTCGGTGATCCATTTCTTCATCCAATATTATTTCTTTGCTTTAATCGTAATCAGAAATTGGTTAAAGTGTCGTGCTAGACAATCACTACTCTTATGGCGCAATTAGTCCATATCAATTCGATATTGGTAACAGGAGCAAATCGTGGCTTGGGATTGAAACTGATCGAGGTGTTACTCGCATCCAGTAATCCTCCCAAACATGTTTTCGCTTGCTACCGAGATGCTGGCAGAACAACGGTAATTTGTGAGCATTGCAATGGATATCATTGATGTATAGGTCGAATTGTTTTAGGCAATCCACTTGAGCTACGATTGAATACTACAGTTGGAAGGCCATCATTGACAGCGAACGACTGGATAGAGAAAGGATACAATCTTGACTAACCTTGTTGTTGACGAGATAGTCGTAGTGTATTCCAGTTCTCGATAGCAGTAGACTACGGCCAAGTTAAATGAACAACGTAGTGGATCAGTTACAAGTCGAACTTTATCTCCTGTTGCCATGACCCAGCTATGATATATAAAGTGTTCTCATAAAGATACTGGGTTAGAGTAATAAAAAAAAATATCTATCACCATAAGATAATCCTGCCGTCGGCAATGGCTGTCACCTAGCATTAAAGGGATTTCTTTCAGAAATTACACTTGCTGCATCCTCTGATGAATGGTAGCTGTATCAACACTTACTTTATTAAGATGTACAGTTCTACACGACATACTATCACTGTATTGCCAACATAAAACTACTGTAATTAGCTGAAATCACTACAGTAACCTTATTCGATAATGTCCCTATTAGGCGACGAAGAAATGCTCATCATCGGTACTTGAAACTTCAATCCATCACAGTAGAGCATACCCATATTGGATTTTCCATGACAAATTCATTAGCAGCCACTTTTAATTGAATTAAATATTTTGTATCTGTTTTATGATAAGTATAATACAATAGTAATCAATTCACGATCATTCCTTTTATTTTTGATCACTGTAAACACGTAGAGTATTAAATGTTATGGTTAATCCTCCTAACTTAATATGATATATAGCTCAATGACCATTCAACACATATGAAAGTAATTGTAGCTATAGCTCTACAGTGCATGGCTAAATTAAAGTTGTACGCGTTGATCAAAGATATCTGTGCAATTGAGAAAGTAGTATTGCGGAGGTGTAGTTCTACATCATAACAAGCTATGAGGTAGGTTTGCTAGGTTGAAGAAAAATACGGATATTTTACATTTAAGCAATATCATCATGGTTTATAACCTCAGTGTGCCAGTTGAATAGTTTTCAGTTTCATTAGATATCTATTTTGGCAGAATGGATGCTTCATATAAATATAGTAAATAAAGGGACAACGCATACGTGCTTTCATGTTATTTTTGCATCTGGAAATGGTTTGTACTCTTCAGCAAACATGTAAAATCGCATTACTTTTTCAAGGCAGTTTTACTAAAAGATAAAGATGGAAATCGTTTTCTGTAAAACTGATAGAACATAGTAAGACTAGATATCTGTTATAATATTAATCAATTAATTATTGCTGCTTAATGTGTCTTCAGTTGAGTAGCATTGGATTTCAATTCATTAGTAGATATTCTAGTTACCTTATTACAATTTACAAATAATGTTTAATTATAAACGATAATATAGGATTTACAGAAATTAGCATCAAAGCATTCCAATTTGAAGTTGATCGAGATGAGTAAGTACGCTACCTAAAAGCTAGGGCTAGTGCCTTTACAATTTTGCATTTATTGACGTGAAATCGATTTGAATTAATCGCTCAATATTACTATTAAATCAATGGAAATAGACGTTACAAGTGATACAGAAATTCAAAGTGCATTTAGCACTGTAGAATCGATGATATCGAACGATGGACTTGATGTTCTGGTCAACAATGCTGCAATTCTTGATAAATCAAATCTACGCGATATTACTCCTGAAATAATGGAAAATTCATTTCGAATCAATACAGTAGCTCCGTTAATGATTGTAAAGGTAATAAAAATGACTATTCGACCCGTTTACAAAATATAGATTCTACAGCCAATTGAACTCGTTAACTGCTTTAGCTGAGACTGCAATTATCGTACTATCAATTTCTTATATCGATTGCTTTCATGTTACAGGCTTTCCTTCCTCTACTGGAAAAGCCCAAAGACAATACTGTAAACGGTGCTATTTTAAATATTAGCTCTATAGCCGGATCCTTAATTAAATCGTCATCGTTACCGGATAGATATCCATATAAATGTAGCAAAGTTCGTATTATTAAGTCATAGACAGCCTATATTACTATATACATGAATAAATATCCTATTTTTAGTTGCTATCGTTGTAGAATTAAATTTATTCGAACATACGTAATTATATTTCTACCTTATTTACAGGCCGCACTAAATATGATTACGAAAACTTTAAGTATTGACTTGAAAGATAAAAAAATTGCCGCTTTAGCAATACATCCTGGTTGGATGGCAACTGATATGGGAGGATCGAATGCTCCACACTCTCCGGAACGATCCGCCAGAGCTATTATTGACTTGATAAGTCAGCTGACAATGGATAAAAGTGGAGAGTTTGTTAATATTCATGGAGATGCAATACCGTGGTAATTTTAGGTTAGGTTGCAATCAAATTGGAATTGTTACAAGATGTTTTTCGCATTGAGGCAGGAAGCCCGTTGACTTCTTATGTTGATTTTAATAACCATTCATAGCATATATATTACAATATGTCATGAAGCTAGGTTGAAAAATTTTGAAAAGTAGTTATATCAGTAAAAAGCTGATTATCGTTCTTTTAAATAGAAGTTCAATTATACTGTAGTAAGGTACACGGTTCTAATTCGTTATCTGGTTTAATAAAAGCCTTCACTGTAAATGCTGTCATTTATCTCTTCCTAACAGTAAATGCTTGAATAAGGTCGTTTTCTCTACTGCAGATCTCGGAGAGTTCAACGGAGATCACCTTAGAGTAGATAGTAAAGTTTTGGTCTGATCACAAAGGCTGCTTCGTGACAAGCTAATATTACTAATTATACTGTAATTATAAAATGAGTAGAGCACAATTCAAATGATTTTTTCTGCCAACCATTTAGCACAGGCTATCACTATATGTTTCATGGAACGCTCAACTTTATAAATGTCTATCAGGAATGAACATTATATGATAAGACATGAACTACTAAAGTAGATCTTTATCTAGTAGTCTATGGACTCCATGGATAAGGATAGAAAGGAATTATCTGAAGTTAAGTATTGGATATTGTAATCTTGTAAGTCGGTCATTAGTAACATTACTACGGGAATAACCGGAGTTTAGCCGTACTCCCTCTGCTGTAATCTGAGCTTATGAAGTCAACGTTAATGAATAGTGCCAGTCCAAATTTAGATTGCCATAATGATTGCATTAGTTAATCATTCCTATCTTGGAGGTAGACAGCGCTTAATTAGAATATGTCCAGGAATCAGTCAGTCCAAATTACAGTAGGCAGAGTACTATTTAAAATCTGAATGATTGAGCAAGATTAAGCAATAGTTCGCATCCGTGAGCACAGTAACTGTAGCGTAGTTACTTTCCAGTAGTGCATGGTTTAACCCATATTAAATTATGTCTAGAACTTTGATCATTGCTGTTGACAAATTCGGCGATCAGTGATCCATCTCTTCATCAAGTATTATTTCTTTGCTTTAATCGTAATCAGAAGTTGCTTAACGTGTCGTGTTACACAATCACTACTCTTATGGCGCAATTAGTCCATATCAATTCGATATTGGTAACAGGAGCAAATCGTGGCTTGGGATTGAAACTGATCGAGGTGTTACTCGCATCCGTTAACCCTCCCAAACATGTTTTCGCTTGCTACCGAGATGCTGGCAGAACAACGGTAATTTGTTAGCTTTGCAATGAATATCATTGATGTATAAGTCGAATTGTTTTAGGCAATCAACATGAGCTACGATTGAATACTATAGTTTTAAGGCCATCATTGACAGCGAACTACTGGATATAGAAATGATACAATCTTGACTAACCTTGTTGTTGACGGGATAGTCGTAGTGTATTCCAGTTCTCGGCAGCAGTAGACTATAATAAAGTTGAATGAACAACGTAGTAGATTAGTGTATCAGGGCTTTCGATGCTCATGTGAACGTACCATTACAAGTCGAACTTTATCTCCTGTTGCCATGACCCTGCTATGATATATAAAGTGATCTCATAAAGATGCTAGGTGAGAGTATTAAGAAATTACACTTGTTGTATCCTCTGACGAATGGTAATAGTATTAGATAGCGTCTCTCTTAGGCGATGAAGAAATGCTTACGATGGGGGTACTTTAAATTTCATTCCATCACAATGCAGCATGTCCGTATTTAAATTTACAGCCATTAGGTCCATTACTAATGTAAAGTGATGACAAATTTGTTAACAGCTCATCTTTACATTAACCAAATAATTTGAATATGTTTTATGGTAAGTGTAGTACATTAATAGTAATAAATTCAGGAAGACTCCTTTTATTTTAACTACTGTAACATGTTGAATATTAATATTATGGTCTATCCTCGAAACTTTATATGATGAATAGCTCAACGATCATTAATTAGATATGAAAAGTAATTGTAGCCACAGCTCTACAGTGCATGGCTAAAGCAAAGTTGTACATGGATAAAGGTGTCTGTAAGGCAAACTAGATAGAGTAGTACCTAGAGTTTCAATAGACAAAGTAGAATTGCGGAGGTAGTTCTACACAATAACAAGCTATGGGGTAATTTTGCTAGGTAGAAGAAAAATACGGATATTTTACATTTAAGCAATATCATCAGGCTTAACAACGTCGGTGTGCTGGTTGAATAGTGTCTAGTTTTATTAGATAACTATTTTGATATAATGGATGCTTTATACAAGTGTAATGATTAAAGGGACAATGCATACGCGCTTACATGTTATTTTTGTATCTGGAACGGCTTGCATTCATCAGCAAACATTTAAAATTTCACTATTTTTCAAGGTAGTTTCACTAAAACATAAAGGTAGAAATCGTTTTCTGCAAAACTGATAAAACATAGTAAGGCTAGATATGTCTGATATTTTAATATTAATCAATTATTGCTGCTTAATGTATCTTCAGTTGAGTAGCACTTTATTTTAATCCACTAGGAGATATTCTAGTTACCGTATTACAATTTACAAATCATGATTAATGATAGATTAATTATTAATGATTATAACCTATACTCTTAATAATATAAGTTCATATATTGTTAATCATTGTACAATGTACATACAAGTAGGATTTACAAAGATTAGCATCAAAGCATTCCAATTTGAAGTTGATCGAGATGAGTAAGTACGTTAATTAAAAGCTAGGAGTAGTACCTTTACAATTTTGCATTTATTTTACTCGATAAAAATTTTGGATTAATCGCTCATTATAGATGTTGCAAGTGATACAGGAATTCAAAGTGCATTCAGTACTGTAGAATCGATGATACCGAACGATGGACTTGATGTTCTGGTCAACAATGCTGCAATTCTCGATAAATCAAATCTATGTGATGTTACTTCCGAATTAATGGAAAATTCATTTCGAATCAATACAGTAGCTCCGCTAATGATTGTAAAGGTAATAAAAATGACTATTCGGCCCGTTTACAAAACATTCATTCTACAGTCAATTTAATCACCAACTTAACGTGTAAGCTTGAGAATGTAATTACAAGTCTTTAATATGATTTTTATCAGGCGATCATATACGCAAGACACCTATCTGTTATTAGAAGTTATAATGAATGTAATGATTTCAGCTAATTGCTGTCGTTATGTGTTAGAGAAATACAGTGATAACATATAATGTAGAACTGTATGTCTTAACAAAGTGCTGTAAGTATCGATTAGGCTAGTATGATGAAACAGCTCACATGCTAACTCGTTAGCTACTATAGCTGAGACTGCAATTATCGTACTATCAATCTCTTTTATAAATTGTTTTCGTGTTACAGGCTTTCCTTCCTCTACTGGAAAAGCCCAAAGACAATACTGTAAACGGTGTTGTTGTCAATATTAGCTCTATAGCCGGATCCTTAATGGAATCGTCATCGTTACCGGATAGATATCCATATAAATGTAGCAAAGTTCGTATTATTAAACTGCAGACACCCTATGTCATTGTATATACATAAATACGTATCCTAATTTTAATTGGTATCGTTGTAGAATTAAATTTATTCGAACATGCGTAATTATATTCCTACGTTATTTATAGGTGGCACTAAATATGATTACGAAAACTTTAAGTATTGACTTGAAAGATAAAAAAATTGCCGCTTTGGCAATAGACCCTGGTTGGATGGTAACAGATATGGGAGGACCGAATGCTCCACTCTCTCCAGAAGAATCAGCCAGAGCTATTATTGACTTGATAAGTCAGCTGACAATGGATAAAAGTGGAGAGTATTTTGATATTTATGGAGATGCGATACCGTGGTAATTTGAGTCTGGCTTGCAATCGAACAAGAATTATCACAAGATGTTCTTCGTATTGGGGCAGAAAGTCCGTTAACTTCTTATGCTGACTTTAATAATCGTTCATAGCATACCTCTTACAATATATTATGAAGATAGGTGGAAAATGGTTACATCAAGGCTTATGACCTAATTTTACTTTTCTTAGGTGACTCAAACTAACAATACGCGCAAACTCTTTGACATTCTTGTGAAAAATTTAAACAATTTTACATCCTATAGACGTTAATTGTAAGGCAGTTCTACTTTTGGTTCGTCATATCGTCAAGCTTTCGTTTTATTACGAAATATACATACTCAATGGATTTAATTCTCTCTACTGTTTGTAATATTGACTTGTTTTGTAATCAGTTGCATATACCTACAGGTTTTAAATAAATTACTCACGCACTGAAATATTACGATGCAATGATAGATCGAAGTAGGTAGTACTTAAACCTAGAATTAAAACTGTGCCACTTAAACTAACGATTTATTTCTATTTATAATACCAGAAATGTTTTTATAACTAGTATTAACAGTTATACGGTAATTATAAAATGCATAGAGTAGAATTCAAGATATTTTATTCAGCGGATCATTTAGCGAAAGCTATCGCTAAGTATTTGATGAAACACTGAAGTTTATAAATGACTACCAGGAATGAACATTATATCATAAAGCACGGGCTACTATAGTCGATCATTTTCTAGTAGCCCATGAATAAGGATAAGGTATTATCTGATGTTAGATAGATTAAAAGTATGAAACTGTATTGAACATTATAATCTTATGAGTCGGTCATTAGTAACATTACTAGCGGAAATAGTGGGATTTTAGCTATACTCTATACGCTGTAATCTGAGCATATGATGTCAACCATGTCGAATAGTGGTAGTCCAAATTTTATAATCGCCCCTACGAATGCATTTGAAATGTATAAAGTATGCAGGCATTAGGGCTTTCACGACTGTATAGGCAAGTCAATATACACCTTCAACACGTGTAGTATTGAGTCTTAGATTGTTCACCAGCAAACCTATAATGATAGAATACCATATAAATTATACTGATTAATTATTTCTATATATTACATGGATAGGGCTATCTTCTAGAAGTAGACAGCGCTTAAGAATTGCGGACGAGTGCAATATATAAGAATAGAAGTTCATGTAGCTCACGCTAATAATACCCCATACACGCGTATTCAAGAAAGCAGTAGTTTAGAAACTACTGTAGAAATAAATAGTCTGACTCTGTTTTGTTGATGTAACATTAGCAAGATTAACTAACTTAAATAGCTGTTGACGTTAATATAGGAGATCCTATATTAGCTGAGATATCTTATCTGGTATGATGATTATAAGAGTGTTGTTGACTAAAAATGTATGAATAATATAATCAGTGATTAACTATGTGGTATTTGGAAAGATAGGTGATAACATAAGAAACCATGGTGTTAGTAGAAGCTCCTACTATATTAATTAAGAAGCTATAGTAACTTGTAAGATGGCAGATGATGTTTGCCTGTTGTATATAAAGCAAGTTCTTCCTGTAAATGGTTAGCTCTTATCCTCAGTTAACATTAGACCCTCAATAAATTGTAATACAGCTATTACTATCCACTGACGTCTTCTTTGGGTTTGAATTTTATTACAGCTGGTCATTTTTATTTATACTTTACCTTAAACGAATATACTCCAGCTAAGGCAATACTTTAAAAACTAGAAATGAACAGGATGAGTCTATATTACTGATCATTTATCATTTCAATTGTACTCTGCAACCTTACACGAACTTAGGGACATTACTTCTCAACTATGATTTTTGAAACTAGAAAAGAACGGGATAGGTCTGTTTTGCTGATCAGCGGTCATTTTAATCGTTTTCTAGCTTACACGAGCATATTATAGCCAAAGCAACACTCTGGAAACTAGAAATAAACAGGATGAGTCTGTTTTACTGATCAGTGGCCATTTTAATTGTACTCGAGCTTAACAAGTCTACAACAGCTAAATCAATGCTTTGGAAACTACTATAGAAATGAACAGGATGAGTCTATTTCATAGACTAGTGGTTACTTTAACTGTAATCTCGCTTCTATGAATATGCCACCGTAGTGCAGTCCCAAATAAGCTTAAGATGAAGATCATTATGTATAAATCGTAAATATTGCTGTAATAAGTTAGATAGTCTGATTGAAACGAATCCTTGGTAGTTGTAAGATGAGCCTAATCTTATGTAATGCAGTGAATTTTCCAAGAAACTGTCATTCACGTTGTATTTTTGAGAAGACACTTTATCACAACCACAGTTAAAGCAACATTTTGGAAACTAGAAATGAACAAGGTGATTCTCTTTTACAGGCCATTTTGACTGCATCGTCCCTCCGTAAGTGTACACTGAAAATTACATCAGTTCAAGAATGAGAAGATCAGTTGAGCTGGCTGGTAGATTTCAGATCGTAAAATGGATAGAAAAAACGATCAGTCTTTCCATTTTTAGCGCTACAATCCTTTCCCTTGGCTATTTTTATTTTCTTTATGATAGCACTTAGACTGGCACACACAATACTAGCTGATATACTTCACTGTCCAAGCTTATGACTGGATAGAGACTCCATGATAGCTATACTCGTATATTGTAATATAAATTGTGTGTTGATCGCAATCCGGGAAATAATATACTGCCGTATGGCTAAAAATGGGTAGAAAGGGAAGCCAGGTTGTAAAGCGAACGCCTAGCCAGTTTCTATCCTAGCAGTACAAGAAATGGCTATGATTTCTATCGGTCAGTGGGCACGGTACAAGCACTGCAGAATGGACATTGTCTACAGGACTCCATTAATATTCATAGAATTCTATAATTTAAAATAACTACAGGGCTTAATACAATAGGACAATCGCGTCTAATAACGGACAATTCGATTATACTGTATAAAATAATATCTTGGATATCATGTTACTAATTGTAGTGCTATCTCTTGGGCTGCAGTGCATTATATCCAAGGAGCACGACTTCTCTTCAAGCTAGGAAATTCTTCAACTTGATTGCCTTTTCTTTTTTGTTTTGCTATTGCTGTTGCTGTTGCTATTCCTGCTGGTGTCATGTATAAAAGACAACCATCGATACCATTGAAAGCAAGTTGTTCTGCTTTATGCAATAATTTAGATGTTTCCGATGCAAATTCATCGCAAAGTGGCGGCAGTTTAACCTTTGCTGTGGTTCATAAATCTGTATCGCATTTAATTAATTCGTCGCCTGGATTGCCTCATATCTATAGACAAGTAACATGCAAAGAAAGCGGTACAACTCAAACGAGTACGAGTAGTAGTATTACTCAGGTAAGAGAAATGATCATGATCACATGAAATCCAATCATGTCTAGACGCCTTGAGGATAGACTATAAATTGGATATACAAAGACAGTTTGTACGTTAATGTAGGGGTTGTTTGTTCATTATGACGATCTTAATGTACTGATTTCAATCGAGTTATCATCCCTTGCTTGAATCCAAATTTAGTTTTGTAAATTTCTATTTCCTACGATCCATTGCAAATAGATTCATCATGAGCGTCCGCTCCAAGTTAGCACGATTGATCACTTTCATCAAACATGATCTACATCTTGTTGAAAATGATGATAATATTGACTTTACCTAGGATGTTCAGTAGTTTGTTCAGTAGTGTGTAGAGTACATTAAATAGATGACGTTAAATAAAGTATTGATCAACTGTCGATGGTAGGCTAAAACGTCGCATTTAGACTAGACTACGACAGATTAAGCGTTAGCATGTAGAACGAGCGTGATCGATATTGAATGCACGTGAATTGAAACCAAATAGGAATCGAAGACAGTAGATGAAAGGGATGTTTACTTATAAAGGATAAAAGTAATGTTAAGACACATACTAAAGTGGAGTTGATTAATGCCATGGGATCAGTTTATCTTTACTTTTTGATATCCGTTTAATGTTAACTATCATGGAAGAAACTGTATGGACAGAGGTATGTCTACCGGCTAGATTTTCCTTCCCAAAAATTTTCAAATGTCTTCCTACAGCATATCATATCGACTGTTGGTAAGATTACGAATAGTACAGAAGGATAAGCTAATCATGAATGATTTAGGATCGTACTGAATGCATGCAAATAGAAGTCAAATGGTAATCGCAGGCAGTGGATGAAAGGGATACTTACTTTTGAAGGATACAAATAGTGCTACATACGAGAGTGAACTTTATTAACGCTTTAGGATCACTTTATCTCTACCTTTTGATATCAATTGAATGATGACTGTCATAGAAGAAATGAAAGATACAGAGGCGTATCTACTGACTAGACTTTCCATCAAAAAATTTTCCAAATGTCCTCCTATTTCATATTGAACTGTTGGAAGAGGATCGGATAGAATAGGAAGCAAATAGCGTTTTCAGTGACACCGTAGACGGTAGTAATTTAACTTCAGTAAGTATCGCCGCCAATCATGAATATATCCCGTATCAATCGTTCCATTTATGGTGGATTACCATATTTGAAACTAAATAGAGTTGATGTAACTACGTTAGATTGATTACTTTGTCAATGGAAGGAAAAGTATTCAATTTAAAATCATTAAAATAGCTGTTTAGGCATAAAACTTGCCCAAATTCTTCGCTATCAATACACAGTATCAAGAGTACAACAAATCATATTCTCCAACTTTCTATTTTAGAAATTTTAAGGTTAACGATAATTCATTTAGATTAACACCGTATCCAGTAACATTTTAAGAAGAAGAATTTACCGAGTATCATTTGCAATAACCGGTGCTACCGTTTCGATATTGCTGTTAATAACCATGGTTCACTCATCGACAAATCATTTTCATATTTGTACACGGTAAAAAGTTACTGAACCTCTGACAGGTCTATCAAATGGTAATACTATCTGTTAAATGAGCACATTATCGTAAACCGTCAGCAAAGCGACAGGAGTTTGTACTAGTAACATCTGCAAAAATAACATGACGTTTTCAACGCCATGTCTAGCTTTAGACATGATTCTGTAATATTAAAAACTATTATTCTACCTTACTATTCTTGTGCTATTGCGTTGTCTGCATTTGCGACTATTCTCAATACATGAATATTAATAATGGTGACCAATTGGCTCCCTAATTTGCATCATTGTTCAATTTATACAGTATTAACCTTACCAAACCTGATCATTTTATATACCCTATCATGAGTTTTGATCGTACTCCATGATAAAATGTATATGGTCATTTTTTCTGCTTAATACCATCAATACATTCTTGTCTAGTATAATAGGAACGCTCTTACTTGACAATTAATTTCAATGCAGACAAATCTTCACTAATGTACAAATTTTTAATATACCAAAAAAAATCCAATTTACTCTCTGTTGGATATGTAGCCATGTAAAATAAATTAGAGCGGCTTAAAGAAGTCAATTTAGGAAAAACTAACTATTGTGGCTATCTATAGTTATAGTACTTCCCTTACAAGTTAGTTTATACGAGTATATAAAAATAATAATCATATTAATTCTATTTAGATTACCTAGGTAAATCTTTACTTCTGTTTTCAAAAAGGATTTTAGGCTACCGTAGATACCAAAATAATATTATTCCAACTGCTTTAATCGATATAATATCTATGCTAAGTGATATTCATTTGAGTTAAAAATGTATTTTAAACATTTATTATTCAAGTTTAATGGAATGTAGATTTCTAGTTTAACTGTCTTTACAATACCTTTATGACAGAAAGGAAGTCAATATCCATTAAAATATCCTTATGGCTACAGTTCATTCATGTTGTTGAGTTTTACAAAAACTTCTCATTTGAAATTAACATCCCTGCGAACTTGAAAATCATGAATAATTCAACGTACCTCTGCTAGTTTTATGAATTTCACTTTTCTTATACTAACTAGCCCTCAAACTAAGTTTGTGGACGTAATTTTCTCTTTCAAATATCCCTCTAGCTGTTGATAATCATAATTATAATTTTTAAGTTTGCTAAAATTATTTGTTATTGAGCTTGAGTTCCTTCCAATACATAGGAATTATATAGACTATGATCATAACCTATTACTGAGGTGATCAGAATAAAATCAGAACTAAGAGTGTCATTCTAATGAATTCATTTCTTAGGCCGTGATTCTATAAACAATAACTATCCTTAGCGATTAAATTCATCATTATTATTAGTTTATTAAACTCGGTGACACAGATCTAATTTTCATCTGATTGCTTCTTACCAGTTGATTATTATCCAATACACATATATTCTACTTTAGAAGTGGATGTTAAGTTGTTTGTTAATTGCACCAATAGCATGTTAAATACTTATAAACGGATTTGACAATTACGCCGATTGATTACTATAATTTATTTCCTACGAAATTTTTAATATCAAAAAACTGAAAGTTAGCAATTTTTTAAAGTATTTAATAAAAATAGTAACTAGACACTGTAGCAAATCATGGTATGAATTGCTATAGGTGGACTTTACAGAATCGACTTTAACTAGTATCACCAATGTGCTGAGTATACAACAACTATAATCATATTTAATAATGTAAGTATTCTATTTGCTTTGTGTCTAGAAGTTAAACTAGGTTATTATTTAATTTTTAGAGTTCTTGGTGTGCTTTGGAATCTAGAAAGGTATTAGTTATTGCATCACTGAAAGGCATCCAGGTTAGACAACGAACAATTAGAAAAGTTATTCTTTGATTATGTATTATTCAGAATCTGTAAAATAATGCAATAGATGTATAGTAAGATAGTTGATAGAATAAAAATCATTATATATAAGGGATCAAATATATTAATCTACTAATGATCAAAGTTAGCATCTCTATGAAATGCCAAATCGATTTTATTGTAGCTCTGAAAGACGTGTCTGCTTTAACATATCTTATATGACAATTTATTTTCATCACTCTTTCTTCACAGATGTTTGAACCTGATGGATCTATAATGCTGTTTTGGCATGCCTTAAACAGATCAGATGAAAAGACTGGTGAGCTATAAAAGAATAAATACATTTTTTTGATATAATAGGTTTAGACATGCTAAACTTTCGTTGCACATTTTAAACTGATTTACTTTATATTCACATTGAAAATGAATGGATCAGGTTCTATCCTATTAATCCGTTATAAAAAGATTCGACATAAAATTGTATAAATAGATATCTACATATAGTAACGCTAAGAACTAAAATCTTAAATTTTCTCTCCAATTTAGCTCAGTTTGCTCGTGGTATTACAAGTATTAAATCTGATAATTTAGTGTGCGTCGGTAAGATCAGTTGACTTTTGATCGTCATTTACTTCACTTTTCTTTTGATTTAAGAATAATTCCAATATAATACGTTATACCATTATAGGAACTTCGTCTGGATCTATCTTGATCTTCAGTGTTGATGATAACGGAAAGGTTTTGAATATTCAGTTGAAAGAAACTCTTTCAGGTCATGATGTACCTATAACTGATTTAATTTCCGGAGAATCGGACACTCTAGCTAGTGCTGATGAATTGGGAAATATAGCCATATGGAAAACCAGTGATAAATCCATTAGCAAAGTGACATTGATCAAAGGACAAAAGTTTGTAATCAATTCTTAGTTTTATCGATGGCTAAAATTTGCTTTTACTACATCTCAAATTTATCTTGTCTACGCTTACCTGATAGTTATCCATGTTCATCGATACGTCTTTGGGATAAATATATTATCGGTGGGTATGGCTCCGGTCATATTCGAATTTATGAAGCTAATACAGGGAATTTGGAGATAGAAATTGCTGCTCATGCACGATGGGTTAATGCTATTGATGTCGCTTTTGAGGCCAATTTGGTAATACTCGTATAAGCTAAAACTCTTAATCGATCTGATATCATGAATTAGAATAATAATACCTACTATGACTATGATATAGTACTTGATATATCCATGTATAACCACTGCTATACACAAGTTTTGATATACCTTACGTATGGATTTTTCAGTAGTATCATTACTATTTTACTTTAGTTATTATCGGCATCGGAAGATACCTATGTTCGTGTTTGGTCATTAGGCCTGGTGGATAATAAATTAAAGGTCTGTATCCTTTTGAAATTTTCAAGATACACGTATCAATTTCGATTGTAATATGCTTAATTATAAATAGGTCGAAATGAAATTTTCCGAATCTGTAACTGACGTTCAACTGCAAGGATGTAAATTTACTTCACCTGAAGGTCTTACTTTTGCACTTACTGGTTATGATTTTAGTGAAATATATCTTTTTTCCCGTTAGTCTATGTATAGCAGTTTGTAATGTTTACAATTACCGTCATCCGATCTCAAATGATTACCCGTAACCTGAATTTCCTATACATTTGACATATTAGGTATTCCGATTACAATTATTTAATGTATTTACGTTTTTAAAATGCAATTTTACTGTCACCATTGCAAAATTGTAGCGAATCAATTAATGTTACTATGAGCTTACATCGAAATTGTTGTAGTATGTTGATGCATTGCGACTACTTACGGTACAGTACATACGGCTAGTTGGGATGTTACTTTTTACTCTACGACTTCATTAGTATATCTTAATATCCGATAACACTTTATTTGATTGTTTTGTAATATTTTGAACTACCTTCCAACAAATAGAGTAGCTATAATTATATGCTTGTCTATTTAATAATGTAATCTGCAAAAATAAAATGAACGATGAATACAATTTATCGGTGCGAATTACGTTTATTTTAAAAAAAATATTCTGGCATGCAGTAGCCAATTGCAAGAAAGATGCAAGAGTTTACTACGTATTGAACTATTAAAATGTTTAATATCAAAAATAATATGTAACACATTAACATTTTACCGATAGTACAAATAATAAGTTGTAGATTTTAGCTACATAACTCCATCAAATGCTAAATCAGGCAAGATAAGTAGATAAATTCATAATACGAGTAATTAATTTTAATTGATCATCGTATCATTATTGCAATCCTCTTTTACAGACTAGAATAAGCTTTCATGGTGGCAAGTCTGCATATTAGATTGAATAGAATGAACTCTTTACAATAGTGCATAAATATTTTTAAACATATTAGCCAATATATTTACTGACGTTTACAATCATAATTGTAATCGGTACTGCTTAATACAGATATACAGTGTTGTACACTTACAAGTTTATGATACTACTAGAATAGCATAGACTATGCAGATTTAACATAAGACATACATAATTTGTGGTCACGAATATCTCCCCAGCCGCCGTAGCCATTCGGCCGACTAACTCCGGCGAATCTTCGAATTTCCCTATTCTGACTCGTGACACCGATAGTCTGCGGAAATAAGTAATCCATATTTGCGGATAACGAACGTTCAATTGCTGTGATTGTATCTTCCATTTTACAAAAACGTTTATGATGAAGGCCGGAACTATCAAGAAAAATAAGCATAGAAAATTATTGAGTAAAGCATCCGCTTATTGACACAAACAAGAGCAGGATTTTTTAGAATTAACTGAACACACCATTCGCCTGCGTGAAATACATGTGGTGCTTGCATTGTTAGTATTGTTAGAGGACGATTTAGACATTTGCTGCTCAGACTTTGAATTGTCCAATCCCAATTATAATCATCAAATCGACAGAATTGCTAATAAAACAATGTAAATATCGACAATCAATTTGGTATCACGGAATTCGACATTAGAATGAAGCATACATTATTGCAACGTTTGATTTTATCAAACGTGGCTCTATTCATAGCCATGCCCATGTTATTCTTGTTTGACGCCCAAGCAACATAATCAGCCTGCAAATGACACAATATGGCTGTTACTGGGTTAAAAGAATGAAGTTACGGTATTTGTCTACCAAACTACCTTATGCTTAAAGTGCGAATAACTGCCATGCCGATTATATGAGCCTAAGCCAAGAAAATCGCAGTTTGGGTATTCACTATGAATGGTAAAGGATAAGCATTATATTCATAGTCGTCAGCATACAATGTTACAAATTGCACAAATTAAGACCGGCATAACTTTACGAACCTATTACGCTTTTGCTCTAATAGTTTCATGATTGTCAAAAAGTCAGGGGCTACGTAATGATCTTCCTCAAGAAGTAGTACTAAGCCTTTATAATCCTTGAGGATATTAAGTTGGTCGAAAACAAAATTGATCTATACAACAAAAATTATGGGTATTCATCAATCAATTTTGTAACACTTGCTTGATATTAGTATGAATCACTCACCTTCCACCACCAATGATGCTTAGTCATAGTATAATCTGCTTCGCGGTAATGTCCAAATTGATCAGGGTAGTTGGCATTCAAACATTTCTTAACTAGTGCTCTATTGTTGTCCCATTAAAGTTGTAAGTTAATGACTGCAGTATAGTAATATTAGTTAGACGATTATTTATGCATTTTGCAGTACAAGCTTACAGCTCTTTAGGTGTATCGCGTTTGCAGTCTCTTGGATCTGTGCCTGGAAATACATCAGGATGCAACTGGGCTGAATAAGGGAAAAATATTTGTATGACCTAGAAGCACATAAATCTAAAGTCAGAGTAAGTAGTCTTTATGTCTATTTTAAAATTACAGATCGATTGTGCTATTGATCAATTTGTGATTATACGTATAAATAGACATGGAATGAATGGAAAGATACCGTATGGATACTATCATGAATTGATTGCTGCATGTGATGTTGCAAACTATTTCCATCATGGTGATTGCTTTGTTTACTACAGAAAGTCTGTTTAAGTGCATGGATATTGGATGATAGTGAGACTTACAGGACAAAATTGAACACTTTCTACCACAGTTCTCATCTCTGTGAGTAAATAATCATGGCTGACAATTAATAAGATTTTATTGATTCCACGAGCTTTGTGTAAGGATTGCATCAACGCTTGCAAGTATTTATATCTTTTATGACTTTGTACCACAACTACTAAATCGAATTTGTGATTGCTTGTCGACTGTAATAAGTGAGAATTGAGTACAGTTTGAAGGTTATTCTTGAGGAGGACATAATTTTTTTTCTGTTTTAGAGTCATCCCATCGAATGGTTGAGATAATAATGCAGAATGGGTGATTGTCGAATGGTGATGAAATTGTGAGCTGTCTTGACTTGGCTTGAGTGGTTGTTGAACGACATTACGGTTTATAATTGTATACTGTTGATTGAGTTGTGGCTGTTGGTGATTGACATCTTGTGCAAGTGGTGTTTTAGCATAAGAGGTGAAAATCTTCCAAATTAATCCTAAAATAATGAATGCAACTAGTAATCTTTTAACATTGTTCATCTTCATTATGATTTTCATCTTTCAAATTTACTACAAATGGTTAAGCAATGAGGACTACCATCCGCTTCTTTATTCCATGAAGATTGTAAACAGCGTTGATGGAAGAAGAGACAGTTCGTTCCTTTGTCAAGGCGTGATGACCCGGCAATCAGACTAGATGAGACCGAAGAATAATACTGATCGATAAACTGGACGTTTGCACTTGGCTATTTTTACTTTTCTCTTGTACTACAATTGGATCTATACTAGCCTAGAGATGGCTGTAATGCATCTCATCAGAACAACGTTGTTGATGATCACCAAGCAATGGAAGGCAATACCAATTTGTTGTTGGATCATGCCAATCCAAACGATGAAAAGTAGGGTCGATGTTTAGCCAATGTATCTCTCTATCGTGTTGACCAACTGCCTACGGTTGGCATGCTAAAGGAGTCTACTGCTTGTAAGTCGATCAATGATGGAATTTACTTTTCCCACAATGACGATTTAAGCACTTTTTCCAGCAATTCTTAAATCGAGGCTGCATGGCCTCCACCCTTGTATTTCCGTAGATGTGGCAACCAGACAAGGTTGAATGGAAAGCTCGCTAGCAAAGTCTTGCACGCCTTCTTCCCCACTACGTTTCACTATAGAACGGTATGAAGGTATTCTACAGTATACTGTAGTGTGTCCAGCCTTCTAGGATTGATGACGTCATCCAATCAGGCGACCTAGAATGAGCTACCGCTACCCCTACTACGCATGTAGTTGTATACAGCTTATAGAAATACTGTACTTACTGTCATGGTGTTGTAGCGAGTGTAGGATGTAATGCAACATGAAGAATGATTTGCTGTCTTGTTCCGTCAACGCGTTAAAAATACACCAACTGTATAGACGATTTGAATCGGTTAGGATATTCTATAGATGAGTAGCTCAAATGGTTCGACCGTCCGTCCGTAGTCCGTGGACTAAGAATGAGTGAATTAGTTTGTATGACAAATTGGAAGGAAATAAAATTACTCCATATTGCAATAAAAGTAAAGTAAAAGTATTCCAAAAGAGGTTGAGATCAAGGTTGTACTGATCTGTCCGCGAGGAGCCAAATTGCAAGATAGAATTCAATTCTATAGCTCAACATACTTCAATTATTTTACTGGATTCGCTACACCTCTGTAATACCGGTTTAGAGTCTAGACAGCCTCATTCTCCACTACCTTCTTTTTCCCAGCTAATGGATTATTTACCCTACTAATGATTGTGGCTTACCTCACTCTTAACCTATTTCTAGTAATGCAATCCCTGCTGCAAGCACACTCAATCGAGTTTTACGGTACCTTCTCAGGCTATATCATACTAGAGTTAGACGCCATATTGGCTAGTTGAAAACATACATAGAGAGACAGTGGTGTACTACGATAGGACTGCGTACAAAATGATCTAATTGATTGGATGCCAAAGTGAAGGCCTGAATGCTAATGTACATGATAACACTGTCCATAAACCACTTCAACTGTACAAATCTTGATGGGATTCCTGTGTATGAAGGGTCTGTTCTTGTAAAAAATGACCCATGAGTTGATTTATCTTGACCCGATGAGAACTAGATTCAGGAAAGTCAAATTGAATTACGATATATTGTACAGTACAGGACATGCTCAAATTCCATCAAAGGTAGTCTCTAGAAATCATCGATTTTGAAGAGAGAAAGCAGTGTACAGCATCAAGAGCTACTAGTCGTAGACCTTGACTTTGGCCAACACTCTACGTAGTATGGCTACGACCATTAGAATGATTGTTTAGGCCTAGATTAATTAATGAATTGTATAGTATAGTCATGGACTACTTGTTCTACATTACACTGTATATCTCGCTCCTTCTGCTTGGCGTCTACTAACTGTCCTTTCAGTGCAGTATACTTATTACTCATTTACATGTTCACACTAATCATATATAAGACTACTATGACCGAGGCGTGGCGAGCCCTCTGAAATGGTTGAAAGATGTTCAGCTGCAGTGTTGCCTTAAATGATGTCTTTCAATTGTGAAGAAAAAGTATACTTTCAACTTGGTTGCAATACTATGCAGACAGATCAGTACAACCTTGAGCAATTGGCTCTTGAAAGATATTCAGCCATAGTGTTGCCTTAAGTGATGTCTTTCAATTGTGAAGAAGAAGTATACTTTAAACTTGCTCCAATTCTATGCAGACAGATCAGTACAGCCTTGAGCAATATGAAAGATATTCAGCTATAGTTGTAACATTAATTGATATGAATAGTTACAAACGTCAATACAGAAGGATTTATATTAGTACAGAAACCTTATCTTCATTGTGTTAACGTCAGCAACCTTATCTAATAAGGTAATCGCTAATATGTAATATGCAATGTAGATTGCGAATCACTAATGGATAAGATCGTTGTACTGTACTGTATACTATAAGCCAAGCTTTTACTTATTATAATCGACTTGATCAATCTCTGGTCTTGACACTGATCTCCCAAAAATGTAATAAGATAGCCTACTATTATAGTATTATCTAACAACGTTTCGATTACAGTGAATTTTATTACAACTGGCGCTGCAAGTGGACTTTGTGTTGCCTTCAATGATGTCTTTCAATGGTGAAGAAATATACTTTAAATTTGGCTCCAGTTCGATGCAGACGGATCAGTACAACCTTGAGCAATTGACTCTGGATATTTTGATTACTTTTTATCACAGTATTGATTAATTCTATTTCTTTCAAGTTTGTAATACATAAATTATCAGTCGCTGTTACATGTTCGGTTGCTCCAACCATTTTACAAGTCACGTCGTCATAACGGTCTATAGGCATAGGACTTCAATACATTCTAATTAATTAATTACTAGTCGATCCATCACTCGTTCGACTTTGCGTCTACCCACTGTACTTATACCTTAGACTAATTTACAGTACCTGTTATCACTGACTTACTAACTACGCACTGAGCATATCTCGTATAACCATTTTGACGTTCATTGATTATACAGTCATAAATCCCTAGTCGATCCTTTGCTCATTCCACTTCTCATCTACCAGCTATACTTGTATCTTGTACTAATCATGAATATGCGATAGTTCACTCCATACTCTACAAAAATTACACAACTAAATACTCCATCTATTAGTCTGGGCACACTATCGACATGTTGTAAACAGGCAACTTTACCCCACATCGATGATATCTCAACGATGTTTCAACGAGCTATTGGACTCTTTTTCATGACCTACTATCCTATGGTGTTCGTCTAGTGCTTGTCAATCTATCCATCCAACAATCATTCAATTCCAGTTGCAAATTCATGTATAGAATCATGCTATTTATAGAATTACTGTGCCTATCCAAGCGCCATTTCTAATTCATTTATCGCTAGCTTCCATATTGAATGCATATTCCACGCCAACTGTTGAAGGTAGTCCTGCGCAGTCTCTGATAACGCTTCGGGCGTCGACGTCACATGACGTCACAAGAAGGCACGGTTGCGGGCTTGAATGACCTCGTTGAAGATGAACAATGGTTGCCCTGTGCAACCGTGTTTACGTTTGGAAAAACGTCAAGGCAGCCTGGTCTCTATACAACTAGCTCACAGTATGACATAATTTTCATCGCTTTCTATACTCTCACTACAAGCGAAATATATATTTAGAAAGTGGGTTCCAAACGATTGATTAATACCATTACACGCTATTGCTAACACTACTATCGTATTCGTAGCCGACTTGTATCAATAAAGGTTACTCCAAGTGAATTATTAGCATCAGAACTCTTCTTCCTGACGGTGCTATCGCCGTTGGTCCAATTCATTGGTCAAAAGCTTGGATTCTTGCAAGAGTTGTTGAATTGCTGTTGTATTTTAATATTGATTGGGAAAATCAGGATCTAAAGTCACTCCTGGGATATTATTTGAAATTAAATATCTAGTAGAATAAAGCATCTTGGTAAATCAAGTGAGAGAAGATCTCACCCTTTTTTATTCATTCGGTCCATTAATTAATCAATCCTTTTTCAATTACAATAATCCAAAGATGGCAACGAATACTACCAATATACCTGGATGCATTATTGTACCAGTGTTATCTCAAACAGTGGAAGTTACCGATTCAGTTTGGACGACTGTTGCCGCAATCATAGGGATTGCTATTGGAGTTGCATTCGGTGTTATCATAAGTTATGCTCTTTATCGCTCTTTTAACCAGCCAAAGGTTAGTTTCATTAGTTATTGCAACATGTAATAACTCTAGATTGAAAATAAAAAATCTCTCCTGTCTAGTACATGAATACTGTACAAGATGATCATAAAAAGCTTCCCTTCTTTCTCAAAGTTAACAAGCTGTTTCTTTGAATTTAAGATGCTGTAAAATGTTATTATTCAAGCGCGTGTTTAATATTATAGTCTAAATAGTTGTCTTGCCACATATTTGTCTAGTACGGTTACAGTACAAGCAACATAGAATCAATTAAAATCATAATTTATTCCACGATACTACTATCGCGATGGTAAAAAACTAAAAATATTCTATGGATAACAATGCAGTCAAACTCTTAATTGCTTTTAAAATTAATCTTTTGCTGATATGTAAGAATAGAGATGAAATGTTCTTTTATTCCATTTTTAGCGCAATTCTGCTGTAGTTATGGAGGAAGGAGCAATCACCATGAAATCCTTTAGTAAAAAGGTACTACATAAATGAAAGCCATATCTTCTGTGTTATTCTCCGTGGTATTTATGTTCTATTTTATGACGGTAACTTATTGACTTTTAAGACTTCTGTACCTTCCGTAATGTTGGACTCAATATACGTAAATAGTTCAAATCGAAATTTTTTATACGCGTATTAAAACTTCAATATTGAAAGAGTTGTAGCTCATAAGGAATAGCATAAAATAGGACATTAAGTATATACAGTATATAACATATCTTAATCGGATGTCTTAAATCAGAGTATATAAAAATACGAGAACCACGTAAATTTTTAAATATACTTGAACCCACCTCCTTCCACCCTAAAAAATATCATTTTTCAAACTTTAATATTATTACTACAGTATCTAATTTCGAAAGTACAACTATATTCGTGGTATATAAAAGCATGAATAAAGTTGGTAAATTAATGAAGTAAATAATTCTCATCATGATTTATTTTGAACCTTTTTTGTACGCATATAGTCATCATCTAATATTGAGAAAAAACCGTTATTGGATGAGAGCTATAATGCAGATATGAGAGATTCAGCGCAAAACTCAGTGGTAGAAAGTTCTACGGCTTTACCTTCGCCTAAAAAGGATCACGACATTAGCCAAAGCTTAACCGCAGTGTTTACACAATCCACAAGGTAAAATTGCTGTTATAGAATTCATTTCTAGCACCCCTTTTTCTTCATTATCAGAATAGAAAATAGATGAATTAATACAAGAATGCGATATATCTAATTATAATTGGTTACTATTGAATACAGTCAACAAATAGAAAATGAACTTCAAGAACAAGATCTCCGTTATTTAACCCATTTAGAAACTGCAATGCACAAGGAAAAGCAAGAGGTAAAAATCATAGATCTAGAATCTAAAGAACTCACAAGCACGTATTCTTTCTATTAATTTTATAAATACAATTTCCGTCTTATGCCACATTTTGCTGCTTGAATCTAAATCTTTAATGAACGCTTTTATCTGAACAGACTTTTATCCTACTACTCAAAGCGGTTTTAGTGACATTGCAAGAGCAAGGTCATATTGCTGACAACGATGTTAAACATGTCATTACAGATTATGAACAGGTAGGCATACACTGATTTTAAATTACGGATTGTTTAAAATCAAATGTTGTGATGATTCACTCTATTAAAAAATAAATCTTAAATCGTTATTATTTAATATAGTTTATAAGCGATGAAAACGAAAATATTACAAATCAAAAGCAGATTAAGGAGAAGGTTTGATAGCTAGTTGCTTTCCATTCCACTATAAATCTACCAAGCTTGAGAATTAATGTCGTATTTATCTTTACCTTCTTTACCTATGTCAACAGGAAATTGAAGGAAGATTTGGTACTAAAATGACTGATGAAAAAGAAGAGGAACTAGAAGAAATCTACAAACAGCAGAATAAGAAAACGGTAAATTTGATCTTGATTAAATTCACTGAAGCAAAGTTAGTAATTTGGAACCTTATCTTCCTATATCGTAACGCTTATTTTTTTCCTTCATCAAGGCTAAAATAATCCAAAATTGTAAAGCTAAAGCATCAGAAGACATACGAATCATAGCAACAGATCTTTCTGAAGAGCAGGTAAAAAATTGCCGGCTTAAGCGATAATAAACTCTAAATACGACTTATTAAGAACCATTTTCATAGAAAGCTGTACACTTATAATGAAACTATTTCTCTTTTCTGTGAGTAGATAAATGAAGTTATGGGACAAATCATTACCAACATGACTGTAGTAGACAAGAAATACCAAGAAGAACTGAATCGTCAAAATCAGGTAAAGTACTCGACTTGTAATAATCCGGTGATAGTAGGATAGAGTAATTATAGACTGATCTTATCTTTTAACAAATTGAACAGATTTTAGTCGATCGCTTAAATAAAAGAAAAAATGCCTTACAAAAAATAAATCAACTGGAAGAAGAGGTACCGTAAATCAAAATGTTTTTATCGATGTAGACTTGCGTTCATTAGCTATATGGCTGAATAAAGAAATTACTAGGCTGCATTATAATAGTAACCAATAAGGCATAGAATCGTAATTTTATTGGTGTATACAGTTGAAAAAATTACTAGGCTATATTGCAACAGCAACTAAAAATACATAGAAACGTAAAGTATATTTCAGAACGGGAATTTTTATTCCTTCTTGTTACTTTGTCTATCTTAATGGTGTTCAAATTTTGTGTCTTAGCTTGATGATCATAACTCAGTAAAGAAATAAAAGTTTCAGCGAATAACCATTCGGATCATGTTCTTATTGTTACTATTAATATCACGTTGTAGGAATTAGAGATTGTCACTGTTCCTGTTAGCAAACATAAGGACATTTTTAATAAGCTCAAAGCTGACAAGAAATTAACCGACGAAAATATTGCAAAGTAAGATTTTTAATTAAATCGTTACTTATACGAGACGTCATAAAGATATTAACTTAAGACTATCGTAAAAGTCGATAGAGTAGGATATCGAGGGATACACTATCATAGGTACAGCTATACAAATTCTTAAACCTGATTTTCAATAATAGAATAGAAAAGAATTTTGCTGAGCAGCTCGAAAACGTGCAAAAACGATTAACTGAAGGTAAGCTTATTTACTTTTGATACAGATCATTACCATAGAGAGAGTTAAAATACTGCCTAGATCTACCGAAAATTCTATCCAAACTGTAACCTACCGCTTATTAAGTTAGTTTGATTTGACGGATATATTTACTTAATCCTTTTGATTAGAACGCGATAGAGAGCAAGAGATGTTAGTGCAAAAATTGAATAAAAGAAGAAAGAAGAAAATGAGACATTTAAATATCCAGCATGGAGAAGAGAAAGCTGAATTTGATAGAAAGGTAAGTCTAGTAACATGTAAATACTTACAGTCTCATCAAATCTAAAGGTCATTTTTAAAGATTCGTATTCGTAAGCTGGTAGCTTAAAAATCCTCTACTAAATTAACTGAAGTGGTGATCTACCAATTGAAATTTCAGATCCGTGCTGTCAGTTCGGGTGCTGTCCCAATTACAGGCTTTATTGCAGAATACCAAGAATTGTTAACGGATCAACGAAGACAAAGTCACGATATTTCTACCCAATTAGACGAAAATGAAACTCGTGAATTTCACGACTTGAAACAGGTAAATTTGTGTATGTACATTAGTGGTAAACTAGATCAAGGCTATGTCAAAATTATACCGATTATAGAAGTAATTAACGCGGCTTACCTACTTCATTGTAGAGAATGAACTTAAAACTACAAGATCTCATCGCTGAAAAAGACTCCGAATTTTTCTCTGGATTGCGAGAATTGGCAAAATTGAGTGATAAAGAAGCTTCTAAGCTCATGAAAACTTATGAAGAAAATGTCAATGAATTGCGCGGTATGAACAATTGCCTAAGAGTAAACTAATCCATTAATTAATGAACTATAAGTTCTAATTACTACGCTATAGTAGATGAAATTGTTCTCATCTTGATTATTTGCTATCTTATAATAGCTAAATTGGAAGATGAACGCAGTCGTCAACAAGCTAAGCTTAAGGAGAGGTTGAAAGAGAAAAAGAAGGTAAAGCTACATCATACTTTTCTCCTTCACTATAAAAGCAAATATCTAGCCCAACTTTTAATAGTATTATCAGAATATAGGCGTAGTAGATATGAAGGCTTCGTAGTGTTAGAGTACTTCAGACCATATTCATGTCTAGAGTCAGCTAGCTTTAGCAATAAGATTTGATGAGCATTTATAAAAAATTACAATTTATTCAGTTATAAGAGTAACGCGTGCTGTATGACTAGACAGCTAATCATGTTAGAGTTTCAGCTGTTAGTTACATTACATTGGTCGCCTAGATTGCGATATTATAGACGCTAATAGCTTATATTACAAGATGTAGTTTTAAAAATTGTTACGCTCTCGCACGGTTGAGTGAAAATTTGCAAGTGCATTCAGCAAAAATTTTGAAAAATTCCTGCTTTCCGCATAGAAACAAGCCGAGAAAGAAAAAGATGAGAAACTTGAACAGCAAGAACTTATTGAAGAACAGGAAAAAGCTTTTAATGAAGTTCTTAACTCTCAAGCTGACCTGTCTGAAGAGTAAGTAAATTAACGTAAATTAAGACATATGGATTGTCGTATTGGGCTTCAATAGTATTTAGTTTTGTCAAGGCATTTAATCAAACTCAATTTCTAATCATTCCAAGCTTAAATGAAATAACCTTATTTTGGCAATGTTGTTTACAGCACTAAAAATCAACTCCTAATGGAACATAAGCAAAAAGTCAACGAATTAAATAATCAACTACGAATAACAAAAATGAGACAGCATAAAAGGTAGAATTTAAGGCCTTCTATTAATTATAAACTGCATTAAAAATTGCATAAATTGACGCTATTTTACTCCTTAATCCTTAAAATAATATTAATTATAACCCAAATTTTCATTTTAGGCTAGAACAACGTTTAGCAAAACGGCAAGGGAAAATAACTGATCTTAGAAAGGATCAAGCTAAGGAACGAGCAAATATGAGCAACTTATCTGATGAAGAAAGGCGCCAATTATTGGAACAACAGGCAAGTTTATGAAAATTAAAGTTGCCATTTACTGCTTTAAACCACTGCAGTTCGAAAATGGCCTATTTTCATTCCAATATAAGCTATTATTTTTCATGATAATATTAGCTGCAACGTATGATATCATTTGAACACCGAATTGTAACACCATCACCAATGCTAATATTGTTAACAGGAAGCTACAATGCAGGAAGAAGTCAATAAGATAGAAGAAGATGAAGAGGAAGGCCTAGATTGGTTAAGAAGGTTAGCAGAAGCATTAATTTGTTTGGGATTCTATTCCATAGCCATTTGAATCTCTAAAGGATTTAAAAGGCTACGACTACATCTTTTCATTTGCACCTAATAACTTTTCGCACATCATTTAGTAAAATACAGCTTGAAACAGAGGAATTGGTTAAGGAACAAGATAAAGAACTGGGTATTCTCTTGGCACGACTACAGGTAAGGAAACATATCACAACCCTATTGGGGGTATACAATTATTGTATACTACCATTACTGCTCAAGGATATCCTTGTGCAATGTAACGTACATGCTTCGCCCTATATAGTAAAGCATTAGTATTGTGAAAGGTAATTAAAATATAAATTTCAATTTTTTCATTGCTTTTTGTATAGCTTGGACAAAATCGACGCCAATCGATTATACAGCGACAAAGCGATGCCATTGCTCGCCTCAAGGTTGGTTCGAAGAAATTATTCTACTTACGATGATAAGATATAGGATCCATGAATCTTACTGCTAGGAAATAGAATATTGATTAAAAGTTTTGTTAGAATAACAGACACAAACCATTTGTTTATTTCAATTTTTAATGATGAAACAGGATAAAATGGTTGATGCTATAGCCGAAGATGGTAAATCTCCACTAGAGGCAAAGAGTAGCCGAATTATCGACACTATGAAAGAGCAGCAACATATACTGCTTTCACAAGCTAAGGAGTAAGGGAGATTTTGATGGCATCATAATATATTTGATAATTTTAGTACATCCAGTCCTATCTGTCATAAAAAATCGCTAATCATCATTTTATTGATGTGATTAGGGCGAAAGAGAGAAACATGTCAGATGTTCGTGAAAGAGTAGAGAGAATAAAGCAACAACGAGAAAAGTCAGTATTGTGATCTTCAAGTTGAATATTTAATATGCAATTGATTTATCGGTATGAGTTTTATTGACTTATATTAATGTGTTTTAATTGATCATATAGGCAATTGCAAAGCAAACTACGGAAAGAAATTAAAGGAGTTGGTGTCATTGGCAAGAAGTAAGTTCTAACATATTTTATATAGTCATATAGCCCGTATGTAGTAATACATAAAGTGATTTACGAAGACAGCAGCAACAATTCGACGATAGTATTTCATTTATTGAAGTTTGTATAATAACTCTCGTCTTTACCGTCTCATTTTAGCTCACCATCTGCTGTAGTAAATCATATGTTACTGGAGCAAAGGCATAAATACGAACGTCAAGTAAGATATCATAATAAATGAAAGATTGCAAGCCTTTACTGCAGCGTTAAAAAATGATTCTCTTTTATATGCAGGATTTGCAAAGGGAAATGCAGCTTGAATTAAATCGTCAAGTTAGTAAGTTAACGAAGCAGTTGGATTATGAGCTGAAGAAAGAGATGCTGGTAAGGTCTACAGGGCTATATTCATTACTCACTAAGCTATTTTTCTATACGGGTCGAGATTATACTCGTCTTTATCTAACTATGTCTTTCTGGTCTCTGTTATTTACTCACATTTGAACGATTTTTTATTTCTATCGTAGAATAATGACAGAAGCTTTATTATCGATCTTGCCAAAACGGGACGTTTCAACAATGATGAAATTGATGATCTAATTGAATCAGCTGTACCAGATAGAAAAAGCAAGGAAATAATTAAAAGAGAAATCAGCAATACGATTAAAAAGAAGAAGAGTACCAGACGTCGCTAATGAAATTTGTATATTTTAATTTATAGTAATATCAAAGACACTAGAATAATCCATGAATGCAATGGAGATATTCTTAAATAATCTCTATATTCTGTTATAAGATTTTTAATTACCTTCTACAACGTCCCATTGATGGACCGCTGCTTGGTTTTTTATTAATTTACTTGCATTTGAATTTATCGAGCTAGTCTAAAAAATTATCAATTTAATTCTGTGATAGATATCAGCTAATTTGCACCCCATCTTGGTATTTATAACTAAGGCTTAAATATTTTGCAACGACAGTGATATATCGCCTTTAAATATATCATGTACAAAGCAATGCTTAATTAACGCTAGACATATACAGCAGCAGTTTTTGTATTTACAAGTTCTTTATGATCTTGACGACGCTGTTTTACTAACTAAAACAAGAATAAAACGTGCCATTTAACTACAATGCAGGCAGTAAGACGTTTAATTGAATAAGTGAATGACGGATTTGAGTTAAAGAGATAGGGGAAAAAGTCTACTTATAAGAAATGCATGGTATGATACAAGTAATCGATATACATAAAAGTTTGACAATTAAATATTCGAATTCCATTTATTCAATTCGATAATAGATTTCATAAGCCGTTAAAAAGAGAGAAGTAAATATACTGTACAACGGAAAAAAATTCACTTATACGCAGGAAAAGTTAAATAGCATCTTAAAATCTTCTTACATTACGCTAGCATATGAATACGCAGAAGCTCGCTATGTCTAGGTAAATAATGAATCATATTCAAACTATTGCTACGTATTATAGTGTGCATCATTCGGCTAACCAGATTATTTTTACATTATATCGTCTGTAGAGTATATCTAAGGTTAATTGAATTCGGGAACGCCTAAACGACATCATGTATCGCTAGAATTCTGTTGTGTAATCGACTCGTAATTTTCTGTAAAATTTAAAATGAAGTAAAACCGTCATTAGTAATCCAACTTTGCTATAGTATTTATGATAGTAGTTGCAAATAACAACATACCTTCTTATATAATGCAAGTCGAATTCGATTCTCCTTTTTCTTCTCATCGATCTTTTTTTGCTTTTCTTTTAATTTTACTTCAGGGAGTTCTTTGTATAATCTAACAAATTTGATTGAAAATAAATTTAACATTTTGAATACTAGTAGAAAGTACCGACGATTTTGCAACACAGTTATTTGTATTGACATGTAAGGCTAAGTAATTTACCTTCTAGTCTGTTCGTACATTTCCTTTTTAGTGAAATATCTCTTTCGGGGTAAGAAATCATCTACTTCAAAATGAATACTTTTATTTTAGAACTAAAGCAAGAGTGTATAATGTTTAATAGCCAAGATTTAATATTACCCAAGTTCTCTTTAGCGGTAGGTTTCGCTTTTTCTTGCATGTGCGTCCGTTGCTTCCTCAACAACAGTTCTTCCTTTTCTCTACGTTGCTTAGCGGCAACCTCAGCATTCTTTAGTCGAACTTTCGATCTTACAATGAAATCGGCTTTGCAAAATTGAAAAGCTTCCTGCAGCGTTAGTCTAGCTAGTGATTTTGGAGGTAATAATCTTGATTTGGCGTAACTAGGTTTTAAATTATTGGCCGAGACATTAGCTACCAATGGCTCTTCATGACTTGTTGATACATAGTCCGGTGTTTTTTCATTTGGTAAATGTTTCCAATTTTTTCCAGGTTTATTATCGTCCAATGATATAAACCATGATTCATTCGATTTCTGCATTTGTTTCTTATCTTGATCTGATGGTCTCGCGTTAGACTGATGGTCTAATTTACTACCCATAGCATCAATTAGTGTTGTCTGAATACTTTTATTTACTTTAGTATCAACTGCCTTGGCAGAATTATTTAATTGCTTCTTCTGAATGGAGTGCTTATGAGATAACTTATCCTCCTCATTTTGAGTGTTGTAATAATTGGCAAGCCAGCCATGAGTTGTACGAGTGTCATTACCAACGTCAGAGCGCAACTGATTGGTAGGATCTTTCATTATTTTATTGCGACTTGATTGATTTTTCGACATTTTGGAATTTTGATGGTATTGTACTGATTTATCGTTGCTATTGCTAAAGTATTCAGAACGAATTCGATTATTGACAATTGGGTAATTGCCTGAGGAATATTTTTGGACTATCTTTTCAATATCAGACACTATATCTAAATCCGAACTTGATCTTGTTTCATTGTTTTCATCCAACGTTTCGTTGTTCGTTGTACTGTCTGATATTTCAAGAATTTGTGGATAATCTATTTTATTACTTTCATTAGCATTTATCTTTATGTTCACGAAGCGTCTTCCCTTTATTATATTTGCGTCTGTTCCAGATTGCTGATCATGTCGTCGATGATGCTTGCCAGTAACATTCCTTTTATATTTTCGCGAGTCTTTTGGCATTCCATTACTTTGCGTATTATTATCTATTAACGAACTTAATATATGTTTGGTTGGATTACTGATAATTTCATCGAAATCGGTTAAATAGCGTTGTGAATTCTTTAAAGTTTGAGCTGGTTCAGAAATTTCTTCCGTATGTAGACGGGAGTCTTTGTACTCTGACCAGTAACGACTTAAATTTTCCGCATATGCTTGACGATAAGTTGCAATTCCGTCAGAAGTTTCAGAGTCACTTTCCGAATTCAACATATATCGGTTATGAAGTTTGTTGGATTTATCAAGCAGAGGTGATCTTACTTGAGATGATCGGCTACTTTCTGTAGATATGCTTACATTATAGATTGGATTTAGGGGACGAATATACTTTGCAATGATATCAGCAACATTTGACAGGGGTAAACTATCAGAATTTGGCAAATTTGATATTTTATAGTCATCATCATCAGAACTACTAAGATCTTCAAATTCGTTACGCCAAGTCTTTAACGGTGATCCTGTATATTTTGTACTGGATTCTCCAGATGGTCGGTGCATGGGATTTTGATGCTTGCTGTTGATCCAATTATTTCTCAGAGGCTTAATTAGATCAGTATCTTCTTCGTCACTGAGCCTATTTCGCTCCTGTGGTATTAAAGATGAATGCAAATAACTTGATTTACTTTCCTTTTTATTTGCATTTTGTACATCTGCAGATGAATTTTCTACGGTTAAATTTTCGTTGAATACGTTTTTTTCTAAATTGGTCCAATCTCTCTTGCGAGATTTATTTTCTGTAGAGTTGTCGTCTGTATGATTAAAGTCATTTCTACCAAACGATCTACTATTGGCAGCTGTCACTTTCGATGACAGATCATGTGAATGTAAAGACGAGAGTATATCTAAAGGTGAATTTGGCTTGAAAAGTATAGAGCTTTCAACAGTTTTATTGAATGACGACGAGAGCTTTGATTGAGCGTCGACTTCTATTGCCTTATCAGAGGATTCTTTATCGCCTTGATCATCTTGCGCAACTCTACTAGACATAAAATCTACATTGGATTCTTTCGATAGCGAGTTTTTATCCTTGGAGGTATCTAATCTTTTACGATCAGATTCTAATTGATATAGCAGATCGGCATATTCTCCCTGCATAGGCCTACTTGTACGTTGGCCATCCGGCCTTATAGCCTCCGCAGTTGAAAATTGTAAACTTTCATCACCTATATTTAATTGGATTTTGTTGTTCTGGTCCAATAGCTGATTAATTTGCGATATTAATTTATAGGTGCCAGGACTTAATTCCTTGAAGTTGCTAGGGTGTAAATTATTGTCTGGATGATTTAATTCATTGTTAAGGGAAGACTGATTACTTTCTAGTTTAATGAGTTCAAAGTTTCTGCCAAGATATTTAGAGACTAAATCATCCACTTTTAGGGCATCGCTACTCTCGTACTTAGCATCCTCTGTGGTCGAAGGAGGATTGGTGACGGCAGAGTCTAAATAGAAATTTGAAAGATCGATGTTGAAATAGAATTGAGAGATAGACGTTGTTGAAGAAAGTAGTTCAAAAATACGTACAGGATTACGGTGATTTAAACACTTCAAAGTGCTATCTGTTACATTGATGTTTACGCTAGATGATTTATACGCAGTATAAAAATAATTTAACTTCAAAACAAACCCGAAAGAGGATCATCACGGGAGTTGCTATTCAATGGATTAATGTTGTTGTCCTCTTGGTCGTCAGTGGTGTCAATTTTCATTGGCAACTCTTCATCATGTCGATCAGTTTCATGTTTTGGCTTGGTTTCATCTTGAAGGTAGGCGGACGTTGGAGAAGTTGCACCTTGTTCATCTTCAAGAGTTGCATTCGCCATGGGATTTGAATGGTGTGAAATTGGATGTACGAGTTCTTGATGTTTTAAATTGATGTTGGATTCATCTACCATAGCAGGATCTTTCTCATGATCGTCATCAAATTGAATCAAGTCGTTGTCATCGTTAGTATCCTGCTTCCTATCATGCTCCATGACTATTTGATCGGTTAGTGAACGTCCGTCTTGCACATATTCACCACTTTGCTTCTCCTTTGATTGCTGTTCAGTGATTTGGTTGGTATCCATTTTAGTGGATTGAGAGTTTCTATCGTGATCGTCTTCCTCAACATCGTTAGCGTTGAATAATTTTGCCTGTATTTCGTCAGTCTTCACGTCGTCCAATGATTCAACTTTCTCTTGATGTGGAGGACTCTCTTGGGTAGCAGATTGAACGGGAGGAGTGAATTGAGTATCCTGTCATGACAAAATTGGATGATCAAATATTCATAGCAATAGAATCGAGAAATCGAAACATGATCAATAAACATAATGGCGTTTGATCGTGTTATGATGAGTGCAAAATATGCCTGTCAGCAAGGAATAATGCATACTGTACTGTACTTAAGGCGACAGCTTGCTATCAATATCGAATAAGTCTTATTGATTATCAGTATTAACAGAGTCAACGTACTGTATTGCTAACAACATTGTTTTGCTACAGGTTGATATAACGGATATAAACTCTCAAGAAATAATATATAATATGGAGCTATCGAATACTGACATAGTCTTTGAATTAGGACCATTTTAAATATTGTAATAATATTAATAATTATAGAGACCGTAGAGAAGTTTTCTAGGGTGTCTTTAATTAATGAACACGGCCAGGGACTGATCAACAAAAATTTCCACCTTGGCCTAAAACTACTCATTTGCCTTACTTTAAAAAAAAGGTTGATAGTTTATTTAATACAGTAGAAGTAGAATTGAAGAGCTAATGCGTCACTATGTTACTTTTTGTCTAGGCTAACACGATGCCCTATCCTACATGATCGCGACAAGGATGAGGATAGGCACATTCCGATGATGAACAAAGAGTTGGCCTAAGTTCAATTTAATTTCTGGTTGGACACGATGATGACTGATAGTCATAATATTATAATAAATTAACGTAGGCGATCAATCTTTGTCATCACTTTCTTTATTGCCAATTTGGATTTTTATACCTTGCAATGAATAAAACGATGGATGTGTAGGATAACTTACAGTATGGCAATCTTACAACGTCATTGATGCTATTTACCTTCTGGATTGTGTGTTGATTTTCAGTTTCCTTGACTATATCCATGTCTAATTATGGGAAGACGAAGTAACGTTGTGATGATAACGTCATAGATCCACTAGCCCTTGTCGGTGAAAACAGTGACTACGCAATAGGATAAGATACACGTTTGCAACTTATCCTATCTTAACAAGACTCTGTTGCTATTCAATTTCACGTTAATTAATCCCTCAATGATTGCCTTCAATTTTCACGATGATACTACTTGACGGATTGTCTAGTAATTCATGGGATGATGATCCAATGCATTGGCGATTGATTCGCTGTTGACAAGTCCAATCAAGCTATGCAGTAGTACAAGTGTAGAATACGTGAATGGATTGGAATGATGGCAAGATAGCAGTACAAGTTGATTTGGCGTTTGATGAACAAGCAGCTGTACAGTAGTCTGCAATTGGGAGAGTCGTTGCAAGTCCTTGTAATCCAGTCGATGTTTTTATTTTTTTTGAAAATATGGAATTTAACGGTGTTCTCGGCACGGACATCCGTCGGTACGGACCGCAGACTACAGCATTGCCAATAGGTAGTACAGTGTACACGGTCAGTGATCCAGTCCAGTCCAGCGTATAGAAAGATAGTACGACAGCGGTAGAGAATGGTAAGATACCTTTTATTTCCCCCTTTTACACTTGGATATAGTCTGATATACAATAATAGGAAAAGTGTCTTGTTGAGTCTATCTGTACTGTGAGCCTACTGGTGAAATTGCTGCTTACAACTGAGTTACATCAAGGCAGTAAAATGATTTATCAAGGCAGAAAAATGATTTATCAAGGCGGTAAAATGGCTTCTGAAGGCATTCCAATGGCAGTTGGCTTTAAAAGAGTCCAAACTTGAACCTTTCACTACTTACAGTACCGTATTTACAGTACTTTACATTGTAGAATACAGTGACAGGACGATGACTCCAAAGGCATACAGTTCGACCTGAGTTCGGTTCGATTCGGTCCGGTTCAAACCGTTCAATACCTTTATGGTCTACAGTACGGTACTGTAGAGAGTACTGTACAGTACTGTACAGTACTGTACAGTACGGTAGACAAGCAAACTGGACACAGTGTACAGTGCACAGTTCATAGTAAACTCTTGAGTACTGTACAGTACGTACTGTACAGTACTGTACAGTACAGTACTGCACAGTGTGACAGTACAGTACTGTAGACCAGCAAACTGGACACAGTGTACAGTGTACAGTACACGATTGAGTACTGTACACTGTACGTACTGCACAGTGTGACAGTAGACAAGCAAACTGGACACAGTATACTGTACAGTGTACAGTACACGATTGAGTACTGTACATTGTACGTACTGCACAGTACAGTACTTTACTTCAAGCTGGACTGAGCCAGTCGGAGTGAGTCCGCCATTCCATTTGCAACCACTTTAACCCCCTGGTTCAACGTCAGCTTGGAGATTGTACTGTATAGCAGTTTGCCATTGCTCTCTTTCTGTTGAAACACAGCTCGAAATACTGTAGAGCAGTTTTCGCATCACTCTCTCTCTCTTTCTGTTGAAGCACTGCTCGACACTACGCACAGTACAGTTCTTACTTCAAGCTACTGGTGCAGACTGAGCCAGTCGCCATTCCATTTCCAACCACTTTGCCTTCTAAGTCAGGTTGGAGATCTCTCTTTCTGTTGAAGCACTGCTCGACACTACGCACTGTACAGTTCTTACTCCAACCACTTTGCCTTCTACAGTAAGTCAGGTTGGAGATGGACAATATTATACAGCAGTTTGACGTACAAACACTGCTCGACAGAGCATCTGCGTTTCCTTGCAGATTCAACACAAGGCCACAGCGATATACAGTCTAGTGTCGAAGAATGAGACTTAAATGAGGTCCTTGCATTGTAGGCTGGACAACGAGTGGACTGATGACCTCGCACAACAACAACAACAACAACAACAACAACGACAACAACCAATGTCTTTGTACTCGGTAGTCTGTTGCTTTTTCACGCTCATTTATCCAGTCCAATATAGTGCAGGCGGAGTGAGAGAGTGGACATCCTGTGGTTACGCAACAATCGCCATAGTATCCACTGGATACTAGCCTACATGCGCATACAGTGGGTGACCACCACAGTAATAGTATGACTTCCCGACCACTGGATGCACCTTTGTCCAGGCAGTCGTCAGACGGACAGCGGACATCCCATCCATTGATCTCAAAGTAAATAAACAAACATCATCATGTAGGAAAATAGATAAGCAAGACTGCAGCTTGTCATTTTTGACCTAGTTATTGTTGACAAAATTTTTTTTTTTCCCATTCCTTTGCAGTCAATCGATAATAGTCCTACTGCAAAGAGACAGTGGGTGATCATTAGCCAAGTAGAAGAGAGAGTTGTACGTGACAATTGCTTCTATCGTCCAAGCAAGACTTGGATGCCATTGACCAGCAAGAAAAGACGTTGCTAACATTGGAATCGAGTTGGAAAAGGCTCCAATGAGCTGTTGTTGATTGAAGATGAAAAAATAAACCCAGTGATTCAAAGAATTACCGATCATTATTGTCAATAATCATATCGTCAGCGTCAAGTTTTATTGCTGTCGTCATTCAGCGCCTTAACCAAGGCTAATTGAAAATCACTTTTGATTGAGTAACCTTAGTCACTTTGTTGGATCGCTTTGATAGAACCAACCAGCCAAGCCTTTCCAGTCTGCTGTCTATGGGGTAGAGTCCAATTGCTACCGCTTCCTTCTCGGCCGTTTGTCCATCTTCGTTGATTTAATCGCCTTCACTTGTAAGTCATGTTGATATTTGGGGAATGAATCAAAAGCCCACCATTTCTTACCATCGACTTTATCAATCGACAGTGCTACAGTACTGTATACTCGTAGATTCTTGGTTGATTCAATCGCCTCCATTTATACAGTACAGTAAGTCATGTTGATATTGGGGGAATAAATTAAAAGCCCATCATTTCTTACCATCGAATTTATCCATCGACAGTGCTACAGTATACTCGTACATTCTTAGTTGATTCTATCGCCTCCACTTATACAGTACAGTAAGTCGTGTTGATATTGGGCGAATGGATCATAAGCCCACACCATTTCTTAGCATCGACTTGATCGACTGTACCACAATATACTCGTAGATTCTTAGTTGATTCAATCGCCTCCGCTTGTAAGGTAAGTCATGTTGATATTGGGCAAATGGATCAAAAGCCCACCATTTCTTAGCATCGACTTGATCGACAGTGCCACAATATACTCGTAGATTCTTAGTTGATTCAATCGCCTCCACTTGTACAGTACAGTAAGTCATGTTGATCAATAGATCGAAAGTCTAACATTTCTTAGCATCGACTGGATCGACAGTGCTAAAGTACACTCGTCGATTCTAGGTTGATTCAATCGCCTCCACTTGGAAGGTAAGTCTTGTTGATATTGGGCGAATGGATCAAAAGCCCACCATTTTTTAGCATCGACTTTTTCGACAGTGCTACAGTATAAGATGTGTCGACCAGTAGTTGAAGGCTAAAAACCAAGTTGTAAAGATACTTTTCATGCATTCTACAGCTTGTCAACATGATACCAAGCTACATGATAGACTACAACCGAGCGCCATCAGTCAATTTGTGTAGAATCACAGTTCAACATTTGCCAATGAGCCATGACTGTGGACTAATTCAGTTTCATGTTAAGCCATGCTGTCAATTCACATTTGTTTCGTTCTTGTAATACAACACTCATCGTGCCAGTGCCAATTGCTTGTAGGCAGAGATCAATTGGATTGACGAGTCATGACTAAATACAATCGTTTTCCTGTTGAAAACTTTACATCGCGATTTAAAGTAAATACACGATCTACAGAATACCGATGACAGTCGAGTGTGACAAATTATATTGTCAAGAAGTGTGTACTCTAAGCGTAAATAGTTTACTTTCGTGAACCATCCAAAGTGGATAGGATTGCAACCTCATTATTGACGACTACATCTGTCTCCAATAGAGTGGATTGTATTGGGAAGCTTGACAAATGATGCCAAACTACTTACGCGTTGTTGTGTATCCCTCTCTTCAATACGCTCAATAAACATTGTCTTCTACTGTATCTTCTTCCATCATCAAAGCAGTTGCAGAGTTTATTCACACTGTAGATTTCGTCATAGTACAGGAAAATCCCCATTTTCCATCGTAGCTGTTAATCGCACATTTCCTTCCATTCAATTATAATTATCATCATCATGCCCTGTTTGAGAGTTATCGCAAAGCTTTTGTTCAACGTCGCCATCTTGAAAGGATCAAATATCATTATCAATTAATTCTGATAAAACCGACGCATTCAATGTTGAGATCGTCTTGATGCATACTAATACTTTAATTGTTGTACTGTATCTTGTGGCTGCTACACAGTGGCCATTAAATGAAAGATTCTAATCACTATCTTGCTGCTACCCTACGTAGATACTTCAACTCTACTGTCACTAGAACAGTCGGCAAATACTCCTACTGAAGCTTGCTTTAATTCGACATGGAAGTCAATCGGCATGACCAGGAATCAGTCAAATGCGTTGTGGTTGGCGATGCCGGCACAGGAAAATCCAGATTGGTCTGTGCTCGCGCTTACGGCCACACTTATAGTAAGAAGCAATTGGCTGCCAGACATGTTCCAACTGTTTTCGCTATCGATGAATACCGAAATAACAGGATTGTCCAAGAGCGTAGCAACTGTATGGTGGACGGTGTCGCCGTTAAATTGTTAATCTGGGATACTTTCGGTGATCATGACAAGGACAGACGTTATGCTTATGAGAATGCCAACGCCGTTATCTTGTGCTACTCAACACATAGTCGCCAATCTTACGACAACTGTCGTAACAAATGGAAACCAGAAATTCGCAAATATTGCCCGAATGTACCGCTAGTACTCAATGCGACACAAGTTGATTTACGTTATGCCGAACAAGACGAGGTTTGGAAATCAATCAATGAATTGAACGTCAATAATACACTAGTAAAAATGAGATATGACTATTAATGTCAGCGTGATTGTTGATGTAGAAAATGAATTCATTACCCTACTGCCAACAAGGTATCGCCGTTGCTTGTCTATCATCGCAACGCTGAATCGAAATTTTATATGAGGATAAATAGATCAGCATTAAGATATAAACTGACCAATTGCTATCCACTACTCTATCAACTGTTCTATATACCCTACCCAGGGCTAGACCATGAACTAGTTAGTATAATTCTTTCAAGTTAGGCCGTAAGTTCTTGATCCGCATAAAATGAAACTATTAATAATAATAGATCAATACTGTCTCTACGCTTAGATGCCCATTTTAGTCAGTTCTCGACGATTGTAGTCTCCGTCGATCTTAGCTATGCGTTCAATTTCATCCTATCCCTGTGTGCTGACCAGTGGAGCTTAATCGGGATTATGAAGATATTGGAGGCGTGAACGATGAATACTCTACTCTGCAGGGAACACTATCCAAATAAGTCAAGATAGATGGTGCCATCGTACCAGGCACAATCACTACTATTGCCATATAGATCTGCTTAGTGGGTAGTTTGTAGGATGATGATATGCCTTTTTGTTTTTTATTCTTAGCGTCATTCCGTAAAACTTTAATTCAAAATGCCGACTTCCGACTTTGATTCGATCGAAATTGGCAATCTATTCCACCAGTGTTCAATACTACAGTACAATAGAAGGTTACTGCTAATAGAGGATGGTGCTACTGTTTGTACTATCAATTATTCACAACATTACTGTTTCCAACTTGGAGGGTCTAAAAATATGGCAAAAATTTCTTCTTGTAATAGCCAAAGAGCGACGGCCTCTAGTTTGCTCGATATTGACAATTTTATACAACATTTTTTATTTTGAATTGGAGAGCGCCCGGCACTTGATCGTAATCATAGCTACAAAGTAACTCGCAAGCCAGGTAGCAACTGCTGCAGTCTATTTGAAAGAATCTTTTCCACTTATTCCCCCACCACTCCTCTCCCCTCAAAAAACAACAACCGACTACATACGGCATTACTGCAACATCAGAATTTAAAAATGAATTACTACCACGTAATGATTTCCATTTTTAGCTTCAGTAATAGTAATCTTACAGTCATGATATTATGGGACTGTGAATACTCCATTATTCCTAATTGTACGCCTCCAACTCAACATACAATATTGACGTGAATTACTGTTTAGTCAATAAATTAAATAAATCATGACGCCTTACAGTTATTGAACGCATCTACTGTACTCCAGTACAGCATACTATCTAATTTTATCTGATCATCCACAATAATGGATAATCAGCTAATAACAAGGACTTTTCGACTTGAGCCTACCTTGGATTGCATGAGTCAACGCATAGTCTTGTACACCATGTTATTTACAGTAATTATCATGGATAGACTATTATAAAAATTATTAATGCCAGCGATTATGCAATATATTGTACACAGTCAATAATCTATCAATCCGTTATAGCTATGTAACTATGTTGTTTTATCCACTCGATAGCTAAAAAAGATTGGTATAAGAGGCCACTTCTCCAACTCACTCAATGCCGATGAACTCTTATTACCAGAGGATGGACGCCAATTAGCAAAGGAAATCGATGCTGCTGGCTATTATGAAACCAGCATGATCAATAATTATGGGGTAAATCAGTTATTTGAGAATGCTGTTCGAATGGCCCTGGTACAACGCCGAAAGTTAAGATTTTGGAATTCTCAACTGCGACAAGTCCTAAAACCACAAGCCCAAAAACCTTATTTACTACCCAAGCGTTCTTTACCCAATGTCTCTGCCGAAACATCGACGTATTGGTCCGATATAAAATCAACCGTTGGCAATCCTGACTATGCTGATATTCAATTTATTGTCAGGGGAACAGTAATTTATGCCCATAACATTATTCTGTGTGCTGCATGGCCCAGATTTCATGATTTGGTCAAAGCTGTCGGTATCATCAATAAATACAATCGAACGGATAGTGATCAAATTAGCCTTGAAAATACAATAACCGGCTTAAAGTTCTTATATTACAAAAAAAATTGTCAGCAAAATTCCTATATCCGCAAAAATTTATCTGCTGATCATATTGTATTTACAGTGGATCAACGAATCACATTAAGGGCATTTTGGAAGATGTTAGAATATCTGTATTCATGTCAGCTTGAGAAAAATCTTGAAAGAGATTTACTTATTGAGCTGCATATAGCAGCTGACATTCTTTCTTTAGATGGATTGCAAGTAATCTTAGCTAACCTCGCTGATGGGAAACCCTACAAAAATGCAGTTATCACAGATGATGCTAGGCAGAAATTTATCGCTAGAATGAAAATGTTATACACTTCTGATCATTTTCAAGCCAGCATTGCACCTGATGCTACGTTTGAAGCAGGCGATACCATTATTCCAGTTAATAGGGTTCTTGTGACTTGTCGTTGCGACGTTCTTGCAGCAATGTTCAGTGGCAGTTTCTTGGAAAGTGGTGAACAACATGTAAGTTGAATTATAATGTTGTATTGTTAAGATTTTTTATGCGATATGAAGCCATAGTATAGGCTATAATAGCATAAAATTAGGGCAAGTAATAAATTGTCATATAATCTAGACTAACCATAAATTACTGAATAGACTGTAGTAATATAAGTGTATACTATAATACCACTGCGATCTATACTTCATGGATTGCATGGAAGTACATTGACTCGTTTTGAACTGACGATTCGCAACTAATTGATATGTCAATATTGTTTGTGTCTTTCAGGCTAAACTACCTGGAATATGCAAAGATACTCTTTTATCTTTTCTTGAATATTTATACACTGATGAATGTGAGCTGAAATCTGACTTTGCCCTGGAAGTGTTGGTATTAGCTAATCAGTTCTGTCTGTCAAGGTTGGTTAGTATATGCGAGAGTTTTATGGCCGAAGAGCTGAGAGAAATCGATAACGATTATGACTTAAGAAATTGGGCTGTAAACAAAAACGTGATTCATTTACTACGTATTGCGGAAATGCATAATGCCTTCAATTTACACGCATGTTGTGTAGCCTATATAAGCAATAATTACTTGGAGATACAGAGACAGCATAGCAAATTTTTCCGCGAATCAATCGATTACTTAACTCAAAAAAAGATTGAGGAAGAAAGATGGCCACCAAGTTGGTATTCTGCAGAGTTACAAATGTATGAGAAAGAATATGGCAAAAGAAATCAAGATATCGATAAACAAAGTGTTAAAAAAAGACGTCAAAAGCGTCGTCTTTTTAATGTTCGACATTAGCTTTTACAACACTTATAAGTAATTCGATCATACTACTGTAGCACAGAAAAGCATCAGCTCTATAACTGCAATGCCTATAGTAATAATTATTAACTACTTTCTATGCCTGATAGCAATTCGCTTACTAAGCGATATCTACTATAATAGATACGAATATTTATTAGAACTGTCATAACTTTTCATGATTACAGCAAGGTTGGCTGGCTCCATCGCTGAAATAATCAAAAGCAATCGTTAATTGATTGCGTAATTACTAAGAGTATAAACACATACACGTCTACACGTATAGAAGAAAAGCATAAAAGTCATTTGGTACAATTTTCACATTGGGTGTAAATGCAGCTAATTCATGATGATACATTGCTCGAGAGATATACTGTACTTTCGTAATATTGTAATACTAAACAACTTAAAAGAAATGATTTATTATTTGTAATGACAGATATTCAAGAGCATTGTGTGACAAGACTAGATTTTCAATGCTATGGTGTTGAAAATTAGCTAGTGATGAACAAATAATTATAATCAGTAGATTTTTATACCACTACGGTATTTCTAAGCCAGTCCACAATAACAGATAGACGAATGATTAAAAACACCGTTGTATAGAAAAATATTACTAGAATATTACCAGAATTATTTAGAAAGTATTCTCTTAAAAGAGGATAGATTTGTCTATGTGTAATTATCTTAGAATATCATCATGTACAATCATTAAATTGTTCGAGGTAAATTGTACGTCTTCAGAGCACAACTTTATTGAAATCTAAGTAACCGCAATTAACGATGTGTCATCCAATGTAAGATTACACTTGATGTAAAGCATTCTTTTATTAAAGAATAACGTTATTCTTACGGTCGACGATAATTATTCATTCTGTCTTATCATCAGAATAAAATGTAGTTCCTATTTACATGTGCAATCTAAATGGACTCAACCTTATACGTATATTTGTAAAATATGTCTGGTATATTTGATAATAGTGCAAATAATAGCCGTTACTGTTCGTATGTAATTAATTCATTGCTACGTTCACTTGAACATCATGCAACGAAAAGAGCCTCCACAAAGGATCATGAATGTACAAGTCTACGCGTATCGTTACTATTCGCACCACATACGCTTAGTATGTTTAAACACTGATTATAGTAACTTGAATATATTTAACCTTAATTTTCATTTTATACAAACAAAAAATGCACGATAGTACCATATCATCGAGTTAGCGGTATTACTGAAGTTAAGAAATTGTTGTTTGTAGTTCCAGTTGTTTACAAAGATGACCTAGCAAAAGATATACATTATGACTCCACCGATCGGTCAGGTTCAGTAACGTTGCTGGGACACATTGGCTTAAGGCGCCTAATCAAGTTTTCGTAGAATTTCTTACGATCTCGATCGGCTCTTTTAAAAGAAAAGATAGTTTTTCGACCTTCTCCTTCTTTTATCCTGTACAAAATGATGCAATTTCTCGATTTAGTAAAACATCGCAACTTACCAAACAAGTATAATATTGGCTGAGTAGTTTACTAAACAAAAAGCGTTCGTTGTACGTACTTTTCCAACAACGATAACAGTAGCGTCACGCTGACACATTGATATTTACTGGTAGGTTGGTTGAAATCAGTAAAGAAAGAGCTCCAGTCTTCATTTATTATTAAATCTAAAATCTACGGGTATACTGATAATTAGCTGTTGCATTCAATTATAATGTATGAATTGTTGCGGATTGATATCATGTGTTTACAAGATAACGGTTTCACCTGTTCGACTTCTAAGAAAGTTGTTGTTAAAGAAATCGAATTTACATGAGGTAACGGGGCTTTAGCAAATTCTACAGTCATAGAATTTGAAGACAAAACGAAAAAAATTATTTGAGAAATCAGGCAATACTACATTACACAAGCACAACGAAGGGCACTGCAATGACATACCAAGACAAACTTGTAAATCTTCTTTAAAGTGCTTAAGTCCGTTAACGTTAATTTGCTTGATTTCATCACTTTTCAGAAAACCCTTAAGCCTTTCACAAATGTGTTTGCAAGAAGATATACATGCAGAAATAGCAACATTGTTCTACATATGACACAATAAAATAAAGTTAGGATATAATATAGAGTGATATTCAATAGCAATAATCATTAGTTAAAGCATAATAATGTGTGTACCGGCAAAGAAATTAAAGTACTCAATGCATCTCGCAAATATGCTAAGAGGTCATCCATGTAGCCGCTAGGACGGTGCCTACCCTCCGTTGCAGTCCAGTCGTAATTAGCTATTTAATACAAATAGTTCATTAGCAGATCGAAAATATCTTGGCATATTTCATTCATTATTTCAAACCTAAATCAAAGAATTCATCCAACTTTTTATTTAAAAGTATGTAAATCCTATCCTCTGCTTTTTGACGAGCATCCTAGTCGTGGATCATATATTTAAATTTATTTTATAGTGAAGACAATGTAAGATTAGGGTCATTACGAACTCATCTAGTAGTTAGTGTAGTGAACTAGCAAAAGTGTGCGAGCAAGCAAAGTTGAACATCAACTTACCGAAAACGTAGAAGTACCATAAAGTCGTGTTACGTGTATCCCATCGCTAACAGCCCTATTGAACGATTAATACAACATAGAGCTGATAAATATTAAATATGCAGAATTAACGCTAATTGCGCATTACCAACACACTTGTATCGTACCCGGTAATTGATGATATGTACTGCTCTAAATTTCCGCAAGCTTTTTCTAGATAGACCGTGTTGTGAGATAGCTGGGTCAACTATAACAATAATGTATAGAAAGATAAATTTCATCAAAATTTTACAGTACGGTATTTGATATTTTTAATGTTTCCGGTTTAATACCTGAGATAAGTGCAAGAAGGGCTTTTCAACAAATTCATCCATTACATCTGTCAAACATCAAACATTAATAAAATTTGGGAATTACTTTCAAAGCATCTAAGTCTCACTGTTATACCTAGTAGAATCTACTTTATAACTTGAAAATGTAAGATATTATTTGTAAATGCTATATCACATTATTATGCGGTCATTAGCTAACCCGTCAATGTTTTAGTTAAAAGATCATTAGTTGACTTGCGAAGTTTATCATCGATATCAGTAAGGCTAATAGATTTTGTAGAAAATATAATTCAGTTAATTTCATAAGTATATCAAAAAAGTTGCACAACATTAATTATTTCCTATTTAGCAGCTTAATTACCTTAAGTTCAAATTATCGGCAAATTTCACCGATGTTACGATAAATCGCTTTATCTAAACGGAAGAATATACATTTCTACGTATAAGTCGATTATAAACTGACGTGTTTACTGCATCTTCAGCAACTACTAGGAGATTAGGACTCACCTCTTTATAGACGTTAAGAACCAATGATGAGAACGGCAACGTCATTGGATAACTATCCTGCAATAGTATAAAAAATTGAATATAAACATAAATTAATAAACTTTCAAGAAAGTTAGTCCATCTAGAGTGTGCACGTAAAAAGTTATTGACTTTGCAAAATACCTTCCTAGTAATATCTTTACTAGGTTTAAAAGGAAACTCTTCAATATTTCGCCAATAATCTTTATTATCATTCACAGTGATAGGAGTGTAGTTATCGGATTGAAAAATAATTCTGGAAAATAGAATGTTTCAATATAGGATAGACAAAGTTTGTGAATATTTCGACATAAGCCAATGGGTAACGATTATTATATCACCTTTGGATACTTACAGAAATTTATCTTTCCATTCTGTTAAGAGCTTATCATTGTAAGCATCACTGTATTGGAAAAATATGCAATTAACGGTTAGATATAAGAGCTCTTTATGATGGCTAGTGAAAAGAATCTATATTTTACCTGGCTTCCATTAGGATATCGTGTAATTTCGAAACACTAAAGCCATAACCCTAGAATAAAAGTAATGTACTAAGAATCTGCAAATGCGGACTAAATAAATAAATTCTAGATTCTATTATATAAACACTATGTAAAATATAGAAACGTATCGTTGTGTTCCTCCTACAAGATTTCACTTACAGCTAAAGTATTACAAAAGCACACCATCAGTTCTTTAACATCAAGAATAGTTTTTGAATCCTTGCAATGCAGCTATTTTGATTTTAAATTTGTCAAAAATTCAAAGTTATAGAAGTCTACAGGAGTAAAATACTTTCACAAGAAAATTTAATATCCTTACGAATTGAACGCGCACAACGCTCGTTATCTTTTGTAAAGCCAAGTCCCATAAAAGTTGAATTGTGTTTCTAAAAACAAACGAAAAATAGGAAGATGATTTCAACATCGATCAAGATAAAACCGAAATTGACAAAATTAACCAAAAAGCTTCATAATGTGCCATACCTTGTAACTAATCCTCTAGTTGTATGGAGAACAGTATTTTCAACTACAAAAAACCTGTATATGGAATAAGATATCAAAATGAAATTGCAGCAATCAGCGCATTACTTCATATGCACCGCTATTAAAAACTAGAGTAGAACTAGTGCACATACCCAACAATTTGATGAAAGTAGCTACGATAGCTATCTAGTGATTCATTCTGATATTGGAAATTCAAATACAATATCAGCGTGACTATACCATTTTAGGATAAGTATAAAATTTACACACACTAGCTGAGCATATTCAAGTTACCTGAATTCCTTGAGGTTGCAATACTAATCTAGCTTGATTTTCTCGTTGTTCACGATAATACATTTCAAAATATTCTCGTGATCCCTGCATAGTAAATAGCTGTATGTTAGAACTGATCACTTTTTTTCTTTAATAAAGATTTATTTATAGGAATAAATCAAGATCATTTAATGAATTAAACAAGTGAAACTAACCAGCACAGTATGAGTATGCAAACAGCGGTATAAGGGAGAAAAATCAACAAGATCTTGAACACTTTTCTCCTCTTCCTAAAATTAATTTTAAAAATTGGACACAAGTAATATTTTGTTATTATATCCCAAAAAATGTCGTACTTCAGAATTCTCCGTGGCCTTATCATGCACGATATTGAGGCTGCTGTGAGTTTCGGTCTATGCACACAAAAGAAGATAAAAAGTCATGTACAGTACTCTTACAAATACCGAAAATATTCAATTTTTATTCTTTTATCTGGAATAATACGCTTGCATACTATGGTTACCTCACGCATGGACATGCTACCTATTAATTCAGATTTATGCCGAATATTTTCAAGGAAATCCTAGGCGTTAGCAATACGTACATATAAACATTTATGCTTACTTGTATGTATGTATGTGTGTTCCTCATGAAACAGTAAGTATTATAAAAAGTCGTATAAACCTGTAGGTCCGATTTTGAAGCTAGTTCTATATTTTTAGTTATAACCGGGATACATTCTTTCATCATTTCAGTAAATCGATAGCTGAAATATGCAAAATGAGCCCAAACACGATCAGAAGGATGATAGAGAGATTAAATAAAAATGGAGGTACTATTAAAAGAGAATTTGCGCTTATGTGTTTGTACCTGTCAATATGAGGTAGGTGTTGATGTTCTAGTAGTTCCAAAGTTTTCAAGGCAGGATAGAATCTGTAACGAATAGCACGCATAAAGTTGTAATTTACTGCTTTCAGAGTTGTGCTCCAAAGATATTAAGTTAACAATTTACTATAAACATAGAGATCATGAACAGATGAAGAAAAGTCCTTGTAACTGGAATCATACCTTTTCTTTTCCATCTGCTCGTTTAACTTTGCATATAGTTCCAAAACTACAAATAACGTCGAGAAGAAGGTCATACATTATCGCTAACAAGTCTACATCGGTGTCTATATATATGTTTATTATATATGATGCCTAAATATTGTATATTAATTTATACAATCTACATTACACTGTAACAACCCATAACGAACTAATTCAATGGAGAATTACAGGTAAGCATACAACTGATTCATACTATTGTTAGTAATAGATGGCAGATAAATTTAAGGTAGAGCATCTAATAGAGCAATAATATATCATTAGCCTATTATAAGAATGTCACATTTGATACATACAGTTACGCCAGGGTATGGCTAGTTTTACTCATGCTATAACGAAAGACGCTTTATTAGTACCTGGTAAACACTTTTGTAAAGCTTCAATTGTAACAATAATATTCCTCTGTATCTTGCGTAAGCGTATAAGATCTTCGCACTTTGTTAATAGCTGAAAGATACAAAATACTCGATCAACTTAACTACATCCTAAATAAGAATATAAATGCTACAAACTTGCAGTAGTCAGCAGTAGATTATCATTAATCCTAAACGGAAGTGATAAAAGAGCTAATGACTCAACCTGCTTTCCGGATTCCTGCAAGGCTAAATTGGATCCAGTGATGTTTGACTGTAATAGCAATGATTAACATCAATTTATTGTCCAAAGGTACAAATATCTTATGCTAATATTTATAAAACATTTCTTTATTCTTAAAGATGTTGATCAGACCTTTAAGTTTCTGACATCAGTCTTGACCCTTAATAGCTCACTAACAGATTCTATAAAGCCATGGTAATGGTAATTGCATAATCGTTCGATATCTTTATCATAAGTCTTGACTCGGTTTTGTAACTTTTGGTTAAATTCTTCATCTAAATTGTTCTCATAGACAGCCCTGTCAATGACAAGAAAATAGGAGATGATATTAGCATGATGTTCTGCGGCACCAAATTCCGTTACAACAATAAAAGTAACCTTGTGTACTTAAAACGCATTGATGACGTACAGAACATTGTACAATACATGCTGATTTTTATCGACGAATACATGGCACAAGCCTATAGAATAGTATAAAAATATTAAGCACTACGACTATGATAACAACATAGTTATGAATTGCAGTCGCTTCTTCAACATCACTTATAAAGTAGATGAGATTAGCGATGAAATATGTTAGCTGTCATCAGCCATTGCTATTTTTCAGAATGTAGTGAGATAGAACGGGGTTCAGATGACTGAGAAATAAGTAACGTTTACTTCCATCCTATACAAGTTATTTATTGCAGTACAAATCGTATTGGGTAGCCAGAGACTAATATCAGCCTAGACAGTATTGAAAATGATTTCCACAGCTAGAATATCGACAGGTGTTGATGTTGTGTTAACATTTCAAGTTGAGTCTTGATTATTTCATGATTGATTTACCTGAGAGTAGGACTTAATGGACCATCGCTAGATTCGATTTCAGTTAACAAATGATCAATATGCGTGACATGAGATTGTGGTAAACGGTCTCTTTCGCTCATGTTGAAGCGTTAACCTGAACAGCTTACTTATTCCCTTTAACGATAATCCCAATTGGATAGTGATTACTTTTCAAGTCGAGAGCGAACACAAATTGCCTCCATTTCTTGACCTTTATCAAGTCGACAAAAATTAACCTAGCCAGCACTGTGTGAAAACTGCTCCACCTTCGTTTCACTACGCATGCGTCATCTTTACTCCCAACAGTACCAATTACCGTCGGCTTAGCCTGGACAAGTGGACACTGGACAGTTTTCGGACGGACAGGCACTCGGTATCCTTTCGTTAACAAATTGTGTCAAACATTGCATTATAACAGTACTTTAGTATGCAAACTATCGATTCTGAATGGACTGATTTTTTTCTAAATTAAGTAATATTACATTGTATTCCATTGGTCTATTGTCAAGCTCTACTTGAAAGCAGTCAATTTAGATCATCAATAATATTCAAATTAATACGAGCGATCTGGAAAACAGACACGGAAGATCCATACTGAAGGTCTCTTTTTCGACATTTTCAGCCTAATCTGGTATGGAAAGTCTGTCTATCCGAATGAGCATGTCCAGTTCAGGTCCTGTCCTATCCTCTACAGTGTACAGTGTACAGTACACCATATTTCTACGGTACAGTACTGTACAGTACTGTACAGTACAGTATGATAATGCGCAGATCGTCTGCCAATTTCTCATCGTAGACGCAAGCGTATCTAACATGAAATAATATCTTCTTTAAGTAGCGTAAAGTATTTTAAGGTAGACGATGATAGAAGGTATAAAGGATTTTATTGAGATACAAGTTACAGGCTAACAATGATATGGTTGTTATAGATAAGGTATTTGAGATAGCAGGAATGTAGGAACTGACTAACGAGTTAGCGTACAAGGGTATTTATAGGTTTTAGATGGGATTGAAATAATGTCTTTATATGTATAGCATGTCGTCTATATGTAGTCATGATGTCGTACATTATGAATGTAATACAATACAGTACTTAAACGGTATATGATAAGTATTCGTATATTAGGATATTACTATACTAGGCATCTTCTATATAAGATCATAATGTTACAACATGGAGGACTTTCATTTTGTTCAACTGGCCGTCTTCAAATAGGAGCGGATACTATTGAACCGAAGTCAATTTTATCTTATTTGGATATTTCTTAGTTTGAAGGGTTAGGGCAAACATCTGATTCCTCGCCCATGTAAATCGTTCATTTGCGATACACCCTACAGTGTACATTGTACAATGCGATCCGTTTTCTTCGATATGCTTGAATAGTAAAAACGACAAGTTAAGCGCTTAAAAAAGACCAATCGTTCTCAACCTTCCTATACAGATAGATCTCTTACTACATATTAAAACCATTTGCGATCAATTTTATACAAATTGATGCAAAAATTTGAATATCGAATGTATCGGATGATGCATGGATGATTTTGGTCTACTACGAATTCCGCTTCCTTCTCTGTGAATTCGATCGTGGACTACGAAAGTAGATCTTCCAAGTCCGTGATTAGATTGACCATTTACTAAACTAAATGATGATATACTATTAACAGGGTCGGATGTCGGAGGTTGTATGATCTGGTTCAACCTCCGCTTTAATCTCAGTGAGTTCGATCGTGGACTACGAAAGTAGATCTTTCAAGTCCGTGATTAGATTGACCATTTACTAAACTAAATGATGATATACCATTAACAGGGTCGGATGTCGGAGGTTATATGATCTTGTTTAACCTCCGCTTTAATCTCAGTGAGTTCGATCATAAACGACTAAATCTCCCAAGATTGACTTTTACTTTACTAAATGATTACGGATAGAGAGGTGGACAGAGTGACATGAGTATTACAGTAACTGTAGGACAGTGTAGGTGGCTAAAAGTAACTACTGGAGACTCTTTACTCGGTCATTACAAAGCTAAAAGGTATCCTGTCATTAAGTTTAACCAGTTTTTGCATGGCTTTCATGCTCGCCAGTCGAGACTACTGCTTAAATAAATAAGGTGATTTCTCTAATACGGAGTAGTTCATTATGTACTACAACCTCTTGGATCACTACATTAATACTACACATGGATAGTACAATATACCATAGTATATTAATCCAACATCGATCGTACTAGAGCCCTGAAATAGAGTGAAAATGCAACCCGAACCCGATAAAATGGTTGATTTTCTAGTCCGAAATGGGTGCAGTCGCTGTACAAACACTGTATCACGTCAGAAATTCTTAACCCAAATCCCGTCCAAGAGCCGGGTTTCGGGTTGATTTTTAAAGGACACTGGACCGCACTGTATCGTTAATTAACCTTAACCAGTTTTTATGCACTGCTCTCATGCTTGCGAGTAACGCTTAAATAAACTAAATAAGACAATTTCTCAATTACAGAGTTCTTAATAGTCTACTTCAACCTCTTACAGCATTGCATTAATACTACACATGGATGGTATACTATAATTGATCAAACATCGATCGCACTGCATTGTTCCGTTAGCATAGACTTGATGATACGCTAAAAGGTATCCCATAATTAAATTAACCTGAAGCCAGTTTTAGATCCTCGGCTAGCTCATTGCTGTATTACCGTGTCGATTTGCAAATATTCTACCGCATTGCAACGTACAGTATATACTATTAGCCTGCGGAGGATTACAGTAGTGGAAGAAAATTAAAGTATCGTTAACGTCGATATTATGTTAATCTTCAACATGTCTTAACCATAGATGAACTCACGATTATCTTAAACATGCCTTTAACTCACTAGGATCATTATTTAAAGACGGTACGGCAGAATACACGATCATCCGATATAGGGCATATTGACTTTACTAAAAACTCAATTTACAGCATGATTGCTGTGAATTGACGTACCACCAAATGCAAACCATGTTGATGACTAAAGTATGCGTGCACAACACGTTATATCGGTTCTGAAGAAAACATTAACATCGAAAGAGAGTAGTTTATCTGTAGTAACATTTGCTAGTACAGAATGAATTATGCATCATATTGTGCGGTAATATACGAGTATCGAGTAGTCCATGGTGGTGCATGGCGTTTGCATTTCATAGATAAATCACCTCGATGAAAGTGGACAATCGAGCGTTAATATTGGTATAAGTTTCATATTTGAAGTTCGTTTGGTTATTAACGAAATAAATTATAGTATCTGTTTTAAGGACAAGTAAGATTTCTGTCTAATTGATGTAATACTCAGATCACAGTAGTCAGATCTGTCTGTTGTATTGCAGACAGCCAAAGCAAAGAAAAGAAATGAATAAATGATTAAAACGGAGCAACTAAAGCGCAAGATTTCGATGTATATTGGCATTGAACATCATCAATATCATGGCTACAGACCCATGTCATCGCAACGCCAGGAAAGTAGCTGGAAGTGACTGACATGAGTGAGTTCATTTTGTAAATCTCCGTACTTCAAAATTGAAACTAACGGTAATTATTGCGTAACTAGAAGTTGTTTGATTTAAATACTTCAGAGTGCTATACCGGCTAGACAATTGATTAGTGTTGATCTTAGGGGTGGACTATAAATTATGCCGATATCGAAGTCAAATAAATGACTTTTTTCAAGATTATTTATCTATCTTCGACCAGTTCTTTTCGATATCACTTGACTGAGCATTGGCCCAATTCTTATATCGTATTCTAATTTGAATACCCGTAAAGATTAAGCGTAAAATGTCATGCTGTTACAATTACGTAAATGGTGCACCATTTAATAACTAGTACATGATTTCAATATCGTGTATTTGCCAAATAATAAATTGCTATATTAACTCTACTATATTTTTGTTGGTACATTTACAATAAAAGAATTGTAGGCTGGACCAACAATATAATTGGTCCTGTTTTGTTGGCATTAGAATCTACTGTAAAATTGTACTAATTTAAATTGTGATCATTGCCGATCGATTTCTCAATTTAACTTAATCAACTTTAAAAAATAAGTTTCATGGTATTTTGATGTGCGGATATGATTTTCGAGTTCAAATTAGTCCTTTATTTAATTAATGTATGAAAAACTTAATTCAGTACTAATTCTTATCTAATTTGAAAATTGGGGATTAAATAGTATAAAACGAATTTTTCCCTGAAAATTTGTTAAAATTATCGTAGCAGTAACTTGGAATTCATAGATAGAATATAATAAATTTAAAGGGCTTTCTATGATCGAGATTAAAATGTTTGTACTGTAAAGTATCATTTTTATAGCTTAACAATTGAATTTTACTTAAGTACAGGTGCGTCCTAACGTAGGGCATTCATTCGCTTAGAAAGATCATATGTAACTGGTCATGTACATACAGTATGTAGCTTGTTATTGTCAACTTGGCAGAAACTATTATCAGTATACGCGTATTTATTTTTGATATTAATAATTTGTACGTATTTATTCTTTACTATATTTCAATTCTCTTTATTACTGCATATCATGCAAATCCGACTATTTTATCAAGATACAATTAAAGATACAAGATTTCTTCTTATTATTAAATTGATTTATAGAGGTGTTTTGTTAAATTATGGCGGAGTTTTAATTCTTGTAGATCCCTTTGTTTTATTAACATTTATTTTCAATTAAAACGCACAATTTATCGTATAACTTAACAAATAGCATTAATTTTCGTTTTATGTAACTGATTATCAATTACTAGGAACGATTAGAATAGCCAGATAGAACAGTGTACCGTTGATTAATGATAGTAAAAGATACAGTAAGAATGAGATCAATGATTAAAAGCTTCTGATAATTAAAATAATGTATTTTTGATCTATTAAACCATTCTAAAGTATTGTTTGAACGAGTCCATATCTCTTAATATTCGTTCTAATAGCTTGATAATTACCGTACTGAAGTTAAAAGAAAGTCATGACCAGTAAAATTATTACGAGAATGTATTAGATATATAGCAACTGTTTGCGATGTAATCTAGTATGCCATACTGTTAGAGAAGGACTACGGGAAAATAATTGAAATAGAAAAAATAATCGTGAAATTCTTAACAACTAAAATAATCCGGAACTCATCAATTTATGTTATATTAGATTGTGACTTATGAAACGGATAGGTATTAATTTTCAAGTCTAAACTGTTACTGTCGGCGAAAAACCTTGAACATAGTAATAAATAGAGCTGTAACTACGCAGGTATGAAATGGATCACAAATTCTCAAGAATTGGAGAAAATTCGAAATTTTATTAGATTGTGATACAAAGATATGCTACGTCCCTCTTCTCTAGCCTAAAATAGTTACTAGGAGATCTTAAAAGAATTATTGAATCATCTATAGTTGCAGCCATGCCATCTGCAATTTTGATCATCATAACAACATACTACCCTTATTTCTACAACTGCAACATTAAAATTGGCAACATATATTCCGGTGGATCATCTAGGTACAGTTTAATGTACTAACGGCTGTCATGGTACGATTTTACCCTGATATTGTAATATAATTAATTACACTAGAGAAGATACAGATGTTTGCGTTATAGTGTACTGTGCTTTAGTTTCGGGTGTGAGCTACTGTTATTATTCTTTATTTTTGTTTATGATACTTTCGAATACGAGCAATAATGTGTTAGCGAGCTATTAGCTTAGCACACTTTATTTTATCTGTTTTTTTTTATACTAGTTCCAGACGTTTATAGGTGAACTAATCGTATTTATTTAATTTATTTCCGATTTTGTAAAAGTTATTATACTGTATTACCACTATCGCTAATACGATGTGATTATTTGAAATTTTATATCACTATGAAGACCTCAACTCATACAATCCTCTCATTTGTCTAAAACCCATATAATTGTATTTCATACTATTCCGATACTTATTTTATAAGTTTATTTAAGATAGTTTTTTGAAATCATGATGATATTTGTGATTTTATCAACTTTTCACCCTACATTATTTCTTCAGCTATACGTGTGCCGACTGTATATAAGCCCGAGCAGAAAATTTATCGCTCAGTTGATACTTCTCTCGTGTACGACAAGGCACTACACTTTCGTCGTACGAATAGCAGTAAAAACTCATAAAACTAATCTTACAACAAGCCGCTTATTATACTTGTGAGGAAGTTGTTAGTCTTACTTACAGAATCTCTCCGTAGCTAGTTGGAGTGACTAAGTAGCTAGTAAGTTAAGTTGATCACTCACATTAGAAGAGAGTAGACAGTGGGATTACTCCTGTAAGTGACATTGATGCATCATAAAAATCACTTATCGGATCGGTCGGTTACAGGATTATCGTTAACTATCCATGGATGATATTTTATTTTGTTCTTAAATATTTTCAGGATAAAGATTTCTTCGTACATGCGTATAATGATTCAAATTAATAACATCTGAAAATAAAAAAAAAGGAAACAATTTGAAATCAAAAATATAACTATAGGGAAATTTTTACTGCGATTTTCAGTAATAAAATGAACTAACTGCTTTGACATGAATGATTCGTCATTATTTGTCTTATGTCGCACATCGTATAATCTAACTTGGTTTTGCTGAATATAGTTGCATAAGCGAAAGACCCATACACGAGTGCTATGAAATTTCATTAATTCTACGTCAGCATCTTCAATATGATTGGACTCTTAATAGTATTGGAGTTTTTGGTAATTAAAATGATAGATTATACTGAATCAACGCGTTCTTGCTTATGTTTATACTAAGAAATATTTATTTATGAATACTTAATGGAAATAGATATGCAGCATAAGAGGCAATTTCTAAATACAGAATAATTGATCGGCATTAGATTAATCTATTATAACTAGTCAAAATGCGATAGTACGCTTTAATCAAAATATTATTTTAAGAAAAACTTTATAGTTGTACTAATAATACTTTTTCAAAAACAAGTATTAGGAGCATAATTCTCATTAACAACAAGTTAAATAGTAGAATAGCTAAATCAACAAGGGAAAAGTAGCCTTATTTCACATCATCTCCTTGTGTGGCAATCTTGATCATCGCAATAGCATACTAATGATATTATGATTCGTGCTACAACTTGTAATAATCATTATTAAACCAACCCTAGGAGATGACTAAAACCGATGAATGATCTCAGAGATTTATTCCCTAATTACTCCAGCAACAATATTTTTCAATAAAAACGTATTGATTGCACGAATTCAATATACTTGTATTATTTTTTTGTAAAGTAATTGGCAAATAATTAAGCTTATAATAATTTTTTGTTGAAATAAGCGAAGAATCGTCAAGTAAATCGAGAAACTTTGAATTTTTGCATGAATTTGATTTTGAATTTATTGGGTAGCATACATATAGTTAATGTTTTCATTTTATGGTAGACATTTGTGGACTTCTTATTTCAGAATTGTTGAACTTAATAGAATACTACTAAGTTAGGAATTTTCCATTAATCTCACAATTTTAAACTGAAAGCAATAAGAACGAAAATCTGACGAAGAAAACTGGAATTGTTTTAGCATTTTTATAATAATAACAGTAATTTTTTAAATACCGTTATCTTTAGAAGTAAGAAGATATCGAATCAAGTCAAAGACACAAGACTACCGTGGAAGAAATCTACTTATAGATCATAAAATGTGTTAAAATTGCTTTCAATCTTTAGAAATATGTCCTTATTAGCTTAATGAACTATTATCATCGTACTATTCAATCAATCAACACACACAATAAGGTATGACAAAATGAAAAATTAATGCATTTTTATGATGATAACTTAAGTTATATTGCTTTAATAGTAGAATGAGCCGAACGGTAAATTTAATTTTCACTTTCTAAGCCACATAACTGGCACATTAGAGGGTATTTTATCTATTACTCGCAAAAACAAAGGCGGTGAAGAATTAAAAAATTGAAATATTATCGAAATGACTGATTTCGATCTGATAGGGAATTTAGCGCCGATACAATGGAAGATAGTTGTATTTCTAAGTAGCAGGGACCGTATTTCCCATTGTATTCCGAATCAGTTGATGATGTAACGAAGCAATTCCAGTTGCTTTTTTTTTGAAGCTATTGGATACAAAATCAGGGTTATACATAAATTAAAGCTGATGGTAAACAAAGTAAGTTAAAATAAAACGGGAATGAAAATATGTTAATTACTTAATATCTACATGGCTAACTGTTAAAGTGTAACACTGACAAAGAGTACCCATCGTGAAATCTAATGCGTTTACTGTAAACTAAAATTAGAAATAAACAAAAAGTGAATTTCATCTGGTTTATAATAAAAAGCTGAATATAATAGCATAATAGCTAGCTAAATTTCAATTATACCTGGAGATTATGAAGCATGTGCATTTTTGTCTGATTCTGGCACCGGTAAGGGTGAATCTACGGTATCAAATGAACGTAAAAAGAGTTTAGTTTCTACGGTCAAAAACCTTGATAAATTGATATATATAAGATGCTGTCATTTTCCTTGCCTCATAAATGATATGTGGCCAAAATTACGATATAGAATAAATAAAATATTAGGATAGATTATTGCATCATAGTTGTCACAAACCCGCTTCGTGATAAAGATATCGTAAAACGAATCTTATGCAATTTAGTTCATATTGGATAGCTAAATTAGTATAATAATTATTTATAATCTTAGATAAATACCGAACGATTCTAGATAATAAGATTACGGTATGTTTATACACAGAACTAATTATAGTATCATCGATAATTGAATATCTTCAGGATATTCATTACAAGCGTTACAAGACATAACACTATAATCAATTAACATTAGTTAACGTATAAGAACTCTTATTACAGTACAGTATAATTTACTGTATCAAAATAATAACTACCGTAGTTCTTACTGTAAGCCATTGTTATTTATCTCCATATATAAATGTTAACCACTAAATTTAGTCATTAGCTCTTCACAGTGGTTCGTACCGTGACTAGTCTTATAAGATAGTCTTATAAGAAAATCTATTTATCAAAGACTTACAAATTTTACTAGACGATTGAATAGTTCCTCAAAGTTAGTTCGCAAGCCGGATAGCAATTGGCTTGATTGGCAGGAATGAGAGATCTCACTGCCGTCAGCAAATGCTTTGTTTAGTACAATTTGATCAATTATTCCACCATTTGCAATAGCTGCGGCCACGTTATGTGTAATATTTGACACAAACTTCAAAAATTGATGTACCTTGAATGGATTTTTGGGAGGATCCTGTTATAATAATAGAAAAATTTGAAAACACTCCTAGAGTAGAAATATTATCTCAGAAATGATAGGGGAATAATAAGATAAATGTAAGTAATTCAATTACAGATTTGACATGAATTAAACAACTAAAGCATTACTACAGTTAATTTTCGGAAGTATAAGATGGAATAACTGTATGAAGACCATTTTAAAAATTTGAAAAACTTTAATATTATTCTGTATTTCCGAAACTTAGTTGATATTTGTTTCATTTTTTCAATATTTATAATAAATCAACTCAAAAAATAGTAAACAATTATAGATAAGAATCATTAACATGGTCTAGAATAAAGCGTTTATTATAAGTCAATTTAATTATTTATGGTATATTTACTAATAAGTAAAAAGGATTGTAACTAATTTAATCCTTAAAGGCACTTTCTTAGAACAGTTACATTTCGATATAAATCAGAACCATAACTTAATCTTCTATAAAACATCGCTAAGCAATCGATAAGATATAAACTTTGAATTTCTATTTGATCAATAATACTAAATGATTTAGTGTGGGACATAAAGACTTAAATACCAGACAATTAACATTAAAATAGTCGAGTTACCATATCTTTTGTGCTAGAAGCAACTCCAAATATGACTGTTTTCGCGGTTGTTCTATTTGATCGATTACTTTTATATGAGTTTCCATGTTTTTGGATGCATATTTGAGTAAATGTTCTCGTCAAATTATTCAAAGCATGAAGACTTTTTTGAGCGTTTTCGTTCAATTCATAGAGCAACTGATCTTTGCCTTGAGAATTTGTGAATTGATAATCCAAATTATGGTCTAAGGCCATCGTCGATGGCATTAGTAACTTAATCAGTAGCACAGTAATGAGGTAATCTAGCAAATTGAGAATCAAAATATATTAAGATCATCATGGGTTGGTATAACGAAGAAGGATTAACTTTAATGATTTCAAATATGTAGTATGCTGGACTGCATTTTAGTTGACCTGAGAATATCTTAAATTACTAAAAATAATTATTACAGTCAAATGTGATACAATTTTATAACTAGAGAATATGGCTTGTCAAAATTTATTTTAGTGTACAGAAGGTGAATCTTATTTAAACAGATAAAATTTGGCTGTCTTAGTTTTGCAGATTCATCAACAGCAAAATAGAATATTACAATACATTAATATTGCTCAATACAAACGTGAATAGTACTCTCGTTATCCTAAGACATGTTTATCATGCATATTTATAAGTAGCGTATTCTATTGTTCAGTACGTCTCATCTAATAGAAGATTTGCACGTGAATTTTGTATTGACTAGATTAAATTTTAAGCTAATTAGATTTCAGTGAAAAATGCATGCAAAGATCATGTTATAATTTAGTTTAGTATTTGATCTATTACTACTTCTAATCAAGAAAGAAATATTACATGGCTCGACAGATATTATTTGACTACCGTGGTGAGAATTCTTTATAAGTGAGAAATAGAAATGCATTAAGATTATTTTGCCTAAACTTGAGATTCCATATAGCTAATCCAGGACACTATAACTGTTGCTAGATTATGTACTGTAGATTACGATCTAATTCGAATTTATAATATTACGATTATTATGAATAATTATAAGAAGTTACACTACATACATTTATATCTATTAATTACCTTTCCTTGAAATAGCGTAAGCCATGTTTCTTAGTTTGACAATTTGGTGATTTCGTCCTTTATGTAGCAACTAAGAAATAATTGTGATAACTGGATTAATGATAACCGCTGGATTTATATAGCAATTGGGTTAGCTGCATCTACCATACTGTTAACACTTCAATAGTACTCCTAATATTATAGGCACTAGAATCACTTTAATAACAAAAGTTGCTAGAATCGCTAAGGAAGTGATTGGTCGCTGAAATTTGATGGTTGATAAACAGGATGCTAGCTCATCATTCCATTGTTATATGCATTACTTATAAGCTTCAATACAGGATATTTTAGTCTATAAGCTAAGTGAAAGAAACTATCAAGTATTCGTGTGCTTCAGAACGAACTGCAAATGTACCTATTCAGATCAAGTCTATATATATTCTGGATTTATACTCTTACGTATGAAAGAATTGCAGTTGCTTTGGTTGGATTAGTTTGTATTGCAGTACTATGACAGTAGATAATTAGATAAGCACAAGATAAATTGTTAATAATTAGTTCTGGCAAATTCTTAAATGGATACTGTAATCAGTAATTTACTAGTAGAGACTGTTACCGTAAGTTACCAGCTAAAGACTATCGTAGATTTTTAATTGAAACAGGAATCTATCATTTTTTGTGAAATTAAGCTCCAACAATTACGACAATTAATTAAATTAAGTGCTTACCAACAATGCTTTCGTATAATTTTTAATTAAAATAGTGATCGTCATTGAAAACATTTATTACAAGTTATGCATACTGGTCTCTTTCTAATCGTTATCGTTAATCACATTTAGGAACTATTAATTAGTTGTGTTGGAATATAGCAATTTCAATAACGTTAATTGAATGTAAAGATGTCAATTAAAACCTCGCAATTGCATAGGCCGATTGTTTGATAGATAATATTTATATTAATAAAAATAGTATTATAAGATAATAGTGATGATTTATATGTAGTACAACCTTATCGTAAAATAAGAAATTGTATTTTAATATATAATAGATATATTAATACTCTAAAGCTATTTCTTAATTGACATAAAATCATTATTATATTGGTACAAGATAATAGTAGAAAGAACTGACGATATTGAAATTTTAAAATAATGAAGGTGAACACACCACACCTTATTATTGAAGTGGACAACTTTAGTGCAATAAATTATATCATTGTGCAAAGTAGATAGTTGCAAACATTTTAGCAACGGCATTTTACTTCCGCTTGTAGGATAAATTTAAATCCAAATATAGACCGATTATCTTGAGTTTATTCAAAAATAACATCAAACTGTTATTAAAAGCGGAAATTAATTTTAGATTGAAATTATAAGCAGGTGGGCTATAAACCTGTATGAAAATAGCTATCACTTGCCGACAATTTATAGCATTTACATTAATCAGTTAAAAAATAGGTTGGGTTTATTTTAATGTATCATTTGTTTTAAGAATGTACATATTGTCATCAAAAAAAGTAAATACTAACGGTATAGAAAATAAAAATGATAGAAATATGAATGAAAACTTTAATTCTATGGCATCATTTACAGTTGAAGTAAAATTACGTTTAATTGTATTAGTTTCAACTAGAATGCTGATTATGTTGAAAAGAAATAAGTATTAGACAAGTTAAACTGATTATAACTATAGTAAAGGTATAATGACTACTACATATTATAATATTTTAATATGTTTCATTTACTTTTCTTTAGATATTTTTCAAAAATTTATGAAAGGTAAGTCTAGTTAGCTATAGAAAACATGAGTAGTAATAAAAGGAATGAAAAGTACAAGGCGATATATTGAGTCTATTAGCTCATTTTTCTAATTGTAGTCGAGTTAGTAAAGCAAATAGCTTAAAGGTAACGATGATAGAGTAGAATAAAATATACCAGATTGGGCGATAAATATATAAACTTCAGTATAACTCTATCAAATATTTATTATTAAAAGTAAAACAGCAAGGTGAACAAGGTGACGATAGAAAAGACTTAAGAACCAAGAAAAACTCTTTATTTGAATATACTTGTAGATAGCTATCAAACTCCTGTTCAAGTTATTAATGATATTCTTCTTAGTAATATTGGTCAGACATTAATGCTAAAGTCATTGTAGCTTCCGTCTTTGGCCTTTTTTAATATTAGAACAATTATAAATATTAAATTATTGTTAAGTAATTCATTAATCTGATGCTATATTAGAATTTAATATAAAACTGAATACATAAGAATGAAGAGTATTATTTGTACGATAATTGAATTGAACTATTGATTTCACACTTTGAGCTATTAAAAATTAATTAATGAGAGTACTGTAGACTTGAAATAGTATTTCTAGTGTCGTTTAAATAAATTTGTTATGTATGCAATGCTTTTAATTGATGTGATATACTGGCTGATGCAATCATTTCTAGTATGTTCAGTTGTTAGGAGCACTTAAGCGAAAGAGAAAAAGCTACTATAAAATCTATTAATTTGTCAAAGTAGTTTCAAGTAAATATATGTTGTACGCGTACATCCTGCCAAATGTCAAATTTCGAGGTCGTCAACAATTCAATAGTATTCAAATTCTTAAATGATAATACAAATTTATAATTAACTTATCATTTTAAATTAAATGTCTCATAACGATAGTCCATTTTCCCTGCAATTAGTGCAAACCATAATTCTATCCTTGAAATTTTATACAAATAAAAATAATTTGATAAAAAATATATTTTGTACTGAATCAAATCTTGTCAAGGCTAAGATAATTATTTTACTGAATTAGATAAATCTAATTAATAATACAAGGTAAATTAACCTAAAGCTAAATACTTCGATTTATTGATAGAATTAAGCTATTTTAAGAGTACAACTTAATGGCTAACATACTGGTATTATTCCAATCGCCAAATCTAATTCCTGCTACGGCACATGGCTGTGCCTATGCACACACAATTCAAGGTAATATATCGCGGTTCTGTTAATTGGCAGTCAACAATTTTTAGGCTAATATTGTCTGAGAAAAATAATATAGTGCGACGGTAACTGAACCCAAGCTTGTTGAGAGTACTGCAAAAAGTAATTTACATTTTGCAAAATATAACATTTGAACGAATTTTTCACCTCTGGAATTAATATAGGTTATTATCCTGAATTAATAAAAGTCCTTATACCATTACTAATGGAAACTACAGTACGCACGACCAAATTATATAATATGAGACTACAACAACTGTCACCGGTATGTGTGCTGAGATTTAATTTAAATTATTATCAGATGCGAATAGATTCTTTGATGTATATTATTTTTACTGAATATCTGATTAAATTGAAACAACACTTATTCTTTATATTGCTGTCACGACAACTTCTACAACTGGATTTAGAGGGAATAGTAAGTAATGTTCAAGCTTAGTTTAAATTATTATTAATGCATCTATTTAAAGTACTATTTTAGTGGTAATGGAGGAGAAACAATAGCGTTGTGTATCAACGTCCCTAAATTTTATTACTAAAATCATTTTGATCAATTGGCTCTTCACTCCAAATTTGTACTTGATTTCTTCAAATATGTGATGGTGCAGATAGTGTCATCATGAATTTATAACCAGCAATTAGTTAGTCTTGCAATAAATACTACGTACTGCATGGGCTAAAAGCACACTCGAAATAATAATTAAAATTAACGATTTAATATAATTGATCAATTGTGATTCGTCTATTATCAATTGTATTGATGACTTATACCAAAGCAGTTAAGTCTACTGCTAGAATTATGTTACATCCATTAAATTGAAAAGGACAGCACATAAATATTTCTCTTACTATAGGTAACTTTGTATTTCTATTCAGAAACGGTTCTTTAATCTAAATGTAATAAGCAGTGAATGGACATATTTCGCAATTTCCGTTGGTTGAGCCTATTAATCTTTATTTAAAACGATACTAAACTAAATTTATCATTATTAAGGTAACTTAATATTCTAAACACGATAAGAGAATCTTTATTGTATTAAGTATAATTATAGATCGTTAAAGAAAGAGAAAAACGAGAGTTATCTTTGAGACCGTGCTTAGATGCAGTCTTTTAACGGAGTCAGCTAGTGACGCCGAATTGCGGCACCATATAGAAGTGAGTGCTGCTGGTACTTCCGTGCAAATTAGAAGGTTCCGTAAATCAGAATAAAAACTAGCAATGAAAAAATTACATGAGTACGCGAAATTGCGTCGCAGTTATTTTGCTTAATAGATGGAATAAGCAAAGATAATTCAAACAAGCGATTACATTAGCAATTAATGTTAATTCTATACTTAAAATTGAATACTAATCAGTTAACAATCAATTTCTCTCAATAACTTTCGAATTTTAAGATCGAAAGTAATCATTACTTTTCGTAATACAATTCTTGTATTAGATAATGATAGCATGACAGACTTCTATCTTACAAAAGCATCTGTACTCTCCCTTAAGTAACAGAGTTTACAGATAAATAGTGGTATAAATGGTCTTTTATTAATTGACGTAACGTAGCCGTCTAGAAATAATTGAAACTTTCTGTTTCAATTTCTTACTGCCAAATACTCGATAACAGTTGACTAAAATTATTTGGTAAGATTTAAAATTGGCGAAACAGAGAAGGAAGTAAATTAGAAGAATGAAAGATTCATTTAGAATTGAGTTTTACAGAATGGGCGGTAGTATCTCTAGCATCTATTGAACTGGACATCTAAATTAACATCAGCTGCCATTGTGACAGTGTTTCTTTTTAAGGTACTTTACAGGTATAATCAATTCAAGGCAATCACATTATTTTACCCTAGCGCATAATTGAAGTTATTGCTGACAATAAAGCTTCATGCTTGTAAATACTAATATTAATAATATTAATGCCAGCTATCAGCTAGTCTAGCACAGACTATTGTTATTTCAAAAGTCTACAATAAGTCTTCATCTGAAATTATTATAAGTACAAAAGGCATACATTAAATTATATAATCTAAACACGTATTTTGATTGAAT